TTTTTTGAAAGTATTTTCATTTCAGAAATGTTTTCAACAAAGTTGAAATCTTGCCTCATTCTCGTTCTTCTTATTCATTGTTGTTCAACGAATGAAGATGTTTACAAGGAAGAACTGTACATCCGTCCATTAGTTAGTGGCCACACATACTTTAATCTTCTATTCACAACTGTTGCCTCGCCCGACATTCTCAAATCTAATATTGGTAAATCTATTCGAAATCGAACTTATTTGATCGTTATTTCTTCTGCGTAGTTCATCATTATCATCTTTTTCCAAAAGTTATCGCTGATATCGTTCGTTCTAATGGTGTTAGTGAATTCCATGTTTCGTTAACACAAGGCCTATGGAGATATGACCGATGGGGCATGCCGATCGTCGGTGCGCCGCCAGGAGCAGAAGTTTGGGCATGGTTCAAGCCAGATGAACAGAGAGAGTACGACTTTCGTATTCATTCGATGTTTAGATGACGAATTTTGATCTCTGTTTAGTGTGGCGTCTCGCTGGACTTCATTCGCACATGAATTAGGTGGTTTGTTATGTGCTTCACTTAATTTCGTCGCTTCGAATGTTAGTTCGAGTTCACCGTACTATTCCTTTCGACCTCAATCAACACTACCGAAATCAAACGGTGCTAATTTAGATAATTCGCTTCTTCGATACGCAGCTTTGCCACGAGAAATCGTTTGTACTGGTTGGTACTTTTCGATCGAGCAATGGAAATGAGTCTGATTGACTTTTCTTTGTAGAAAATCTAACGCCATGGAAAAAGCTATTACCTTGCGTTGCTGGTGGTTCGAATCATAAGGGTCTTGCAGGATTACTTGACAATGCTCCGAAACTATATAATAGTGATTATCATTCACTTCGAATGGATTTTCGACAAATATGTGCTGTAAGAATTTGATCATCTCGGTCAAATTACAAAATTTCATCGTTGCTTCTCTCGTAGGATACTGCATGTACATCTACTCAGCTGGAGTTGTCCATGGCGTTAGCGATCGTGGTCAATACAGCAACATCAAAACCGAACTATAATGGTTTGTGGAACGACTGATAAACTCTGTTAATCGGATTCTCTGCTTTTAGAATGGACATTTCGTTCTGTTTTCGGATCGAATGTTGCTCAATCGTGTCCACTTAGTTCGCTCACGAATGTTTATGTTGATTTGCAATTATCCTCTGTATGTTAAACAATCAGTCAATAAATTCGTTCGACGGTTTTTTTTTCTTTTAGACGCATTCACTGAACATCACTCCCGAACCAGATTATGCAATCAAACAAGGAACTACACCAATTGTCATCTATGATTTGGGTAGCGTCCAACGGAAAAGTACAACTTTCGCTATGAGCTGTACGCATAGCAAACAACCGACATCAAATACCGATAGTTCTTCTCCTCCGATTGTCGTGCATCGGTATGCCACAGGTGAGAACGAGGATCAACCACAGTCTAAGCATCTTACAGGATATTGAATCGATTAGGTTATGGTGTTCGTGATGGTGGTATTAAAACTGTGATAAAAATCAATGAAGAACAAAATAAGAATCAGATAACTCTACTCTATTTTGAACAAATTCCTTGGTATTTTCGTGTGTTTCTTCACACGCTCAAAATAACAACTCTCGACGATGACACAATCGAAATCAAACCAGGTAAACTCATCTGATTTCTATCGTGCTCACCGATTTTTTGTTTTGTTTTGCTTTGCTTTTCGGCAGATTATATATCATACACTCCAGGTAAAGATCGCGAAAGATCTTATCAATTAGAAATAGTGATCAAAACGGATCAATCAATAGTAATTAGTTTCGAATTCGAAATGGCTTTTCTTAAATGGAACGAGTTCCCACCGGATCCCAATCATGGATTTTATATTCCAAGTGCTGTGATTTCCACTCTTCTCCCTTCTAAATCAAACTACATTCTTCGATCGTTGAATTCATTTTCTTTGAATCAAAGTCTTTCATCATCGTCCGATGGCTTTGTCCGCTTGTACTCCGAATCTTTACTAGTAAATCTTCCAACACCAGACTTTAGTATGCCGTTCAACGTTATCTGTTTGGGATGTACAGCCGTTGCTCTCGCTTTCGGTGGTTTACACAATTTAACTACCAAAGAATTTTGCTTCGGTCCAAAACGTGCTCAAACTCCACTTCGGCAACGTTTGCAAGATTTACGAGTTCGTCTCATGGCTTCTCGTCGTGCTCTTGCACAACGTCTTTTCAAGCGAACATCACAAAAACAACAACACGAGCATACTGAATAAGAACGTTGAGTGTTCAAATATGCTCCTTCTTTCTTGTACATACATATTTATCTAAAGTGATAGAATCGTTGTCTTTTATTCTATGAAAGACTTCGATGACACTCGCTCTGCTTCTTTTTTTACGTGAACTCATCTGACGCAATAAATTGTCTTCAAAATATGCTTTGATCAGTCTTGCTGCACTTATTTCTTTCGAAATCATATTTCATTTCCGTTTCAGATGTCCTCGACTATCACTTATCCAACAATACGACGTGACACGACTGTCGTAGATTCGTATGGGAACAATACAGTCAGCGTCAACGATGCATATCGCTGGCTCGAAGATCCGGATTCTGATGAAACTGTAAAGTTTGTTTCGGAACAAAATGCTATCAGTCAAGATTATTTGAATAAGATTCCCTATCGAAACAAATTCTTCGAACACTTGAAAGAAGTTTTCAACATTCCGAAATTTTCATGCCCATCTAAGCAGCCAAATGGCAAATATTACTATTTTATGAATACAGGTCTGCAGAATCAAGACGTCTATTACGAATTAGATTCCTTATCGAAATCTACGGACGAAAGTCAAGTTTTTCTCGATCCAAACACGTTCTCCAAAGACGGAACGGTTGCTATTCAATCACTTAACTTTTCATTCGATGGAAAGACTTTATGTTACAGTGTGTCGGATGCGGGTTCCGATTGGTCAACGGTATATTTCATGGATGTTGCATCACGTGAAAAGTTAGATGACGTCATTATTCGCACAAAGTTCGCGTCCTTACGTTGGACAGCCGATAATCGCGGCATCTTCTATTCCACATACGCCGGCGCTCTTGATGCTGACGATTCAAAGGAGCCTCAAACTGAAGTAAATAATTCTGTACTCAGACTGACAAAAAATTCATTTTCGTTTAAGGCTGGTATCGAAGTTAAACGTACGGACGTTCAAGAAGTTTATTTTCACCGTCTCGGTACGCCGCGGTCATCAGACGTATGCATCGCTCGATGTGTCGATGAATTAAGTGAACATTTCTTTTCGATTAACACCTCTGATGATGGGCAATACCTTATCGCCGGTATATCGAAAGGTACACTACGCGAAAATCAACTCTGGATCCTTCCGTTGACAAAAAAATCTGACTCGATCGTCGAACAACCAAATTGGACCAAATTAATCGAGAATATGGATTTCGCTTATGATTTTGTCACGTCCGAAGGTGATTTACTCTATTTGAGAACAAATGCTCAAGCCGATAATTTTCGCTTAATTACGATCAATGTGAAAACAAAGGAAATCAAAGAAGTCATCAAAGAAAGTAGCACTGATATCTTAGAAGACGTAACACGTGTTTACGACAAATATTTCCTCGTTCGGTATCTCTCGCATGTGAAATCAATTCTTTACTTATACGAGATGGAAAGCGGACGACAGGTGCGAAAGTTTGATTTGCCAATTGGAAATATCTCGGCTTGGTATGTAAACATATCGTGTATATTCATGATACTACGAAATTTACTGTAGGGGTGATCAATTCGAATCGGAAATCTTCGTACGTCTGGAATCATTTCTTTCTCCAACAACAATTTACATGTGCAATCTTGCTGATTCACTTGATGCATCATTAAATGTATTCAAACGAATCGAGTTTCAAGGTGTTGATCTCAATTCAATGACGACAGAACAAGTTTTTGTTGATTCCAATGGATTGGATCCATCCCATCCTGTCAAAGTTCCAATGTTTTTAGTACACCGAAAAAACTTGCAGAAAAACGCACAAAATCCGACGAGTATTTACGTCTATGGCGGATTTTCGAATCCAACGAAACCGTTCTTCTCTATTACTGCACTACTCTGGATTCATCATTTCGATGGTGTCTTCGTTGTCACAAACGTGCGCGGTGGTGCTGAATACGGTGAAGTCTGGCATAAAGATGGTTACAAATCCAAGAAACGAAACACATATTTAGATCTATGCGCTTGCACGGAGTGGCTCATTTCAAATGGGTACACTCAACCAGAGAAGGTCTCGATTATGGGTGGTAGTAACGGAGGATTGACAGTTGCTGCTTGCGCAAATATGCGACCGGATCTGTTCGGATGCACTGTGATACAAGTTGGCGTACTTGATCTATATCGATATCATAAGTTCACTATTGGTAGGCGATAGGATAGGGGAAAACGAGAGAAATGAGTTGTCTTTCTATTTTAGGATACTACTGGTGTGGCGAATATGGCAATCCAGATGTACCGGAAGAATTCGAATGGGTAAAGTCGATTTCACCATTACACAATATTCCGAACAATCCCAAATCGTATCCAGCAATTTTAATTACAACTGCTGATCATGACGATCGAGTCGTACCAGGCCATTCATTTAAATACATTGCGCAGTTACAACATCAATTAAGTGAAACGATGAACCGTCTAGGACGACCATTGATAATACGTATTGACGTTCGAGCAGGACATGGTAATAATGTATGAATAAGAAAAATCATTTTCATCGAAAGAGTTTGTTTAGGTGCGGGAAAGCCAACTGTGAAGCGAATCGAAGAATTATCGGATACTTATTCGTTCATTTCCTACGCTTTGGGTGCTCAATGGCATGATTAAATCAAGCAACGAGAACATATTTTCCTTTGCAATCTTTTTAGCAATACTTCTTTTTTTTTTATTGATACGAGATTAAATAAACGACACGTGTCTCTGCACGATAAACACGGTTATTAACGTTTTAGATATGACCTCTCCTCGTGCAAAACTCACCAATCGATTGCAGACTCTTTGTACTGAACATGACTTAACTTGGGATGAACAATTAGCAAATGATATTCCACGAAAGTGGCGTATTCATGGCGATATGCTTCTCCTTCCGTCATCGCGTTGTTTTGTTGATCCTCGATGGACAACACATATACGTTAGTAATTTTTTTCTTTCACCTATTCGTAAATGTAGACGTCTTATACCTTTTTAGCATCAGATCTGTTTTGGACGACGGTAGCTCAAGCATTTGGCTCATCAATCAAACGCATTGCTTTCGAAGGCGCAATTAAAAATGACGACTTTCGATCACCAACCACACGACTAGTACTTGGCAGTGATCCGTGGGTACATTTAGTCGAGAACGGTGTAAAGTAGGTTAGTTTTGCTCTAGAGATATCATGACAGTGAAAAAGATGGATTTTATTTTAGGTTTTCATACAATGTGGATAAAAGTATGTTCTGTGCTGGTAATAATACGGAACGAATGAGAATGGGTCGAGTAACTTGCGTGAATGAGACGATCGTTGATTTATATGCCGGAATCGGATATTTCACATTACCATTTCTCGTCCATGGACATGCGCGATATGTGTATGCTTGTGAATGGAATCCTGATTCCTTGGAAGCCTTGCGTCGTAATCTCGAAGCTAATCATATCGATCAAGATCGTTACACACTCTTACTAGGAGATAATCAAAAGGTAGACTCATTGGTTTTCTTCATGTTTGTCATCTATCTTTTTTTCTATAGACATGTCCCGTGGGTGTCGCTGACCGGTGTAATCTCGGTTTAATTCCATCGTCGGAAGCCAGCTGGTCAATCGCCTGTCGAGCGCTTCGACGCGAAGGTGGACGGCTACATGTGCATGGTGTAGCAAATACCAAAGAAGAAACGCATGAACAATGGAGTGAAAATGTTCGACAACGTATTAGAACTCTGATGAAAGAAGTTCATTCTGATGATGATGATTATCAATGTGATATTGAACATATCGAATGTGTTAAACCGTATGGACCTCGTTTAGATCATCTTGTTGTCGATCTATTGTTGACGAGAATCGATTGTTAACTGTTTTTTCAAATAAAAATTCTGAATAGAATGAACTCATCGGCTTTCGATAATCACTCATTCCAAGATCAATCACACTGATGATCTTTTCATTATCTGCGAGTGCACTTTACATTTATTCTGTTTTACAAAAACAAATTAGATTAGAGATACATTCTCGTCTGAAGAATCGTCTATCGGCGTCGAAGTGAATATGAGAGGTTCATCTGCAACATCTACCGTAGTGATCGAATCTAAATGAAAATCTCGATGAGTTGTCATGTTGATCAAAAGATTGATTTCTTACTTTTTTCAGTTTGAGATAAACCATTCTCAATCCAAAAGTCTTCTTTTCCGATCTGAGAAGCTTGTCGAAACGGCATACCGGATAGGAGCGCAGCATTGAATGCTTTACTCTTATGTGATTTTTTTTCTAGAATGATTCAAGAATGAGTCATTGAAAATATGAATGACGAAGTACCTTTCTCGAACGGTTTCTTCGCCGATAGTTGTTCGGATATCGACTGGAATCGGCCACGCCACTGTTCATGCACTGTCGTACAACATTGTCGAGCGAATTGAGACAGATCATGGGGGAAAAGTGTTCGTACACGATCGGGCGATTTCTTAATCCATTCGAACAGAAGGAAGGCGTTTTGGACGATTTCTTCCGGCGGACGGGTGCATATATTTCGCGTTGTTTTAAAACAATTGTTAGTTTGTTTGTAAATCACTCGTCTCAAGCAACTTCGTCCTTTGAATTCGTTTAGTGTCAATAATCGAAGTGTATTCTTCACATAAGTCAAAACTAAGATAGGAGCAAGCTGTGAGCTTTGAACGGCAATACCTTCTTGAACTTCAAACCATCGATATCGATAGAGATGATCGCCAGGTCGAACATCCGAAACGTTGATTATATTAAAAAACATCTATATGAAAAACAAAACTTTGATATTTGTACTTTATTCTTGTTGATCTTTTACTAATGATAAGTAAAAGGTTCTCCTACTAAGCATTTTCTTTTATATGAATATTTTCAACTTAAGATATCTTCTTGAGCACGCTAACGGTAACATTAGATAAGGTTATCTATGTGTGATAAAGATTATGTTATGCAAAGCAGTTTTTGAATCAACAGGAGCAATACAAGAGAACATGAAATGAAAGTACGCATAAATAACACTTGAGAATCACCTCATCATCAACATGAATGATGATCTCATTTGACGTTCAGCACAACAAAGAAAGTCAGCTTTGGTATCGATTGAGAATCGACGGAAAAGTTACTTGCGACGACAGATTTCGATGTATGAACCTATTTTTCAACGTGAGAAATGTATACTAGAATTCAAGGGTAGTAGTTGCAACGAAGAGCACGACCTTTTAGCCATTGTGGACGAATTAACACCGGAGATTAGTCGATTTTTATGTAAATGCCACCAAACTTTGACGTCGATCATTATTAATCTAATCTCGTGATCGAATGATCTCGATACAATCGTCAATCGAAATCAATCATGTCGCTATTCAAGTTTCAATTTGACTTATCCATAAAACTATCTATAAGATTGGAATAAAGCGCCTCTCTTTCTGTTTTTTGATTGTTTTCTTTTCTGTTGAATTCGATTGTTTTTTTTTCGGCTCTACAAGAACGACAAGTGATGTTTTTCACTAGCTTGAAAACTTTTGTAAACAGTGTCTTAACTGTGTGGAGCTATGTTCAGGGAGTTGCGACCCACGTGTCTAACTTTATTTTTCCTACCACAACCAGTAAATGATTTCTCTCAATTTCGATAAATAGTGACGATTATGTCTCATAGCGGTAGCACCGGAAACCACCACAGCAACTATTAATCCATATTGTCAACTACCTTTATGCGGTAGCGGACATTATTCATGTCCGGAAGAGCAACTGACGCAAGATTGTCTTCGGCAACGATTAGCATTTGAACGTCTGACGACGCTTCAGCCAATAGCGAAAAAATCCAACGCTGACAATGATGATGATAATGATGACGACAAGAAAAAAACGGACAAAGATACCAACTCATCGTAAGCTTTATTTTCACTAAAGCTTCGCAAATCTCTCTCGTTCTTCTGTAAAGTTCTGGATTTATGCTTGTGCTCGTTGGTGTAATCGTATTAGGCATTGGTGGTTATTTGTACATGCGCTTTAGCCGTCAGAAGCCACCGACGGAGGTTGTAGATGACACTCGGAATAGTAGCGTATGGGAAGTATAATAATCATCTAATCATATCGTGAAACTATCGAAAACGCGGGATTAGAATTTATTTGACTAGGAAAATGCTTGATTACAAAAAAAAAAGAATATTACTATTACAAGTCTTCGATCGCTTTATGTTTTTTCAATAAAACTGTTAAATCACCTTGTTTTTCTAAATTTTCCAAATCTTCTTCATCGCCAATACATTTGCCGCCAATGAATATTCGTGGTACGGTGCGATCATCAGTTAAATTCTTTAATTCATCTTGATATTCATCGGTATTCGATAGTTCATTCAGTTCGAGTACGTAATACTTGTCTTCTAAATTATATTTCGATAGAAGCTTCTTCGCTGTTCGACAATACGGACATGTTGATTTGGAGAAAACAACCACAGGATATTGATGAATCAATTCTTGAATATGTTCAGCTGCTGATGGCATTTTAGTCGTATCAGAATGAAATGGTTTCTTGAGTTGAATAGGAAGGAATCCATCGAATGGATAGAATGCGTTTTTTCCTCTGCAAACTCGCATTTTGACCAAGTCTCGACACTCACTGCCACCTTTTGAAAGATCAACTTAACTCATCATACTAACGATTACGACAGTAATCTGTCCTTGAGCAGTGCGATTTCGTCGTATCAACGTGCTTTCGGTAGATCTATTCCCATGAGCACTACCTTAATTGCGTCGCTTCGAATTTTCTCTTACAAACACGAAAACGTTATGACAAAGATATGTGCGTAATTTCAACTATGATTCTAAACTAAAACAATATAAAAACATGTTTTTATCATTGTACTAGATTATACTACACGCATGACAGATGATCAATAGCCTTGTTGTTTATAAAGCCATGTTCGTCATATCTGTCGAATAATTTTCTCATTTTGCAACCTTGAACGAAGTACACACATATTACAAAATAACCATCGTAACATTTCATTCGAAGAACACCCTTTTAGCGAACCATGAGCGAAATACCATACGCACCGTTGAGCGAAAACACTCCTCTTCCTCGGGAGTCCGTCACGACACTCGGCTCGGTCAATACGATTCAATATGCGAACATGGAAACGCACAATCATTTATGTCGCATATGTCGTAATAAATTAATGAAGAAACAAGATACTGATCACACACCATTCGATTGTTTGACTGTCCGATGTGAAATGTTAGAAGCGGAAGGCATGCGATTGAAAGATCACGACATGAAGTCACGTATACAAATTAAAGAACTAGAAACGAAACTAGCTGCTTTGGAAGAAGCAGTACAAGGCTTGACTGCGCCAAAACAACAGCAAGCTGCACCCTTCAGTTTCGGTACACCACAAAAAGCTCGAAATCCATTCAAGAAAGCTCAATCGGTCGACGTTGCTGCACATACTCCCGAGATCAACTACGATAATATCTTACCACCTAAACGATCCGGTAGCCGAGAACGTGTCGGACTCTTCGGTAGTCTCGGTGCGACTTCACAAGTCCGATGAAGTCAACCAAATCTCAACTGCACATTTGATTAAATACGAACACGTCTTTGCTTTGTTGTCTTTTTTTTCGCAAATAAATTATTTTACGCGTCTCGATAGATATTGATAGGTTTGAATTCGATCCAAATACTCAGAATAGCCATTAGATTTATTTAGTGGTTGTTTGTTACGTAACACATACAGAGAGAAGGAAAAAGATCAATGGAAATACAGAATTATACATAAACGAACACAGTTGGCTGATAGAAATATTGAGAATTGAAATGAGACGATGATTCTTATGCTTAGACGTGTTTTGGTTTAGCTTAGGTGACACTATGAATTGCACAACGTAGAAAATAAGATAAAGAATAAAATAAAATAAACAGAAAAGGAATGATTTGTTTTTTCTCTTTCGATCATTGATTTGCTTCCTGTTCAAATTGAGACCAGGCTTCATTGAGTTCGACGAAAATTAATTTTGCTAACGGCTCATTCGGATCACCACGGAGCTACAAGAGAAATCTTCGTTCGAATGCAAGATTATTCATCAAGTCTCTTACTTTGTCCGGATGAATGTAAAGAACAGCTTTTCGGTAAACTTTCTTAACTTGGTCGGGAGTTAATAAATCATGCATATGACATCCACCCCAAGCGCATTCTGGCCATGTGACTGTTGATAGTGAACATAATAATGCTCGAATATTTCTCTTTTTGCCTTCAGTCCATTCTCGAACCTAATCGAATGAACACGATGAAGATTCAAGTCAGCGTTAACGACAAGGAAAACATACTCTGAGCACGGTTGGATCAAGATCTTTAGCTAGTTCGGCTTTACGTATATCGCCGATAGCTGCAGTACCTTGCCGTGCTTTTGAACCGAAATCCGACATTCCTGCTTGTTCTCGAACTAATGTATCGAAATCGATCTTAGTCGCTTGAGAACGAGCTTGAGACGGAGGTGGTTGAACCGGATCTATCAGTGGCAAAAGAGAAAGAACTTGTTATTTTTCAGTGAGGAGATTTCTTACTAGATTGTTGTTGTGTGGGCGGAGGAGTCGGCTTACTTGCTAGATTGATATTGTAATTAGGAATCGATGTTGTTGATGTAGGCGGTGTGCTGGGCGTTTTTGCTGCAGCTAAATGAAAAAAAATATGGAACGCTTCACGATTTTGCGTGTCATCCTTGCGCAGGGGCCATGCTAATCTTCTCTGTATCGTTCCAATTTTATTATATGCACCACCGAAGTGGGCGACGATGTCTCTTACTCTTTTCCTTATATATGGAAACAGAAGGAAGAGAAACAGAACGGTGAATGAACGCTCGTCATTCGTGTAAATGTGCGACATCTACCGACGACGACGACGACGAGTATAATAGAAAAGTTGTCTTACCCGCAGCTTGTTTAGCAGCCAGACTTTCATTACTTGACGTTTTTTGTGTTGTTGACGATGATGTAAATAAATCTTTGAATGGATCTAAACGATTGATATTTTGATTCGATGTTGACTTGGTTTCTGCTTTGAGTATAGTTGTTGCTTGCATAGGTGGAGGTAGGACAGTTTCCGACGCATTTCGATGTAGTATCGGTTTATCTAATGGCATTGAATTGAAATCAACGCCAAGCAAATCGTTGGTTTTGACTGGTTGAATCGGAGCTGAAAATGTTGATGGAGTGTCAATATGTAAATCAAACAGATCGTTTTGGGTATTCGTCAGCATGGTTGGTTGGCTTTGAAAAGCGTGCGAATCATCGCCAGTGATGTCAAGTAGAGTGCCAACTGCGACTTCGTCATTAGGTTGTGCTTCTTCTTGAAACGAAGCTTTAGTTTCTCCTTGTTGCTCTTGAAATGGATTCGAGAAGGTCGTTTGCGGTGACGGAGATGCGCGACGATTAACTTGAGGAGAAGATGGATTACTAACATTTGCAGTTGGTTGAGCAGCATTGAGCTTAGTCGAACGGTTCAATGAAGGCGATTCCGTTGGAAAGTTACCACGGTATTGATAACCATCACCTACAGAAGAAGAAGAAGAAGAAACAAAATCAAATGAGATTTTGTAATAGAATGTAATTTGATCTGTAAAGATAAGCAACAACAACAACGAACTGGAACAATATAGAGTCTTACCACTCGAGATTTTAAATCGTTTTTCTAATTGATTATTCAAAGCGATATTCGAATATAAAAGAAGGAAAGAATTTACAAACTACTCACCGTATTCTTCAATCGTATGGCGAAATTCGATATCGTCTTTGAACAGACATTGTGGTTTTTTCGATGTACTGTCCAATTGTTTCGAAATAACATCTTGATCGTTTGATGCCGTTCGTTTCGATACTGTTGTGTCAAGTGTAACACGGAAAGATGGCGGATACTTTTCCGTATGTTCAATACCATCCAATTCATATCTAAACGAAGACGTGAGTACGATTTGAGTATTGTTCATATGATGACTTACCGCGAATAAGATAATTCGGAATGATTTAAGGAACAAAAGTTTGAATTTATCGTTAATTCACATATGCGAATGCCACCGTCCTAGAGAAAGAGTTCATCTTTCATTTCGAACAGCATTTGAATTGTGAACTCACATGGGCGTGTAATGATAAGCCGACAGGAGCATGTGAAACGTGAATTGTCAGATCACCATTGAACGGAACATTGAGTGGCACGAGACAAACACCGTCCATTGCAGTAAACAAACTAAGAGTCAAGAGTTTATTCGAATCACATCGAGAAAACCAGTTCTCACCGAAGTTTATTTGAATCTTGATACGTTGAAAATATCTTTTTACCCTCTGGGTTTAAAATATCTACATATGGTCGACAACCATTTCTATAACAAGTTGATGGATACACATGGATTCTCGAGTTGAAAATACAAACCTTTCTCGATTGAATAGTGGAACTGGTGAGAGATTGATTGATTTCAGAACCAGCTCATTAAAATGCGGTCTTTCGATTGTGCCACATGCTAAATCGCAGATATATTGAATGTATCTACGGAAAACAAAAGTTCAACTTGAATGAAAAAGGAAAAGGAGGAGAAAAACCTTTTTTGAGACATTGTCAACATAGGATGTGCACAACGGCGGGCTTCATAATACCGAACAATGTGATCCACTTGTTGAAACAGTCCATGGTAGGCAATTAATGCACATGCGGCAAAAGCAACTTGATTTCTTCCATCCTATGCGACACATTTCCTCGTAATTATTCGAAAACTTCAATAAATTCTTACATAACAATGAAGAACAGCGACGTTTGATGATGATTCCAACAAAAACGAACTGAGCTTTTGGCAGAAACATAAAAGGTCGATCAGACGTGGCGCATGCTTTTCATCGCCTAGCGGTAAATCGATCACCTAAATGATAACAAAAAGAAAAACAAGGACAGTTCGAATTCATTTGTAGAATCAATAACAGACTCGATTGTGAAAAATTTCTTTTCGATAGCTTGGATGATTGCGATGCGGATAATCGAGCGAGAACAGCATGTACGATTGGGAATGTTTTGTATCAAGTGAATCACGAATTAATTCCGCGGATTGACGACCAGCTAATTCTGTTGGATTATCACGTGGTGTAGCCATGACTGAGAATAACAACGAATGCAAGCGATTTGTTTTTACAAATGAGCGTCTTTACCGATTAATTTCGATGAGATATAACTCATATCAACTTCGAAATGATGATGTGGACTAGAACCTCCAATTGTCGAGCTTGTTGGAACATTTGTGGCTAAAGTTCTATCGAAAAGACACATCCATCAACGAAAACAATTGGGTGAAAGGCAAATTTTCTTTACTGTTTAACTTGTTGAACACCTTCATTGATTACTTTCGTGGATGTGTCTAAAATATTCTTCATCCATGTCTTTCCCGATGTATTTAAACCTTTGATCGATGATGGAAGGTAACTGCTCACGCCAGCACCAAATGACGAGCTACTAGCAGTTGTCGGTGGTCTTGGAGCATCTAAATCACGTGTGATTGATGAAGCTTCTTAAATAAGAAGAAAAGATGTTATCTCACTTATCGGTGACGGGTTAACGGCGGCACCAGAGGAAGTCATTGTATTAGTTGGCGATATTATTTCATTTGTATTGAAAAGAAACATTAGTGGTTCGTTGAGACCGACATCATTTCCAATGGCTATATCTTCGATATTTTCAACAAGCGTATGAATTGTTGGCCGTTGACGAGGATCAATTTGTAACAAAGTGCCTAAACGAATGAACCGCATATTCATTCACTATTATCTCAAATCACATTCTGCTAAAAGCGCATAAATCTCCCGAGAGAAAACGGTCAATTTCCGTTTCATTTTACTGCGCATGACTACTTACGTATAAGATCATGAAGGACAGTATATTTTGTATTATTAGCAGGTATTGTATATTTTGCATTAAGAATTCGTAATTTTGCTGAATCTTCGAACGGATGATTGATAAAACATAAATAATACAGAAGACAACCAAGTGCCTAAAACCATTCGTTATAAACAATAAACAACTCAAAGAAAATCCTCTCTCCATTACCCAAATGTCTACTTGTTCATTGATAGGATAATTACTGTACGTGTCTAACATTTCCGGTGCTCTGTACATTGGTGTCGTAACTTTAGTCATTTCATCTTCGACGAAATCGCGTTTTTTAACTGTCCAAGTTTCATCCGGTAGGTAGACTTTCGTGGTTGCCGAGCCGAAGTCACACAATTGAATGAAACCTGCGGATGTTAAAAGACAATTTTCGACTTTTAGATCTCGATGAATGATGGGCGGTTCTTGTTCGTGCATGTGTTTCACAGCGCGGCAGATTTGGTAAAAAATTTGAATGACTTGTTCCACTTCTAATGATTTCGAACGATGAACAACTCGTTCATATAGCCGTCCACCGGAGCAATATTCTGTTACAAGTAAATACTCCGTACGACGTAACGTTGGATCTTGATTTGATGCTGCGGCTATGTATGGAACGATATGCGGATGACCATTTAGTTTTTGCTAAACGCAGAACACATAATTTCGGATGATGTCGAAGAAGTTCGACTTACTAGGAATGATATTTCCTGAGCAATAGCTTTTCTTGCGCTATCATCTGCAGCGAACAATCTCTGAAGAGACAAGACAAATCATTGACTCGTTCATTCATTCAATATGCTATTTTACTTTTAATGCGTATTCTTTGTTTGTTTTAACGTCGTAGGCAATGAATACCAACGCATAGCCACCTGAAAAATCGATTGCATATGAAAATAAACAGAAAGTTTATGATTTACCCTCGGCAATTTGATTTCCAACGCGCAATCGAATGTTTCCGACATCAACAATTTGACCAGTGAAATCGCTTCTAACACCTCCACTCCCTGCTCCCGATGAACCGCTACCTAGTCCAATATTATTCGTAATACGAGCACTCGATCCAGCACCGAATGCTGCGTCAATAGCCGACTTGAATATATCGACCATTTAAAAACTTCTTTGTTTATCTCAACTAACTTTATCTAAAAATCGACAAAACAGAGGTTGTTTTGGCAACAAAATAGACCGGGATGTATCTGTATGAAGAACAGATCGCTGTTCGAAAAAGAAAAGAAAAAATATAGTGCTAATCTTATTGGTTAATAAGAAGTTGAAGTGGATTTTCAAGTAAATATTTGAGTTCGTTAGAAAACCGGGCCATTGTAGCACCATCGATAACACGATGATCTGCCGACCAACTGACCGACATCATTGAACGGATGCTGTACGAACAGTATTCTTCGTCACTTGAGCTTGATGAACTATCACCGTCTTCTTCTTCATCTGGAACGAGTCGTCGCTATTGAAAAGAAATCGAAGTTCGCATAGATCAATCAACGAATGATCTTACCACTATTTTCCCGAGCGCACCAATGGCAACTTCCGGTAAGAGTAGAACAGGTACTGCATAGGTTCCACCAATCTATCGAAAATCGAGATCAATAGATTTGAGTACACTAGTCAATTTTGGTCTGGGGAGACGATCTATTCGATTAAGCAAAACTAGCTGTAGAGCGATTATCAAGGAAGCAGTGCGACAAATCCCCGAAGAAAATCAAGGTCTTTCTGTCGCAATCTTATCTATTGTATGGTACAGTGAATAGAATTATTTAACCAGAAAGTATTGACAAAATGTTCTTATTCGGAAAATTGAGGGTTCACTCTTACGTACAGCTCCGATGTTCGATAATGAAAATGTTCCACCGGTAAGATCATCCGTGGATAACTTTCCTGCTTTGCCCAATTGTTGAAGTCGACTGAGTTCGCTTGCAATTTGACTTATCGTTAATTGCTGAACATTTTTTATATTTGGTACTAACAAACCATCTTTGGTGTCCATAGCAATGCCGATATTATGTGAACCCTTAGAAATGACTTCAACTTAGATAAACAGAAAACCTCCTGCCGAGAGGTAACATACTTTGTATGTAATCGTTTCACATTTCGCATCGACATGTGCGTTCAGAATGGGATAATTTGTCAAAGCATGTGAACATGCTTTGATAATAAATGGTAAGTAAGACATTTTAATATCTTTGTTTTGCTTCTTCAATTGTTTTCGTAATTTTACTAATTGTGACAGATCGTATTCATCACAGTATGTAAAATGCGGTACAGCATTTGCCTGAGTCATAGTTTTAACCATGGCTTTGCGAATGCCTTTGATTGGTTCGCTACGATCAGCTACTGTTGCGGTCGTTGGGCGAGGCTTTGGTGCTGGCGCTTGTTTGACAATAGCAGGCGATGGTGGAGAGGCTTCTAGAAACGAAAAAAGAAGATCTCGTTGTAGATGATGGTGACAATGATGAACAAAATAGTGAAACAAACTGCTTGGAGATGGAGGCTTAGAAGCGCTAGATTTATGATTTAATAAATCTTCCTTTAGTATTCTTCCGTCTTTTCCGGAACCTTGAACATCGCTCAGTGAAATCTAGAAAGAATTATTACGAAAAAAATGATAGCACATATCTTTGGTCTTACTTGTAAATCTTTAGCCATCCGTCGGACAGCTGGTGTTGCTAAAATATTGGATAGTGGACTTTTATCCTCGATCTGAGTCGCCACTGATTCTTGCGCAACCACCGGTGCTGCTATAAAGATATCAAACCAAATTCATTCATCCGAATCGCGATTATCGACCTTACTTTTTGTTGCTGGAACATCCACGCCATGTTCTACTCTAATATCCACGAGCGGCTCACCGACTTTAGCCGTATCATTAACATTGTAATGAAGTTTCGCTATTGTTCCATCATAACGCGAGGTGATCGTTACATTGGCCTTGTCAGATTGAACTTCACAGATCTTATCGAACTGTTTTACTTGATCACCGACATTAACATACCTAAAGACGGATATTTAGATGTGCGAGAGTTGATATACTTGGCTTTTTCGTACGAACCATTCTTTAACTTCGACTTCACGTATACCTTCACCAATGTCCGCTAATTTAAATTGAACAACGGATGACAAACGAGAGATCGATAATGAAAATGGACGAGAACCAAAATGCTACAATATCAATGATCGTTCAGCCAAAAAAACATCTTCTATTTCACTTGTCCTACCGATACGGAATTAGTTTTTAGTATATTTGGAACATTGGCTGTACGCTTTTCTAATGAATGAATGGAGGAAACAGCTTGGTAACTTAAAGGCGAAGGTCGCTTGAGCATATGTAACGAATATGTAACACAACGAAGAGCTGCATTATGATATGCATAACGTGTTAGCATTATTCTCAGTCGAAATCAAATAGAATCTAGTAGAGAAAGATACGAATTTGTTCTCGAGTGATATTGTTAACTAATTTATACACACGAGATCGAGATCTATGGAATAGCGAAAGAGAAAAATAGTTGCCCACTCACACACAACTTTGAATGATTGAAAGCTGAAGACAAAAAATAATAATCCTTTATTCGTTTATAAATTATCCATTAAGGTTTTTTAACGAAGAAATCTTTTTTAACAATCCTTTCTCGTGTAAAATAAACAAATCAGAATGACAATCAATACGTGTTTCCAATTTTTCCTATTGAAAACAAATCCAAGCATAACTTGTTTTGATAAATAGATGGCGGTAGTAGTCATTTGTGAGAACAAGGCAAAACTATATAATTCTGTTTTTCTTATAATCGGATCGTTTTCTTGACTTTAATAGAAAATGACAAATGTGTTAATTTTATTTTCTTCCCGAAGTTTTTAAATCAAAAAGCGATTCTCACGTATTTTTGATTTCCTCAATGAAGCAGAAGTGAAATATAACACAATTGGAAAAAAGAAACAATTTCCGGTGACTTCATTCAGAAAAAAAACTAATTAACCGATACTTTATTGACTTGTATTGGCGACATCATCCGTCCCACACATACTCTGGAAGTTATTTGAATAGCAATAAATCTTTTCGTCAATATAATAATAGTAAATAATGATGTGTTAATATTTCTGTTGAAAAATCTATTCAGAAATGTTTTCTTAGTGGGAGAGATGAAGCCAATTCATTTGACTGAAGTTCGGCTAACTGATTATGTACTTTATCTCTTATGTAAGTATATCAGTTCTGTGTGTGTGTTTTGTTTTCCATAGAGAAGAATAGTTTGTTTAAACCGGAATGTATTACTTGTTAAAAAGTTAAACAAGAAAATATGTCCCAGAAAACGAAAAACGATATTACAGATGAGTTGCAATAAGAAAAGATAAAACTAAAAGCATATGAAGTTGTTAAAGACAAACAAACGTCAGAGAAACGAATTCAAATCAATCAAAGAATGAATGATTGTGTTCTTTCAACTGAGTATATTGTCGGTTTAATAACCTGACGATGGTTGAATGAGTTTTGGTTGTTAAGAAACTGGTTGAATGGTAATTTCAGATCCGTAAGCTTGAGCGGGTATTGGTTGTTCAAATGTTGGCAAGAGTTTTGGTTGTTCAGGGATTTGAGATCCGTATCCTTGGATGAGTTTGGGTTGTTCAGGGATTTGAGATCCGTATCCTTGGATGAGTTTTGGTTGTTCAGGAATTTGAGATCCGTATCCTTGGATGAGTTTGGGTTGTTCAGGGATTTGAGATCCGTATCCTTGGATGAGTTTGGGTTGTTCAGGGATTCGTGAACCGTATCCTTGGATCGGTTTTGGTAGATCAAATCTTTGAATGAGTCTAGGTTGTTGAGGAATTTGCGATCCGTATCCTTGGATGAGCTTTGGTTGTTCAGGGATTTGCGATCCGTATCCTTGGATGAGCTTTGGTTGTTCAGGGATTTGAGATCCGTATCCTTGAATGAGTTTTGGTTGTTCAGGGATTTGCGATCCGTATCCTTGGATGAGCTTTGGTTGTTCAGGGATTTGAGATCCGTATCCTTGAATGAGTTTTGGTTGTTCAAGAATTTGTGAACCGTATCCTTGGATCAATTTTGGTTTGATTTGTGAGCCGTATGCTAAAGACAGATGATAGGTCCGTAATAGAGGGAAGAGCAGTAATAAGGAAACTTACATAGTTGCTCGTCAAGTTGTGGTACAGTTGTTTGCATATCTGGCCAGACACAAGCTTTGCTTGCATCTTCCCAAATTGTACCACCAGGGCATGATTCAACAAACATACGTTCACCATCGCACATAATGAAGCCTGCGTTAGTGATACTTAAAGCTTGTGGGCCATCGACACCTTGGCATGGGCTGGGAACAACTAGAAATTATTCCAATAAGAAATATTGCCTTCTTCTAGCTTTTTCATTGAACTCTCCATTACAAACCTTGTGTATTGCTAAGACCGTAAGCGAGGCCATCTTGAAAGATGCAGATGTATTGAAGAGCAGCACCTAAACGGAATGATTGGCATCGGGCATCTGGTGATTGTCCGCATGGAGATTGAGTTTGACAGATGCGGGCATCTAATTCACAGTTTTGACCGTCGAAGCCAGGGGCACATTGGCATTGGTAGCTTGAGTCAGTTGCAAGGCATTGACCACCGTTGAGGCATGGTTGGGAAAGACAGTAGTCTTGTGGGCCATATTCTGAATTGGAATAGAAATAGAAAATTTTTTGTTACCTAATTACAACTTAGATTAAGAAGGAAAACATACTGCGTTCACATCGACGTGTGGATGCGCGGTAGACAAGACCTTTTGGACATGATTGTTCAGCACCTTTGCCATCATCGAGACAGACAACAAATCGACGACCATCATCTAATGGAATGACGGTTTCTGGAGCTTGACCACGGCAGAGGTTGTCTATAACACATGGCAGATGTTAAGTTCTTCGTTGAAAATAGGCATTTTCGAAATCCTACCAGCTTCGGTGACGATGGGGATTTGTGGAACTTGAGGGACTTGAGGGGCTTGTGTTTCGTCAAAAGCGAACATGCGAGGAGCAGCACCATAACCTTGTGTTGGTAAAACTTTTGGTGCGGTGAAGATTTGTGAACTAGAAAAAGGAAAATGACATTAGGAAAACAAACTTCATCCCTATGCAATTCTTACCCATAGGCAACTGGTATTTGTGGTTGTTGCACTTGACCGTATCTAAATAATAAATCAATAGATCAGATAAGAGATTCTTCTTATGAGAAAAATCGTACGATGGTTGTTCAAGGGATTTTTGTTGTCCGTAAGCTTGTGGGATGACTGGTAAGATTGGTCGTCGAATTGGGTTTTCACGGATCATAGATAGCATCTTAGGTAAGGCTGATCCATAGCCACCTGCTTGACCTAAAGTTTCGATAGGATTTCAAGAGAGAAGATAATTTATTTTCAAAACTAACCATAAGCGGCAAAAGCTGAGCTCGACAGAGCGAGCAAGCAAACCAATGATATCTATTCCAAACGTTAAAAATAAACATTTCAACACAATATCAAAATTATCCGATGAACATACCCAGGTCATTGTATCCAAAGATATAATATCGTTAAGCGTTTAACTGTTATCGACTTAAAATAAGACGAATAGTGAAGAGATCACTGCGTTCCATTGCTATTTATATTGCATTTCGATATCTACCTAGAGATCGATGAACAAAGAGTGAAAGAGAGAGAGTGATATCACATTAGATTACATTACTTTATCGTTTCTATTCCTTTGTACGAGCATTATAAACATTCGATTTTTTCCTTTCTTTCGCACAATTGTCGAGGGACTTCATAGGCGAACAATGAAACGACGATTTAGTTATCATTTGTCATTTTCATTCGTTCCAGAAGAATCGTCAAATCACTCTCTTCATAATAATGCAGTTAAACTTCACTTAATGTTCTCGCTGATCATTGCGTTCAAATTCGACGAATACAGACGTAATTGGCTAGGCATACTTGATTGACTATTTTCATTTGACTATCGATATTATTTCTTGCAAGTCATATTTTAGAAAAAGTATTCTGAAAATAACTAGATTTTTTTTTGCAATTACCAGCAAATAGCTGTTATTATTTTGTGATTATCAACAGCATATTATCGCAATTTCGACTTAAGGGAATACGGATCGATTTCAATGTCCCTAGCAGTTAATCTCTTTTGATTGCACGAGAAATTCAAGTCTATGTTTATAACTTCATCAGAAGAGAATTTCTGACCTAAAATTCTCCTACATTGTTTAATACACATGCTAAAGACAGCTGATAGTTTGTCTATTAGTCGAGCATTGTAAGATCAAGTGCAAAGAATAATGGTGACCTTATTCTTTCTAGCAGAAGCAACAATCTTAATCGTCTCTTCATCGTCGAAGTACCACTTGACATCGTGAAGAAAGAAAAACGAATTGCGTAGGATTCAATGACGTTTTATTCGAAAAAAAAAGACTGATTTGTTTCTATCAACAAGCCGCAAAGATCTTCTGTTTGTGTTGATTGATTGATAATATTTTATAATCTGTGTGTGTCGAATTGCCTTCTTCGAGCACTAGTGCATCAGTTGGTGAAGGTCGAGAAGGAAAACTTGCGTATTTGTTGTTCTTATAGAAGTATCTGTCTCTCTCTCGCTTTCTTTTTTCATGTCAAAATAAGAACAAATGATCATATGGAACATATAAAAGAAAGTTAAATGCAAATCTCTTAAGTGGATGTTGTTTGTTTCTCTTTCTGTCTACTGATGTCGTAGCTAAATGGAAGTCAATGAAACCTCGATGAGTATTCTTTTTCTTGAGTGATAAATGAACATCTTTAAATATCTGTCAAAGAATGATGTTAGTCAGAAATTCGATTCGCTTGCTTTTCTCGTCAAACGATGTAACTTTCCGTTGGCATGTTTCTTTGATGATCGATGTATTTGCTTGTTGTTATTATTATCCATACAACCATATCTTATAGACAAGATTCTCGTGTATCTTCGTCTGTCTCTTCCTCTTTCTCTTCTTCTTCTTCTTTTTCTCACAAGTAGAGAAGCTCTTTCATCTCTTCATCAACAAGGCTATTGACTTGGAGACACAAGAACGATTTCCTCTCGAATAAATATGTGATGTTTCCTTCGTCTAATCGTCAGTATTGATTTTCCTTTTAATTCAATTTTGGTACTCATTCTCGTGGAAAAATGATTCTCTGTAAGTAAGTTAATAAGTTTTCCGCAGATATTTACGTATCTCTCGGCTTGGCTGGCAGTGTACTTTTGATTATGATCCAACACGTGCAACAAGAAGCACTGATGACTGCACCATAATGAACGTTCCTTGTAGATCGAAACTACCTAGCAAACTGTCGTCCTCGGGTCATCACCACACCGGCCGTGGTGTGTCACCATCGATAAATGTCACTTCGAGTGGATCAGGGACGAATTATGCGATACCGTCGTCAGCATCATCGAACTCAACACATCAATATCTCTCTGCGAAGCGATGCCAAAGTGCTCAGTCGTCCTTATCGTCATCAGCAGCCGATCTACGAGAATTGACAACGACACTCCAAGAACTAAACAGCCATTTTAAGAAAAATGTGAAACTTTTAGGAGAAATTAAAGACAACATTGTTAAAGTTTACGAAAAACAAGAAGCACGACCAGTGGATGATACTTCTGGCGTACACAAACTAGAACGCGTACGTATATGTTTTTTTATTAAAATACTTTTATCTTCGATGTATTTGACTAGGCAAACAGAAGAGATTATATAAATACGATTAGAGTATAAATATCTTCTTGATATTATTATAGTTTCACTAGGGAATGCACTACGACGATCGACGATAACAGAGAAATTGTATCTTAATGATCGATGAATACTCTCTGAGAGAATAAGAAAGTAAATAGAACATATTTGTACACATCGATGCAAATGGTTCTGTTATGAGTACATCTGACGAAGACGAACGATCTTTATCGTCGTGTGCACGTGTCTATGCGCATCTTTGAACACAATGTTTCTTTGCAATTCGGTGTTTTCTAGGTAACCGTGGAATTGCGAGTAGTGTTCTTGAAGATCGGTGAAATCGATACGTTGAAAGAACAGTTTCAAGCAGAAGCTTTCATCCAAGCGCGTTGGCATGAGCCGACATTGAAAGGAACGGTAAATGGAATATAAATTTTGTTCGAGAAGAACTCGATTTATTTCTTAGGACATCGACTGCTTTGATGCGAACAAGTTTTGGAATCCACTGTTATATATCGACAATTCTGTTGGAGATATAAAAAATGATGTTTGGCATAAAGTTGTCTATGATGGCATTGACATACCAATGATTTACGAAATGCGAAAAGTCAAAGGCGTCTTTCTAGAAAATTTAGAATTGAATGATTTTCCAGTTGATGTTCAAGTAATGGATTCATTTCCGAAATTTCAAAAAAAGATAAAATAAAAGAATTCCTTCTATCTTTCGTAAGGATTTAACAATTACAGTATCGACGACAAGAACAGTCAATGAAGTGTTGCTCACTACAGATACCCAGCAATTGAGTGCGATTAATACACGTGAGAGACGCTCTTTAGTTTGATTGATAAGGAAGATTGGTCGTTTATAGATGCCTTTATTGATCAGCAAGAATGGCGTTTACATGAGCATGTGGAGACGTCGACAAAGTTATTGTCGAGTCCGTTTACACCATCACAAAATCAGCATCCAGCATTTTCGGCAACCTGTAAAGCAATTCTCTGATTTTCCATCAGAACGAAATCGTTTATTCTCATTTCAGGTCATGCTGCCCGTCGACCCGGTTATTTTTATTGGAACGTTTATTTTCTAATCGTAATTATCTCTTACCGAACTTTCCATACACACACACCGTCGACTTCCTTCTTTAGTTTTTTATAACAGTAATGGCATTTGCCACGTTCAGTGTCACATATAATCTTCCACAAAATCGTCTTCAATTGAGTTTCACACTTCTACTAACTGCAGTTACTTTCAAATGGGTGGTTGTTCGATGTTTACCAACGATATCGTATTTGACAACCTTAGTAACGTCATTTAGACTCTTCTCCTCTCGAAACATGTCTCGATGATATTCTTCTAGGATAAATATGTTCTCTTGTCGATGGTCATGTTATGTGTCGTGTGCGCATGGCATGCCATCATCGCTGTATGTCCAGTCGATGTCGCCCAACATTGGGATAATGTGGCATTGTCATCTTTAGCAATAATTTATACTGTATTTCATGCTGTATTCTTTCTCTGGATGTATTTTGTGGTGGGTAACGATTTGTGGTATTGTCTTAAAGAGAAAAACAAAATTGTTTCTCGATTAGACATACCGACGACGACGAGTAATGAAACGTAAAGACAAGGAATATTCAGTAAGTTCACAATTTTAGATAAAGTTGCTACAAACTTGATCAAGAGTTCTCATCTAGACTATAACTAATACAGATCAAAGTCCTAAGATAAGACAAACAATATAGCCTGTAAATCAGCTAAAGCATGCGAAGGAACTAAACGGAATCATACGCGCATGTGTCGCATGAACGAATTAATGATCTCAGAAATAAAGTCGATGTTTTTCTTTCTTTCTTTTTACAAGAAAATTCGTATGGAACGTTTGAATTCGTTCGGACATCATACTGGTGACGAATCCGATGCTTATGTTGGCTCAGCAGCTACAACCGTAGTACGTAAAACAATTCCAACTGGAAAGAATGCGCAACGTATGTCAATTGCGTCTGAAGAAACGAATCGATTGAATCCAACGGACAGAAATCATAAGATTCTAACAAATAAACATACATTAGAAGAACAACAACACCGAGTATCGATGAGACAACCATCGGGAATTAATAGCTCACATACTTTACCAAATAATCATACAGGCCAACAACTTCTATTAACTTCTGGTGATATTGAAGCAATGACTATGAAACAATTTCGTATTGGTTCACTTGGATGTTGAAATCACTTTTCCTCGTCTTAATAAAGATGAACAGATGACTAAATTGTATTGAATATACATGGAAACATAGAACAGCATGTTTACTAGTCTAATCACTCATTTGATCTAACTTCAGCAAAGAGCTGCTCTATTTTCACATACTTTGAGAACAATCTGACGTCGTTTATAAGTCCAAGTGTGCGCCGACACAGGCACAAACATCTGCAGACGTCATTCTAGCGTAGAAAGAGATATATACGTGAGGGAAATAGATGGATGCTATCGATATTTATCATCTGTAACTTTGAAATGGCCGGATTTCCTAAAATATCTGACTAGCAATTAATATCGACTATGTTGTGACAAATGTCAGAAGACGAAACAATTGTTCGATGAAAATAGAACGGAAATATACGGACATCATCTTGTATAACAAAGATACTGTTCAGATTGTTTCTAGTTAGCGCACAAACAATACGCGTTGATTACTAAATAAACATTGGAACGTCTTCTGGACATACCGACACCGTCAACTCTAGATTTCATCTTCTTTCGTTCTTTATACGCACATCAATCAGTAGGCAATGATTGCAGCATATTTATTTTAAAGAAATATTCCGTAAATCAGTTTTATATTTGAATCCTTAAATTAATTATTTTCAATTGTAACAAAAATATGAAATGACAAGAAGTGAAAGGAAGTAGTAATGATAATCTTTTCGAATGTAATATACGTAGCCCAAATCAGGAGCTACGGCAAACCTCTACAAATTGTCTGACAATTTCAACGTTGCAGGATTGTTTCTTTTGTTGAATTTGGTGGATTTTTCCTTGATTTGAATCTTGACCGATGCACTGTCAACATTGGATGTTGTCGCTTGACTTTCTTCGTCGGAATTCAACAACTGATCTTCTTCTTCGTCAATGTCTTGTTCCAGTTTATCGAAACCCTGCTGAGGAGGATGCAACCAACTTGTGAAGAGCGAGCCACCACTAGTGCGATTGTTTTTCAGATCAAATGAGTATGAATTCGAACGTTTATCTTGACCTAGATACAATATTTAGACAAGTACTTTACGCGAAAGAGGAAAGAGCTTTTTCCATACGTGATTTCAAAATTCGACAAATGCCGTAGAGAATGAACGTAAGAGTTGTTGCAATAAGAGTGCAGAATGATACGACGATTGTAATTCTTACTATTTTAGGTGCAATAGCGAATTTTTTGTATATAGTCATAGTTGTTTTCGAGAAACTTGTAGTCAAAGTGGCTTTGGTTTCATCTTTCTGAAGGACGAATTTGTGTATAGAGTTTGTGGGTGGCGATACCAATTCCCCAACATAAATCTCTGCAGCTGCTCTTGAAACGGTTATGTCGTGGGCAGCAGATAAAGGCTGAAAGGAGAAATAGTAGTCCGTTTCACTGTCAACTACTTTTATTCGCAATCCACTCACTGGATTTCTCTCGAACTGTGCGACAATTTCGCCATTTTCTGCGTTAATTACGTAGATCTTCTCGTTCGCTGTTTGAGGGCCACCAGTAACAGCGAATAGAAGTGCATTTGCACCTAAATAAGAGGGCACAGTTGGACTAATAACAAAGACTTCGTTTCATAGTATCAAACCGTTAACGTGTGGAGCAAATTCAATCGCATAAATGGCACCATTTGTTCCTCTGGGTTCAACATGTATTTGACGGAGAAAATTGCCCGTTTCCGAATGAAAACATTGAATGCGGAAATTTTCACGATCAGCAGCACACAACAAATACGCATCTTCGTTCAATGCAATGGAATGAACGATATTCCATTCATTGGGCAGTGGATAGTCATCGCCTAAATGATATCTTTTGGCTTAGGCAATCAAGTTAAGCGATAAACTTACTATCATGCATGCCACTCATTGACGAACCCCATTCTTTAATAAATTCACCTTTTGCATTAAATTTGACAATACGACTATTGCAGTATCTAAAATACCATAGATAAACTAAATTGATTTGATATTCTGTCGACAGTACTTACCCGTCAGCGACAAAAAAGTCTCCGCTCTTCATCACAGCAACATCTGCTGGTCGACAGAATTGATTGGGACCTGCACCCGATTGAAATTTTTGGCCTACAGTCAGGACCGGATGCGTTAAATTGTCCGATTTAAACATAAATACTTGGTGCATGGCAATGTCAGTTAACCAAAAATTTCCTCGGTGGTCTATTGTTAATCCATGTGGCATGTAAAACAGATTGGCACCCCATTGGGATTTAATCAGTCCAGTTTGTGTATCAACATGAGTGAGAACGTTTTCTTTAATTGCACCATAGATTTCATTACGAAAACGAACGCCATCGAAGTATCTGAAAGATATAATGTTGTTTTGTACGTGAGAATACTGTACCCTACTGAGATTCCCATCTTCGTGTACCACGATGGAATACAACAAGTTCTTTGTCCCCGTTATTCAAGGCAATACCGCCGACATGGCCAAGTTGACTTGTTGTCGTCTTCTGCTCAGGCCAAGTTTCAATATTTGTGTATTTTATAGCTGAAGCGAAAAAAAAACTAAGCGTGGGTTTGCACGACGAATACCTACCATTTCGAAGTACTGTTGTTTCGTGTTTGTTACCGTGAGCCTCATGATTGACCGGAATGACGCCATCTGGGTTGGGCGGAGCAATTAAACTATCTTCAGGAAGAAGACTAAGTGCAAATGTTGTTTTTCAGTGAGAGTATTGAATAATCCGAATAGCTCTCACCTCGACATCTTACTGACTGTATCACCCCAACAACCTTGAACAGGTGATCTACCGTTTTGACTTTGTATTGCTTCATAGGAGTACATTGCATAAACATTGCACATCTCATCAGAATGCGTTGACCTAGTCATATGTACTTGAGCATCATTCTGGTGAGAAAAGTCAAAATAATCTCACCCAGCATGAATGATTCGATCGTCATTATTATCATAAACACATTGTCCAATAAAGAAATCGCCTTTTTCGATTTGAACAGGCGCTGGTAGGGGATAGAATGCTTGTGGCCACTGTGGATTGCCCTTTGTAACTAGTGACACGGTTCCGTCACGTACTCGATACAGCGAATTAACGCGTGCTATTAGTCAATTGGAAAATAGTAAGTTTTCAATGAAACAAAATGACTAACCCCATTGATGAGCATGAACACGAACGGCAAAAATAGAAATGGGTGGACCATTATATTCACACGAAAATGGTGTACGAATAGCTAAATTAGCCATGAAGAATTGACTATCAATTACCAAGACAAATACCACAACTTACTTTTTGTTTTCGCAGGTAACACTATGGCACCTGTAGCGCCTAACATGATACCAGCATGATATTTACGTCTACGACATAACATTCACTGGAAAAAACTGTTGCATTCGATTGATAGTATATACATACAATTTTCGACTTAGAACAATTTGATTTCCCGAGTTATCACCCATTGCTATTGCTAAATAATGAATATTCACAACGATATATTTGTATGGTGTATTCTTGCCAACTGGAAAACCAACATCTATACTAAACAGGAATGAGTTCTGAACTTCTCGTTATAATCCGATAGGCGAACCTTGGGGTAATTTCAATGGAGGTGCATTCAAACCCCACCCATGAATAATCATTTGTTCGCCTCGGCACGTTCCACCCTGGATCCTACATTTGATGAAAGTTACGAAAAAGCATCGCTGGTCAACATCGAACAAACCAGAACGGTAGATCAGAAGCTGGTTCTGCACATGCATATGTCAGCATATGATGAGCGACATTCGAATTAATCAACGGTGTATATCCAACTAAAGTAAATCTCATAGGTTGAATAAAACGAAAAAGAACGTCCAATCATACTAATTTGGAATTCTTCATCGGGTAATTTGTATCGCACGTACGCATATTCATCTTCCTGAAAGAAATTTCAAAACTAAAGCAAAATGCTGGAGCTTTGATGACACATACACGTGTTGTCATAATGTTTGTCACAGTTACATTCACGATGAGAATATCTTTGTCTTTATCCATTTCCTGTCCGTGTCTACGTTCGACGAAATGTGAATGTCCATAGCTGATGATGTTGGCAAGGATGATAAGCAGTTGGCAGATGATGCTCGACTTACAAAAGAACCTTCTCATGTTCTATGCGATGAAAAACCGTTAAAAAACGCAGTATGTTTTGCGAAGTTTTTTCTTTTTTTTGTTTACCTGAAGTGCACGTTAAACACGGTCAACCGAAGAGAAATGAATGAAAAATCGCAGAACAGAAAAACGTCGGCGAGAATGCATTACGAAAGAAAAATATCGCATCGATGATTTGTTAATTGAAAAGAAAAACTGATTGTTATGCATCAGTAATCATCATACTTTTTTCGTTGAATATTTCTCAGTCAGATAGTATAGCAATATTTACAAGCGAAGGATAAAAATATCTAAGAAGTGGGTGACATAGAAATATGAAAGAACATTTAAGGAGACGTTTTATTTAGCCATAGTAATCAAATAATCATCATGGATTTATTATTCATCGTACAAAATTGTAAGGAGAGAAAACTACCAAACAGCACACTTATTCACTCGACTATTTCCTTGACCTGGTTTGCAACTAAACACTCGATCGAACTCGTCGAAATTTGACGTTGGACCAGTGACTCTAGAACAAAGTCCCACCATTATAACTCATCAAACTTCATCAAAAACACTACCTGAAAGGACCAAGTGAGTGAACATCTGTCAGAATTCGATTACGTGCATATGAATCAGTCATTTTGATACACCAAGTGCGAGCAAAATTGATGAAGAACAATTGCTCGGGTGAATATTTCGTCAGACCTGGTAACTTTTTATCCATATTTGCATTTGCTCGTGCCCATTGTTTATATGCCTATATAAAATCAAACTTCCTCAATAACAAAACTTCGCTTGTGCAAGAATATATTTACGGCAAATGAAGCTTTAATTCCGCCATTGTCTGCAATGTCTTCGCCTTGTGTCAGATAACCATTGCTCTAAAAGATCGAAACATCCGGTAGATAACAGCTAAAAGATCATTATAGATATACATTCATATGAATACTCGGCACCGAGTAGTTACTATATTGATCAATGATACATTGTTTACGTTGATTGAATTCTTTGATCGTTTCCTCGGGCCACCATGGGATTCGGTTACCATCTTTGTCAAATTGTCGACCAGTATCATCGAAGCCGTGTGTAATCTCATGTCCAATGACCAAGCCAATACCTTCAATCGATTCATTCGGTTTGCTTTGTTGTATAAATATATCATAAATACTTACCACCATAATTCAGATATCTAAATCACGAAAAAAAATTGACATTTCGATAGTAAATTTTCCAAATTTTTACTTCGGAGCGTCTTTGTTAAAGAATGGCATTTGAAGAATACCAGCCGGAAAGACTAAAACGCAAAAAAATCAGTGCGGAATCCACACCCTAGTTTAGTCTATCGAACCGATTTGGTTTTGCGATGGTTCATAAAATGCATTGATAATTGTTGGTGGAAGTGATCCCCAAGCTTTCTTATCAACCGGCTTTCGTAACGATTGAAAATTTTCGTTGGTTTTGATTTGTTGAATTTTGAAAATATTCTTTATATATGATGAAGTGAACACATACTAAACCATTCACAAGAGAAGACCTTTTCTTTTCCATCTTCGAATATCTATTTTACCTTTTCGTAATCGCTTTCAAGTTTTGTGTTGTTGTCACTAGAAAGATAGTCAGGATAACCAATTTGTTTATCAATCGCCATGGCCTAGAATGACAAAATCTTTCCGTGTGAAAAGCGCAGTTTCTTCTCTACTTTTTCGATTGCTTTGTCTCGTGACGCTCGATCCATCCATGTCGAACCATCAATTATATCAATGAATGAATTTCGAATATATTCGATCATGTCTAATGACTATGAAACAGAACATATGAACTGAAGCCGTGTCTTTCTAATCTCGTACTTGGTTTCGAGCATTTTCATCGAAATAATTTTTGATATACATTTTTGAAACAACAAAACCCATCATGTCATTCACATAAATCGCGCATTTTGCTGTTCTCGCCTGTTCCGCAGTTGTGCCACGAAAGACTCGATCATATTGTTCGCGAAGATTTCGAATTGAACGAGGCATACGTCCTGCTTGGTCCATGAGAAAGCGCCAGACGAAGTAGTTTTGTATTGTACGTGCGGATGTTTCATTGATAATACTTGTCGCATTAGTTAGAAAATCTAATTCACTGACGGAAACTGTATCTCCGTCAGTTAACGCGACACCACTCGCTAGGTACGCTTGTTGAAGATAATTGGTGAAGTCAAACTATTGATCGAAATATATTTCATGATAGAATAGATTGAAAAATGCTTGCAGACATACGCTAGTGTTGAATGTATAGACGAGGTCAGATACTGTTGTTCGAACAGTTTCGTTATCTCTTGCCCGTTGCTCATCATTTGTCCAATAGTACTAAATCGAGAAATTGAAGTGGATATGAAATTGAAGAGATTCTTACTTGAGCGATGTTCTTCTCAAACGCATAGATTTCTTCTACGTCTTGATCGATCAGACTTGTATCGTTGGATAATTGTTTTGCTAGATCTCGTATAAATTGTCGATAAGCAGCAGTAATTGCTGTTTCATTTTCATAGTATTGCCGTTGGGGAAATCCGAGTGTACCTTGACCCACCTGAAATTGAACGATTGACGTGAACGATTTTCAAAGATTGTCATTCAACTTACTAAAATAATTGTCGCTGATGAGTTCTTTTCATCAGTTTCACTGTTGATTTTATAGATAAAATTGTAATTATATTGTCGAAGTTTCAATAACAGATTCGAAAGATTGAATTTAGTATGATCCCATGATGCGCCTTGTAAGATAGGCCAGCCGCCGAGTTCTGTGTTGATTAATAATAGAATCGGCTCGACTCCCTCGGTTTCAATCGCTGCTTCATCAACGCACGAACTATACAAACGTCGAGCATTGACAATACAATTGAGTTCACCAGTTTCATTGCTCGACGGTGTAGATAACAGATCTAGAAATGTTAGTGATTACTTCTTTACAAATAAAATCCACTTCTCAACCTACCAATCATGTTATCATCTAATGTCTTATCCAACGCTCGAAAAGAATTGTATGCGTCCACTAAATGAAACTACTTCTGAGCAATTCAAAACAGAAAAATGACTTTACAAGCATCAGGTATTCGGGTATTCTTCAACCATTTGCCACAAGAGAATTGATAGAAGTCTTCGCATGGTTCAACCGATTGATCAATGCTATCGATCAAATAATCCGCTAATCAACAAAGCAAATATCGGAATATTCACTAAAGTCATTCGGCTACTACCTGCTTTGATGCAGTATGAGGTCAAGCAAACATCATTCTCCGTTGCTAAAGTTCAGTTTAATATTGGTATAGCAGTAAGAACAAACCTCAATGGATACGTACTGTCTGATGATTTGTTCGATTTTGCATTTCCATACAGAACTGCGAATACAATCGTAGTAATCAGGAAAATGCCGCCAAGAGCGCCCAGAATAATTAGTGGTAGTCTGGAACGTGATGCCGATGAGCCTCTACTGCAAATGAATCATAGACTACAATCTTTACAATATTCGTTCATACACGAGTGGATCCGTTGATCGAGAGGCAGACCGATCTGTCATTTCGTCTACAAATCTTACTTCGAGTCAACAATAGAAGAGAAAATGGTAGTTTTAATGACACAAATTTGATAAGATCCGCCGTTTTATAGTGTTGCATGCTCACAGGTGAGTATTACACAGATAAGATATCATAAATGTAAAGAATATTGCCATGATGTACTTTTGTCTCGCGAAAAGCTGACACAATGATACAATTTGGGGTCGAACTCGGTCTTCAACAAGAAAGATCTTGTGCGAATATAACACGTCTATAGGTGGCATGTAGTAATTTTTTTAATTTGTTTAGCGGCTCACCTATAAGATGAAATGTAATGATGATGAGTCAATTTGATTTACCATTGTTATTATGACTTTTTCGTTATTTCGTACAATAGTCAATGGCTTCAAATTTAACATCTGTTCCTTCGGAAGCTCGCTCATTGCCGGTTCTTGATTCCAACGGTGCATCGTACTCATTTTCTAGTTTGTTCACAAGTGAAGATGGTCATGATCAACAAACTCTTGTTATATTTATTCGGCATTTCTTCTGCGGAAGCTGCAAAGAGTACATATCTACAATATCATCACAAGATAATGGTATTACTCCCCAGGAACTTGAAAAATCGCACAAACGTCTGATCATTATCGGTTGTGGTCAGCCAAATCTTATTAAACAATATGTCAAAGATACGAATTGTCCATTTCCAATGTACGCAGATCCTACACAGAAATTATACGATGCATTGGGTATGATTCGCACGTTGAGTCTAGCCGAGAAGAAACCGGACTATATCAAATCATCCTTTTTGGTTAACGTTGCTAAATCCGCTGTCTGTCAGTTTTCCTCGGGAATGGCAATGTTTCAAGGTGGTGATATTCGTCAAGTTGGCGGAGAGTATTTGTTCAATCAACAAGGAGATATTCTCTGGTCGCATAACATGAAGAATACTCAAGATCATGTTGAAGTTATAGAACTACGTAAAATATTAGGACTTGAGTGTTGATGCCCAGAGACATCTGTTGAATGACCGTTCATTTGTCCTTCGAGTTCGTTATACGAACATGATGGTTGTCAAATAAAATAAAGAACTGATTGATTGTGATCGTTTACCTGTTGTTATTTTTTTTTCGTGAAGATAATTGCGTGTGTCATTTGCTCATCATGCCTGCTGATTCAACATACATGGCTGAGTCAGTCAAATCCTATCCATTCTCAATGTCAGATAGATCCGCATTAAATAAAGAAGAAATTATCGTAAAAGACGATGAATTAACATGCGAAGAACATTGTCATAACGTAAGTCTCTGGTGCTATAATCCCAAATATCGCGAAATTTGCGGACGGGATGGTTTATCATGGGCGAGAATTGCTCTGTTCTACTTCATATGGCTTATGTTTATGGCTGGTGTCTTTGCATCATTCGTCGGAATATTCATGGCGATTGTCGATAAACGCATTCCGCCCTATCGGGGAAATTCGAATGCAATCGCTCTAGATATATCACGACCGAATCCAGGTACGAAAGAAATGTGCGCAGAATTGATTTGAGTTTGAATATGTATTCTAGGTCTCGGCTTTCGTCCTCAAATCGGCGTACAAAAAACTTTGATTAAATTCCGTTCATCTCATCGTGATTCGTGGGGATATCGTCACGGCTGGGGTCCATATAAAGATCAATTAGATCAATTCTTAGCCTACTACACAGAAGCAGATGTTCAATATCAGCAAACGATCGATTGCAAGGGCCAGTCGATCGATAGTCTCCGTCCATTATTTCGCATCGGCAAATCATGTCGGTTCGATATAAATATGTTCAATGAACGTCGCACGCCATGCACAACGCAACGAAACTTTGAGTATGACCGTGGTCATCCGTGTGTTCTATTGAAACTGAATAAAATCTACGACTGGGAACCTGTCACATATAAAAATGCTGCTGAAGTACCAGAACAATTCAAAGGTAAAGTAGTTCTTGTGATCTTTTTTTTGCGATGATATTCGAGAATTTTAGCCATATGGTCGAGTGAAATGTCTAATTACGTTTTGGTTGAATGTGGTGGAGAAAATGATGTTGATCGCGACTTCATCTTCGAAATTGAATACTATTCAGAAATGAACACAACAAAAATCGGTGGTTTTCATCGTAATTTTTATCCGTATCTCAATCAAGATGGTTACCGAAGTCCGTTAGTTTTTGTGTACTTCAAAAAGATCGAAACCAACGTTTTGATCAATGTGGAATGTCGTGCCTATGCACGAAATATTATTAATGATGATAGTATTGAATACAAGCGTGGTAGTGTTCATTTCGAGCTTATCGTAGAATGAAAGCAGATCCAATTCAATCAATCACTTGTGAATTCTTAGCTATTTGAATCTCTTGTTTCCATTTGTCTTCTTCTTCTTCTGTATTTGTACAAAAACGATTTTTTTTATACATTCCATCAAAGTGATCTTGTGCTTCTTTGATGACAATTTGCTTCTTGCTCATGACGTTTAGTTTATCTACACATTTTTTCACTTGTGCAAATTTTCTACTCATACTTTGTATACGTGCAACTTATAACTGTTTTTTTTTCTATGAAATAAATATAGAATACAGATGCGTAGTTATCGAGAATTTAAATTTGACCGGTATGTTTCACCTACGTGACCTTTAGCGACAAATATTGACCTTACTCCTATATAATGTTCGATGTGGAGGAAATGATCGGCTGGTTATCATTTTCGTGTTCTTAGCATCATAAAAACGCGTACTCGTATTTGTTGAAGATTTTAACGAACCATCCCGAATGGCCCATCTTCAATATTTCTCGTACAAAGGCATTGGTGAACGAAATAGAAAGCTTTTTAAGTATTCTCAAGCTGTTCGTGTTGGTGATCGAATCGAATGTGCTGGTCAAGGTGGTTGGGATCCAATAACGGGTAACTTTGATGAAGATATCAATAAACAAATCGATCAAGCATTCAAGAATGTTCAATTAAACTTAATCGACGCAGGTGGAAAGGGTTGGGAACAAGTTTATCGCATTGTGTCTTATCATATACCATTGGATGATGTCGCTCTGAACGCCATGGTGCGAAACCTTAAACAATGGTGTCCAAACCATGAACCAATCTGGACCGTTCTCGGCGTTTCACAGCTCGGCGAGAAGCCGATGAAAGTAGAAATTGACGCATTTGCTCATGTTCCTAACTAGATTTCATGTTCAAAAGGAAGATGAATATAAGATTTACAGGCACATATAATTCTCCGATAAATTTATTATTTGTCTGTGCATAATCAAAAAGAGAAGAGAGCGAAAAAATATCTATGTAGATGTAATTTATCGTCGAATCGTGTTGGCCGTCGCAATTGCCGTATACAGATGTCTCAATTCGGCAGCATCATTCAATGATTTCAGTTCAGCGTCATGAAATGGATCATCTGAACTCAATGCGCCATCGAACGTCGCAGTTAAATCGTTCGTGGCAGCTGAATCACAGTTATTAAATGACCGATTGTTCTGTTTGACTGAATTAGGTGAAGAGTCTGTTGAATGGATAGGCGTTGGTAGACTTAATGTATTCGATGGTACGATCGGTGGAACGCTCGCCGGTACGGTATAAGCTTGTCGATTAACATCAGGATAGTATATATCTCGTACCGATGGCAAATGATACGAAGGAGATATAGAAGGCTTACTTGACACAGGTGGAGGAAGAGGAGCAGGTGTTACTGGGAAGGACGCTTGAATAGGAACCGGTATGTGTATTGGAGGATGAGCATTTGATAAATGCGGTACTGGAGGTGGCATATAATTGACAGGAAAAGGAATCGTAGTCGTGTGTGGATGGGAGAGAACTGGTATAGAATTGATTGGCTGAATACTAAAGTAAACAGAAAAAAGGACTTTGAAATACTTGACTGCGACGTTTACTTTGCCGTGACTGTTGTGGAAGGTGATGATATTTGTTGTTGACGCAATGTATCTGCTTCGATTTCTTTCTTTTTACGTTGCACATCTTCTAATGCTTCCAGCAGAACTTTCTTCTCCAGTGTAAAATCAATCTACATTGAACGAAACATAAGAAGAAGAAGCAGTTAAATCGAATGCAACACTTACGGGTTCAGCAAGAATATCACGAATTTTACTTGTAGCATACTGAGGAATATCAATATTAGGCTAAAACGAGAGTTTCCTATTACTGAAAACGAAAATGACTATGTTTGTTTACTTACAACGACAATCGTTTGATATTTGCTATTAATTTGAAAGGGAATATCGTCTACAAATGCTTGTAATGATAACGCTGCTGCATTGTTAAGTGAATGATTGTATTCATCATTCGATACGGATGAATATCTACCATATTGATTTGATTTCTGTCCGTTGGTGGATGAATGACTCATTGGTATCAGATTAGAAAAACGAATCGAGTAATATACATTCAAAATCAATAAAAATGAACTGGATAAGCTGTTTTTTGCTTCGAAAAATCTAAAATAATTTAATTGAAAACAAATATGTCGCTTTCGTTCTGATAACATGCACAAAATAGCAAGAAAGAAAAAAAGAAAAAAACATATGAATACTGTGCAATAAAGCCAAGCTTTGTCAGATACTATGGCACTTGTCGACGAAGTGTTAAAAACGAACAAAACAATAGAAAAAAGAAGATGAAGCAATTCTAAATTCTAAGAAATACATCGCTTTGTAAAGTTTCAACTGTTTGAAAGTTAACTCCGATGATGTTTCATGCTTTTAACGAGATTCGCTAGAAGTTGAGTAGTGTCCATAGATGATGAGTTCGAGTGGTCTGATTTACTTTTAGTCGAAATACAAAGATTCGATTTCGAACGGAGCTCCGACGATGGAAAATTGTACAAAAACGTTCCTGGAAAGTTCAAAAAGGGGGATTTACTTTCAACTAGCAATGACAAAAAAAAACGAACCCTGTTCATCGTAAAGAATATGTTTTAACATAGTATTGAGATTCGAATCAGTCGGCAGTTGAAATTGTTCGCCCGACGCTCGACAATCCATGAGTTGCTTCAGCCATTGTTTCACAATATCAGTTTTTATGTTATGTACAGAGCCAGTAAAAAAGTCTTCTAAGAATTCCCCATCGGATTGAAGTTTTTCATATTCGTATGCTAGACAAAAGAAAGCATAATGGCTTCGATTGCTTTGAAAAATAGCAATATACCTTGTAAAAGCATATCGAAGATATCTAAATCTTTCACAAACTTGGATTCACTAGTTTTTTGATCAGCATATTCATTAAAAAGTGAGAAAATTTCTCTTCCAACATCCGCAGGTAATAAACTGGTTAAATATAACATCGCCTCGGTTTCTCGTCGACGTTTTTCTGTTTTCGGTATCCCGTCGAATTCCGTTAGATCACCCACAACTGATTCCGCTAGGTCATGCACGAGTGCCAACTTCATACAACGTACTTTCGATTCTTCTGATAAAGTCGGTAATAACAGTGACATAACAGCCATGCGATACATGTGATCAGCAACACTTTCAACCTTTTCGACACCGTGTAGAACCCAACCAGTGCGAAACGTTCGTTTGGCTTGTCCGACGTACAGAAGAAATTCTAACAGACCATCGAGATCGGCATTCATTTTGATGTCAAGTTTGTTTTACGTCACACGAGAAGATATTTCGAGACAAATACCAACCAAATTTGACTCTGCTTTCTGATTCATCGTCAACAACCAATCAGACTTATTTACTGTCGCATATTGATCGACTGACAATTGAGTTTCTCTTGAAGAAAATCACTTTTTTTCAATTCGAGAATTATCCAAAAAATTCCACATGATCCATCTGGTATGATTATCGTTGGGCGACATCTATCGAGAGAATTCACATCCATGCGAATGTACTGAATTGTTGTATGTCAAAAATTTCATAGACAGTATACGAAAATATTGAATATGTTCTCTTGTCAACGGATGAAGTTATTAATGAAATCTTTCGTTGCATGGTTTCTCCATTCTGTGGAATAAAATTTTTTATCGCATGTCAAATAAAAAATAATGATCTATAATCATACAGAACAATAATACGCAGCAACGTTTCTGGGCTTTTTTTGGGCGAGAAGAAAAATAACACGGGAGAATTAATTTATACATCATAAATATGGTTTCTTTCTATTTTTTATTTACAAATATACTTCTTACGTTGTATTGCTGACGTTCTTTTTGCAAAACAAAAGGTAAAGTATTGACTCTAGCGAGAGAATAGAAATGATCGCAGTTTCACCAAGTTCGTCTCTTTGTATATTCATTTAGCACTGATATAGGAAAGATTATTATGGTATAGCAGCGAAAGACATGAATAAGCAACGCTCTCATATGTCAATTCGTCAGATACCTCATACGCGACTTGTTGATGATGGGAGTTTAGAACTACGTTATGAAATCCTAAATAAATTAGGTAAAGGTTCGTTTGGAACGGTGTATCGTGTTCAAAATAAAGTTACCGACGTGTTTTATGCAGTGAAAACGATTCCAAAAAAAGTAATGACATTATGTTGCCAGAGGCAGATCTTTCAATGCTTTCTCTTACCTAGCTTGGAAATAAATCGAAATCATTTAGTCTCGATAATGAAGTGAAATTGTTAACAGAAGTCAATCACCCTAATCTTATTCGATTGCATGAAGTCTTAGAATCACCACAGGTAAGTTCGAAATCTTTCCTAATGAACAAGGGCATCTCTGAATACGTGAGGTATAGACGAAAACGAAGCAAATCATGTTACGTGCAGTTTCTATTGTATTGACAAAGTCGAGTTTCTTTAGAATCTGTATTTGATTATCGAATTGTGCGAAGGAGGTGAATTGGGCGGATATGTCAAAAGCAATGGTTCGCTACCGGAGCAAACAGTAAAGCAGATCATGACAAAGTTAATCAATGCATTACATTATCTTCATAAAATCGGTGAAGTTCTCATTACAATGTGAACCAATCGAAAGAATGCTTTGACTTTTTTTCCCCATAGACGTTGTACATCGAGATTTGAAATTGGAAAATATCCTGTTGAAAACTATTCCATTGAGTAAAACGGATGAATTCGATATTCGAGTATGATACTTCTTCAAAGACTTTTATCTTTAAGTTCTTTCTGAAATATCTTCAAAAGATAACTGATTTCGGTTTAAGCTCGAAAAAGAGCGTTACATCAACAGATTCTCTGTTCAACGATTATTGCGGCACTCCGTTGTAAGTGTCTTTTTGTTTTGAGTAATCTCTCACATATATGAATATTTCAAATAGATATATGGCTCCGGAAATACTTGAAAATAAGAACTATAGTGCTCTCTGTGATGTTTGGGCAATGGGAATTATTATGTTTTACTTGTAAGAAACGAAAATAAGTTTTGATTGTAATTTGCGCTTGCTTTCTCATGTTTATGATAGAATTTGCGGTCGACATCCGTATGTCGCTCATGATGAACGACGCTTACTTGAGATAATTCGTGCAACGACACTTCGATTTGATACTGAACGATTTCGAAATCTATCATCGCAAGGTATTTCGTTTCTTACGGAATGAACGAGATGAATAATTGATGACTTAGGCGTTGATTTTCTACAAGGAATGCTTGTTTACGATACTGTTCATCGTCGAACGATGGGCGAACTAATTGTACATCCATGGTTAACAGTACGTTGTTTTCGTTGTCTCTCAATCTAATCAATGCACTGAGATGATGCATAGGGACGATCGGATAAAGAACCAAACAAGGACATAATAACCATGATGAGAGAATTTCATGCGGAAGATAACCATCGGCAAAAAAGCACGGAAATTGATTTGACAACATTGATAAATGCAACTGCCGAGCATCCAAAATTATTACACGAATATGAAAATGAACCTGATGTTCAACGAAAAGTAAAATTTATTTTCCATCGATAATTCCTTCTTTTGACGTTACTGTAGGTGTTGAACCGTCAAGTAAGTATCACACCTGATTCCAATTTGGTTCCAGATCAAGTTGAGCTACGAATGAATCAAAACAGCACAGTAAATGACTTTGACATGAATGTAAGAGCTTGGAAACATTCGTGAATATTTCAGAGATCGAATTTGATTGATTCATGTCGAAATCGCATAATACATAACACACAATCGGTAAACATGATAAGATTACGTACAGGAGCCGTTCGAGTCGGCCGATCTCGATCGCAAGTAGATCGGTCTGTCTCAACAAAGCTTCCAGTTCAACCTCGAACAGATCTGAATGGCTCAAATGTGATTCACACATCACAAATGAACGATCGGCGAACATCAACGTCGACATCATCCACTATAACGGCCTTGATGATGATCAATAATCAATATTCCAAAGGTTCTCGCACGTCTAGTCCATTCTCACATAGGAAACATGCGTCTAAATTATCCGTTTATGATAAATGTCCGAATACACATGTGTGATATGATATGTTGAACTTATTCGCACGAATTTAATGAAAATCACATGAAGATAAGAAGTTACTTTTACATTGGCTGTATGCGAAACAAAAAACACGTAATTCGTTGATAAAGAAGCATGCATTGTTCTTTCAAAATCTTGCGAAAGAGTGTGCTGACGAAAAAACTCTTGCAAGAATTCAGATAGAAAAGAAAACTTGCCATTTGTAATACCAGCTTTTCTAGTAGCACGATAATCATCCTTAATATCATTCGGATCGGATGGAAATCCGTTTATTGACTTAGGCGTTGTCGACTCTTACGAATGTTATTGCATGTCATCACACCAAATAGGAGCGTACTCATTTACGGTGCTAAACTTGCCCAAACAGTGCTGTATATAGATAGGAAATACGAATATACACCAGCTGCTGTGTAGAATTTCAGTCGAAGTGCGATTTTGATTTGACTGAACGAACGAACGGAGCTGCAGACTGTGTGCTGTGAATAGACATCGATTGAGAGATGCTAGAACGAAAAAACCAGTGGCGATACATGGTAATACCCAAGTAAAGCGAGTTTGGACTAAATTCCAAAGTTAATGTAGACAAAATCGAATAGTGATGACATAAGAAAATACCATCCGCAAGAATTTTTACGTAATTGATTGACTGAAAATGTGATAAAGTTACAAACACAACCGATATTTCCGAAAATGAGTATGATATAAGGAATGTAGACAATCGTATACATTCGTAAGTATCGTATGGTGGTAATATTCATGTTCATCGAAGTAGATGCAGTCTCGTGTTGAAAGGGATTACTTGTAAACTAATGATTTCGTGTCAAAGAAGAAATAGAATATTTTTCTATCATGATAAGCCACAATGCACTTCGGAAAAAATTGTGAAGGAGATTTTTACGTGAATCTGAAGAGGCACAAGTCACGTGCTTGTCACGGATATGATTTACAAGAAAACACCACTCATTTCTCACATCTTATAGTGGATTTAATTTTCAAAGATAATCGTTTCCAGTCAATACAAAAAAACGCAAAGACAAATCTCATCAGATGATGAGTGCGCCAATATGAACCACTACCGTACAGGGATTCGAGGGATGACAATCATTTTTCATCCAAAAACTCAACTGATACGGTTCACCACTGCTTTCAATAGGTTTGGATAACAGTTGTTTAAGGACAAGTGTGCCATGTGTACGAAAAGTGTATTGTCCTGACTTGACTTCATTCTGTACATGATTCGTCGAACAGGATTGATTACCGCAAGACCATTCATTGAGCATTGTTCGTTCAAAATCTCCATTTATAATTAGATTTGGTGTAGAGTTGAAAGTGATATCATCAATGTAAATGTACTTTTTTTCGTTACTGTTAAATACAAAAGATACAGAAGATATCTCCTGTGATCTTTTAGTTATCCAATTGAAACAGTAATACCGATAAGATTGTGAATAATGAGTCACTATTTTATAGTTTAACTCATTAGATACTATACCAATACAATCTATAGGTAACAAAAAAATCATTATATAGTTCGTCCAAAGAGAAAAAACTTATACTTTACCAACATCTCGCGATATGGTGTTTAACTAAAAAACGAGACAAGTAATTCACAAAACAGAGGAATATTATCAACAAACCTGATTTACTATTGGTAAATGCCACTGTTCTGCTGCTCTTTTCCATTTGATTCGCCAGCCTTCAACAACATATGAACTACCATCGAATGCTTCACCAACTAATTTCATACGAACGTCGGTCATTTAACGTTTAATAAAAAAAAATGGAAGTACCTGATCTGCGTGAACGAGATTTTGCTGTCGATGGATCTTCTAAATACACTGGAATCAACGAGAGAATGACCACTGTGCTGATCGTTAAGCCAAGTACTGCTAGTGCAATACAGACGAAGACATTCGCCCGAGATTTGTTCTGATTGGCAGGTAACATTCACAAAACGCAACAGATGTTATTCAATTAAATGTTTGGCAATATGTCACCTTTCCCTCAATGACAACTTTATTTTTCGGCATGACTTTCATGAATTACGCAAATGACTGTATGCTGATGATTCATTCGCACACAATATTATTTGTGAAAACGTTTCTTCTTTCTATTTTCATGGTTGACTGCACTATAATGAAAGATGTATGTCATTGCAAAACTGGAACTAAAGTATGTTTTTCTTCACACCGCTGAGTGTTGACGTTCTCAAATGACAAAAAATAGTATAATTAAGTACTCTAAGTTCATTTCAATTGGTATACAACTGACTCGGAAAATAATAATAGTATCAACTTGATTGTAATCATTGCTGAAAATCGTCCCATCTTCAATAGGAACATGTTTAAAAAAACTCGTCGAAGTCAGATCGATATGAAAACGATATATGAAGGCTGTTTAAGCGTTTAAACCGATAACTTTCAGTAACATCATACTCTCGTGTGCAGCAGCATCCGGACGAACAAAAGTCATCGTGTATCTTACTGTAAGTATAGCTCTTTAGTCAAAAGTCGAAAAATTGAACGCACTAGAGTCCCCCGGTGGACATAATTCGTCGGCAAACAGCATCACAGCCAGGGTGGCCGAGTGGTTAAGGCGTTGGACTTAAGATCCAATTCACAATAGTGAGCATGGGTTCGATCCCCATCCCTGGCATCATACTTTATTTTTTCGCATATTAAACAACTTCAATTCTAGTGTCACAAGCATACACGTATTAGTTTGTTAGGTATTCTACAGAAATAATGTCTGCACATGTAACATCAAAGAGAAAAATTGAATGTAACTCCTACTAGCAGTCCGTAGACAACTGCGTAGAAGATTTGTCTGCAAGATTGTTTTTCTTCATAAATGCTTTTATCTTTGTTTTGATCTAAACAATAAATGAGCCATTTTTCGGAGATAATCATAAAGATAGACATGATACAGATTAAGAAAAACAAATCAACATGCACTTTGTAGAGTAAAAACCAGATACCAATGATTAACATATGATGTCGAAAGAGTTTAATGTTATCGGACATGACATATAAACCTTGGATAATTAGTGGCCAAATGACAGAGACAGATTTATTATTTAAGTTGGCTAATTTTGTTAAAGATATCTGAGGTGACCACAATAGATGAAAAGAATGCTCGGAATTCGTTCTTCTTCGAAATGGTTGAGGCAGAATCAAACAAATAGAACTTTGCATATCTTTTCCAAAGGAATCTAAACTACAAAACTAATGCACGTTGGACTTTTCTCAGTCTTTCAATACCGTGATTAGCCATTTGAGCATTTCGAATGCTCTCTTCAATCGACGTCGTATATGCCGTTTCATTAACTAACAAAGCACGTTCGTCAACAGATTCGAGTACATCATATAAACAATGCTTAACTGCGTTCTGCTCTATGAGTTCAACGTCATTATACTCCAGCATAATTGAATGCAAACAATTACAGACGTTTTCGAATAATAAAAAAATTATACTGAGCAATGGCGGGTTTTCTTGGGTATTGCATCAAAAAAGCTCGACCTCAATTGTAATGTCAAATATTCTTTACAATCCCCCACATGATGCTACCCCTTCACCTTAGATCAAAGTCGTGCTTGTTAATTAGTGAAATATTCGACCTATCCTTTAAGCCGTATTGCTCGAGCAGTACTCCTGCATACCCTTAAGAATGTCTAATTTCCTATTCTGGAAACGCGCATTTTTGGATTTATGACGTTGATAGGAAGTATATTCAATTATAACACACCGAGTTTATTTCATAGTTGAATGAAACGGATTAGAATACAAACAAAAAGAAACTATTGACTTCCGTTGAATTTATGACGAGAATGACGATGAAAGTTTATTCTCATTGATTCGACAGGATTCTTTTCTGACGATTGCAATACTTTAATTAATTGCTTCTCGTGCTGATGCTTTTGCCTTGAATTCATTTGCTTTTTACGTCGAAAAAGACGGCACGGAAAGTAAGCATATAATACAGAGCGGTAACGTTTCGACATGAAATAATATGTCAGTGGATTGCACGATGCCGATGCAAATGAGAGTAAAAGAACTAAATCTACCCAAATAGTTGATGTGGAACGATAGAAGTTTCTGTTGAATGTACCGATTGTGTGATAGATAAATAATGGAGTCCAACAAACGAAAAATTCGACGATCAACGTCACTAGCAGTTTCAATGCTTTTCGACGTTGCCGGTCCATTCTTGAACTGGTCGGTGTACAGCTTCTCGAACTGCTGTTATCCGAGCTCAAACGTTGACAGATTTTCTTCGGATGCGAGTGAATCACTGTTTGCAGTCGATCGTACGGATATTTGGTTTGGCAAATATCCGAGTGAAAGGTCGGTCGAGCATCTTCATCACTGATGCACGATCGTGAACGACTGCTGTCTTGGCGGGAAGCGGGACGAACAGTTATATCGATAGTTAAAGTTTGCGTTGTTCCCGGACTTCTCGGTCGAGTTGAACAGCAATCCTTAAAGAAACTAAACGAGAACGAGCGCGTGTCATTGGAAACTTGTCGCATCATTTTGGCTGTATCATTTTGATACATTTTACAAATAATTGATGTATACAACACGATCATAACAACAATTGGAATAACGAAATAAAAAGCTAATCGAGCAGAAAAAATACATGAGTGGAATAGAGCTGTTCAGTAGAAAAAGAATCTTACCATCCACAGCAATCATATACAACTTTTGATTGAACATATCCGGTGAGATTCGTTCGCATTTATACCGGTCCGTTTTGGGCAGTGAACATAGATTGTAGAGGAAGATATTTGGTAAAGCTATGAGAAGTCCCGATATCCATATGGAAATGAGAATCAAAGCATTGAGCACTTTCGCATAGCGAACCGATCGAAGATTCAAGGTGAGCAAAGGATGACAGATCGCCAAATAACGTTCGATACTGATACAAACAAGTGTGAAGATACCCACTGCAACACATAGACCTAGATATATGAGAACATTGTTAGACAAAAATAGAAACATTAGATGTTTCCGCGTTCTTCTGATGAACATATTCGACACCCGCTGATGATATCAGACGCCTGTAATTACCTACTAGAATATTCATCCTCGCTGTGTGTTACGCACGTCATGAAAACAAGTTCAATTTTCCAGTTCAAGAAAACAGCGACAAATGTTATCGGCTCAGTCGATGGAAGAGAAAGCATTGTTCTAACATGCTTATCAAAGATGATTATTCCGTATTTTTATGTTGTTTTGCTCGAATAAAGAAGATTAGTTTCACTCGACTAGTTCTGTTTAAACAACGAACTCATAATCCTCTTTCTAATGTAAAACTCCGCATGCTTTCATGTCTTTGTCTACAAATTCACGTCCGGACATAATTTTTCACATACGTCATGATCAGATGACGAAAAATCTTACCTTGAACGGTGGGCAGAATTTTACAAATCAGTCCTCCAAACATGAAGTTTCGTTTCATTCGAGCAATAATCGTAAATGGCATAAAACATGCGCGTAATAGGTCTGCGCACGCTAAATTAGCCAGATATCTATTATTTGTTAATCGAATAGGCCCTTGTTTACCAAACATAACTATAAGTGCTGCCGTATTACCAACAAATGCAAGTGAGAAGATGAGTAACGAGATACTAGTGGTGACCCATTCGGCATCCGTTTTATTCGATAAATTGGAGGATGATGATGTCGAGGAAGTGTTTCGATAAAAGTTAAGCGTTCGACACTGATCGATTAACATGTTGGATTGAATGTCCGAGCTGAAACAAAAAAAATTAGTAATACAATTTGTCACAACAAGAAATGTCAACAATTGTCCGTTTAGAACAACTTCGGATGTTTTTTTGCTTCTCTCGAGATACTAACGACTCTTATCTAGATCATCAGGCAAGACAACGAGAGAAGGAACGTAGATTTTCTCTCATCTGCTGCGATCATATACATTGATGAAAATGTGTAAGAAAGAGAGAGAGAGAGAGAAACTAAAAGAAGGAAAAGAAAGAAAAGTGGCTTTTCTTCTGCTTTGAGATTGAGAAATATAATCAAGTTCGAGTCGAACTTTTTCCATTATGAAAACGATCAAATTTATGCTAAATGATATGTAAACAACAAGAAAGAAAACTACTAAAATGTCTGCTTTGTATAATTAAATAGAAAGTTCTTCTTACATACTTTAAAAAAGGATATAATCTTGCTTTCGGATGTACTCTTAATGGGGAGAGAGAAGTCTGGGAAGATAATATGATTACTTTCATCTAAATCAATCATTCTAAGATTTGTATCGAACGCCTCTATTCGGATAGGAAATCTTTGTTGAACGGTAAACTGTTGGATGGATGAATTTTACCGAGTCAAAGTACTAAAATCTATTAAGCGAACGGTCTGACATCAATGAAGTCTTATGCCTCATGAAAACCAATCTGCTTATCTTTTGCCGCACTGTTGCTTTCATCTTTGCTCATTAATTATAAAAATGTACTGTTTCTTACGATCTATTCAAGAGTTGCTTCTGGTTTTGAAAGTTTAAGTGAAGAAAAAGAAACTCTTTGTCATTTTAAAATTAACAGACATCTTTCGTGCTTTAAGTGCTGTTTCCTGTTCTGTTGAGTTTTATAAAATAAAGTAAAAAAAAGAAATGCACTGCATCTAATATTTCCTTCCGAACGTTTTTACTATTTCAGATTCATTAAAAGAAAAATTGAAAGTTGTCGCTAGACTCATTGACATATTCTTGTTGCAATCTATTTTCAATACTGAAGAAGGAAACCAGTTGTCAGAATCAATCAAACTCTTCATTTACCTGATTGAGTCGATAATCTAAACATCGATTAATCTTCCATTTACTCCGAGGATATCATTTCCACGAAAGCGAACAACGACAAGCATAACGCTTACTTTGTCAGCAGTCTTCTCATTTGTATAGAAAAATAAACTTTGCAAGTACAAAGACAGTGTTAGCTAAAGAGCAATACCATTATACTTTCCGAGAGTTTTATTACTTTTCTCTATTTCCAATAAAACACTTCATATCAGTCTTCAACATACGATGGCGGCAGGATCTGTTTAGTGTCATTTGTAATGGGTACTTTCGTAATAGCAATATCTGGAGAAAAGGAAGCGAAACTGCTCATCATCCATCAAGATCATCTACTGAATTTGAAAATCACAGCGTGATGCATGAGCTCAATACATAAATTAAGACATCATCGGTAGGTATGCATCCTTGATTATTATATTCATTGAATAGCGTTCTGCTGAAGTAGTATTTATTGAAATAGAAAAAGAATGATAGAATCAATTATTCGGAATATAAATAATCATTAGATCATTGGCGGGTAAAAGATAACATTTCGTTTGACATTGTTCTGCAAGTAGATTTTTCTTTCGTTCGTCGAATTTTTCTTGCAAGATTCGTTTTCGAGTATTCTCAGGTGTTGATGAACTACGTTCGTCTTCTTCGCTGGGTTTCGTTGCATTGGAGCGAATCATTGCTGAACTATCACCAATGACTTTTAATAACGATGACACCGTTTCATTGATCGGAATTTGTTTTGCTGAGAATGAAAATGAAAACAAAAGAAGAATTTTCCAGAGAAATAAAGAGGAATGAACACACCTTGTGATGAGAGTTTATTCAACGTTGGTGCCGCTTGCCGCATGACCATCGACGAGAATCGCGAACCAAAATTTTTGATTCTATCCAGTGTGGGTTTGTTATTCGGTGATATTTCATTATTAATCGCTTCCAGTGAAGGCATTTCCGTCACCGAAATGCTCATTCGTCGTTGAAACGGTTCAACATCGTCAGGTAGACTGTTCATTCTAAACAATAGATAAACGGATGTGAACAATGTGTTTGAAGTCATGAGAAACTAAGAGCGAGAAGAGCTATAATAATCTAGTTTACTCACAATGTTTTATCAAGACTAAAATCGTCGAAAGATTTATAGAATCTCCGTTTTCATCCAAACTCTACCTGTGCAATGGTCTTTCATTGAGTTTGAATGGTTTTTGTGCAAAATGGTTGAGTGCAGCTACAAGCAGTTCACCAATTCTTCTTAGATTATCTATGCAGATAATGATAACGACAATTGGAATTTGAATAGAAATTATTAGCGTTCTCTACCATTGATTTGATCGATTGTTTGAAGAGTCATCACAGATATATTAAATACGTGAACATATGTGCCACGGAATTGATGATAATAACCACCTGTTTGCCCATCTTTTATATAATGTATACGAAGTGTCCAAGAACTACCGGGAGGTGACGAAGGATTCGGACCTAAACATATACTTCTTAGAGGTTTCTTCGTCGGAGATGAGAGCTTTACAAACCAATTTCAACTTTGTCCACAGATGCTAACGGTGTTTCTTTACAAGAAATAACTTTTTGAAAGGTTTCGTCATAACTAAAATAATTGCACATGGAATGCAAGTAGTTTCATAATCGAACTCTTACCAAACAACAAAATATCGAGTAGATGTCAGAACTAGCACACAATCAGGTTCCGTTTGTTCAGGCAATATTCTGAAAAATTCGTTCTATCAAATATCAAAGCAACGCTACTTGATTTCCTTACTCATCTAGATCACTATCATTTATGAGAAGCCATGTTCCAAGACAAGTCTCTGTTTCTTCACAGACACACATTTTCCGACAGTCGAGAATTATTTGTTTCAACACTTCTTCACGATTGATCACCTTTAGACAAAGTCTTTCGTCTTAATGTAAATATGAAATCGAACAACTTTACATTTTCATTTGGAATTTCGAACTCGAGACCAGTCGTCGCCATTGTGTCTTTCGTCGAGTCGACTGTAGCTGGCTTTTGCTTTTGCATAGCATCATAACATTGTTGCCGTAGAGTATCTTTCTTAAAACGACGATAATAACGATTTGCCGAGATTTTCCCGTCAGCCAGGACACCTTTTAAATCACGACGACCTGTGCGCGTGAAATCGCCCTGAAAATATTCAACGAATACAATCATTATATATTCTTTTCGTTAATATTAGTATTTACAAACAATCTATAATCAATTTCCGACATGGGGATGTAGCTCATATGGTAGAGCGCTCGCTTAGCATGCGAGAGGTATTGGGATCGATGCCCAACTTCTCCACTTTTTTTTATCTTTTCGCTATAAATTAAAAACAACCCACAGAACGGTCGATTATTCGGTCTAATACGATTTCGTCCGTGTTTTTCTTCTCTGTGACACGTGCGGCAAGTCTGCATGGTAAATAGAGACAAAAAAAATGTCAACTGAAACTTTTGTTTTCATTTTCGTCATTTTTCGTAATTCAAGAAACGTAGTTGTCTTTTATTACACATGGCTTCCTCGACGGATTCAACGAAAGTCTCGTGTGCAATATGTAAAAAAGCCAAAGGACAATTTAAATGCGAAGGATGTTCGCAAACTTTTTGTCCAAACCATTCAATAGAACATCGAAACGAACTCAGCAAGCAATTCGATGAAATTGTTTTCACTTATGATTCTATTCAACAAGCGCTCTTACAGCAAACGCAAGGTCTTCAGCAGCACCCATTGGTGCAAAAACTCAATCAATGGGAAGCAGATTCCATATTGAAGATTCAACAAGTGGCCCAACAGCTCAGGAACGAATTGTCGAATGAGTCTGTACAGCGCACAAGTGAAACGAGAGAAGAATTGCAGCAAGTGTCTAACGAACTCAAACAGGGCCGAGAAGACAATGATTATAGTGAGATTGAATTACGAAAATGGATACAAAAACTAGAAAGCATTGAAAAAGAATTGCTAAATCCTACAAATGCATGTATCTATGAGGACTCTGCTGCACTTGTTCGCAAAATCTCCATCGTTCGCCAAGGCATTCTAGATAGATTCGATCGCACGTCCGTTAATGGAAAGATAGAGGAAAATGGATATGTTGTGACGAAAGATAATCTTTCTGGTCACATAGAAGTACGCGGAAAAAATGAGTATACCACTGGCAGTTATACTCTGAGATTTCAAGTTGACTATTTAATACCGAATGGTTGGATATTCTTCGGGATCATTTCGAACTTCACACCTATGAAAAATGAATCATTCGCCTCTTCAACTACATATGGCTGGTCGAATCGACATCAAACTTATACTGCTGGTAATCTCAATAATCCATCAACTCTCGAAGTTTTGGAAGGCGATGTCATTGTACTACTGATTAATTGTGATGAACAGACAATTGAAATGACAAATGAAAGATTGAACCGTACTCAAAAGCTTCCGATCGATACCCAAAAATGCTTATTTCCCTGGCAGCTTCACCTGAACCTTCATGCGCCCAATACGAAAGTACGAATTCTATTTTCAAGTGTTTAAAAGCACAATGATATATCAGTACATATGTAAAACTCTGCTTTAATTCGTTTATCTTACCTTCATTGCATCTGTGCCTGCATATTGTCTACTAATAGCATCACCATTATCTGCCCACATGGTTTGAAAAATAACTCTAGCATTATCATTCAGACCACCTGCGTCTATGTCTAACAAACCGACTTTTTTCAGCTATAAAAAACAAATTACATCTTCGTTTCAAAAAAAAAGTCTTCCTACCATAATTTCTAAAATAGTTTTTGCAATTGCAGCTTGAACAACGTTCGTTCGATCGAGACAATCGACACAATTCACACGAAATACGCTTGTTTGATCACTGAGTACCGTGTTTTTCTCCGTATTCATCCTATAATTAATATTTACTCGATTGAGTATCATAACAGGGAAGCAAAACATCACCAACCAAAAGAATCGCATTTCTCGAAATATATTTTTCTCGTCCAAAAGCTGTAGAAGTACCAATATATTTCCGAATTGTAAACCTTTGCTAAACATTACACAAAAATCATAAATTTTCCACTTATCAAAACTTGCTTACCAATATTCATGAAAATCAAATGTAATGTACGATACATGTGGACTATTGTACTTGATAATGTGATCAAAAAATGTGTCATTAAGAATATTTTCTTTTCCCCATTCATCGATGAGACTAATCAACACGAGTTGATTGCCTTTCGTTCGAGATAACTGATCATCAATGTGTTTAATGAATGCCTCGTGAGATTCATTAAAACCTACGAGCAGAAAAAGGCAAAGTTGAACTTTTTTTTCTATAGAGTGACAATCTCCAAGGAATTTCTCATTGATGTTATTAAGTATTTAACAACGAACAAAGAAAGAGACTTTTTCTCGCTTCAATTCGAAGAAAATCAATTGTTTTGAATCTTACTTAGTTAAACAGTAGTAATGAGAAAAACGACAAATTCGATATTCGTTGATTGAAATCATGTTTCCTTTATCTTTGTTAAACTCTATAATACGCCGGCGATCTTTTCTCTTGCTTCTCCTATCGACGGCGTCATTTTGATCGACAAGAAGAAAAAGAGCAATATAACAGTTATTCTTGGCTGCATCTTCCTCTCTCCGTCTTTTTCTGTTGATGATGGGTGTGACAAATACGACCGAATCTATCCTTATTTCCCAATCATCCATGTTGATATTAATCCTAACAGGTATCGTCCTTTTCACAATTACAATATGGACAATCATTGGAAACATAATCGTCGTCCTAGCATTCATTATCGACAGGAAGATTCGACAAGGTGGAATGTCGAACTATTTGATACTTAACCTTGCCATCAGTGATTTACTATTAGGTATTGCTGTTCTACCGTTTTCAGCATCGTATTCCACATTTCATATATGGTATTTTGGCAAACTTCTCTGTGAAATGTGGTTAATTATTGATGTTCTATGTTCAACAGCATCAATTTGGGTAATTGCATTATTCTTAAATAAAGTTTTTCTACGAAAATATTTTTGTTCATCTAGGGTCTACTTATGATTGCTTTCGATCGTTACATCGCCACAAACTATCCGATATATTATCGTCATCATCGTCATTCAATCCCGCGTGCGTCGATTACCATATGTATTGCCTGGTTTATGTCGATCGCTATTTGTCTCTTACCAACGTTAATATTCGAGAAAAGTCCTCAACTGATGACGGCAACCAAATACAATGAACAAACTCATCAATGTGAATTATTCAAAGATTCGAGTTTTGTTATCACAAGTTCTCTCTTATCGTTCTATATTCCGTTAATTATCATGATATTTCTATATGCAAAAGTGTTGTATGCAATCAAACAACAATCATCGCGTCGTCTGAAAGGGAATAGTATTCATCGAACGGTACATGACAAAGTCAACCGACAAATAGATAACAATCTCATCGATGAAGATCTGCCTTCATCGGATCAACAGCAAATAGGCCGACGAGAATTATCAGCGGAAGTCCGAATCACGCGTTCATTAGCCATTGTTATCGGTTGTTTTATATGCTGTTGGTTACCGTTCTTTACTCTATATATTATTCGAGCTGTCTGTGATTGTTTGAGCTTCAACGCGATCGAATTCTTTTTCTGGTTAGGCTATTCGAACTCGTCAATCAATCCGGTTCTGTATGCGATCTTGAACAAAAACTTTCGTGACGCATTTCGTAACATTCTCTGGAAAGATAATTGTGCGTCTTAAAATGTTTCACTATTTTTTATGTAATATTCGAAATAAACAGCGATGTTTTCATATTCAAATGAGATTCTCCTCTCTTCTTTCTTCTCTGGTTCCGGTCACGACATGCGGAAATGACTTTGGAATATTGATCGTCTACTAAACTAACTTGCGATTAACCAGCGGCATGTTTATTTTTTTTTGCAATATCCATTGATGTCATTAACAAATGTAAACACGCAGCAGATGTCTTTATATCCCTCTTTTTTTTCTTTAATCTAGATTAAGAAGATTTCCTTTTGTGTCAACGATCTGAACAAACTCGTTTACGACTAACTCAATCAAACCTACTTGTTCAGATAAAGTCGCTAGTTATATCTATGACGCACTCGTACGCAAAACAATTGAGAGGATTTCTCAGGACAGGATGAGAGAGTATATGCGCACTATTCTACTTAATTCAACGACTAGTCGGCAGAAATTCTCTAGATGAATATATCATTAAACGACCGGATAGTTTTAATCATTACAATGAAACGAGAGAAAAGGGAAGGGGGGTTTATCGATAGGAGATCATCAATAATAATGAAATATTATTGTATAGATGTTTATTTTTACATATGGAAACATGACATTTATGGCTTGATGCGTGTATATTTATCATCTTTGTTAGCATAGATGATTCTCTCTCGTTCTCTAAGAAATGATACGTTACTGATAACGTCTTCGAGTAGATTTTCGAATGAAAAGAAATTAGAAGGTTAAATCAAGGAAAATGTCGCCGAATGATTCGATTTAGTAACGAAATCGCCTGTAGAAATGACGTATCATTCGACATAAACGATCAGTAATAGCGTGAGACAGTAGAGCATCAAGCAGTGACCTTTCTTCGTATTGATTTAGCTTACTTCGGTCTATTTTCGGCGGCGGACGATATCGGATTCCCGGTTGAGACCAATAGAATGGTGCCGATCCACGAATCATAACAAATGACATGATATTTGAGTCAATCCGAAGAATCTGCAAAATGACATTATGTTCGATAGAAGATAGGAGTTGTTTTCGTACTGACTTGCTCGGTTTCCACATAATTAGCAACGTTTCCATCTTCATCAATCCCTCGACAATGCATACGAACACCTGCGCGATATCGATTTCGTCGTGAAATGAGAATTAATTGCGCGTCGGTATCGTGATTAACTTGAAAGTGACATTTGTCTAAGTAACCCATGATTATGGGCTGGATCCAACGAGTGTCGAAATGTTCTTTCTATTACAAAGATAATATATGATAAGAAAAAAAAACAACTGATGAACAAAACTTTACATCGGCTTGTTTGATAAATTCATTGAGCATTTGTCGATTCCAAAAGAATCTCTCGTCAGCACGTTTCCACAATGGAATTGTTTCGTCTTGATCTAATGCACGCTGTATGGTATTTGTCAAGTCATAGGTACGACTGTAATAAAAGCATTGGGTTTCTTGATACCATAAACGAAGTTCCTTTTTGAAAGAAAAACACAGTTAAATTTCTGTTCGATTGTAAACTATCCTACATACTTCAATACATTTTGATTCATATTTATTGTTTGTTGTAACATTTGCTCGACCTATTGATTCCTAAATGAATATCTGCCGTGTTAAGTCATTGTATATAGGTGACAGATGTACCTCGTCAATATCGTCAAACGGTTGCACAAGAATATCTGTAACACGATAAATTTCGTGTCCGTTTTGTATAACACATACCATCTCCTGACTTTTGATAAATATCAACCAATGAAAGCCATCTATCAAAGAAGAACAAGTGTTGTAGAACCATATAAACTCAGTATTACCTTTAACAATTTGAATTTGTCCTATATAACCGTGAATATCACTAACAAATGAAGCATCCCATGCGGATGAATCCGATAGGATCTCTTTCGATATGGGTTCTAAATGAATTTGTTCGTTGACAAACAAAGGAATTCGAAAGAAAAGACGTATACCTGGTTTTGTATAAACAGACAGACTTCTTCTGTTAAACCATAGACTATGTTCTTCCGTCGTGACAATCCAGGAGTCTTTTGCTTTATACAATTTCATTCTCCGTATCTACGACAGAAAATTTCCAAACAAAGATCACATTCTAGTTGAAGAAACTTTAGCAAATCGAATATCATTGTTATCGACAAGATTATATGTGTATATACATGAACATTTGATAAAAGAGAACAATAACAAAAAAAAGAAGGGTATCAATCGTCGTAATTATCATCATCGGTTCGGGATGCCTCGATCTTTTTTCGTAGAACTTCCTTGGACATTTCCTGTGTTTGTGTCCAATCGTCTTCTTCTAATTGTTGTGCTTCTTCTCGAGCCTAAAAATACTTGATAGATCGATGGCGGAACGAATATTCTTCATTTACCTGTTGAAACAAAAGTTCCTGTTGTTGTCTTAGTTCTTCGTCGGTGTAGATCGATGTCGATTTTCCATGAAGTTTACGACGTTTTTGCGCCATTTCAGTCTGAGCTGTGTTCATTGCATCTAAACAATTCGATCGATACGAAGCAAAACCGAGTTTTTCCAATGCTAAAGAACATTTCTAAATCATCCTGATCTTATCATAAATCCTCTTACCTGTAATAACATGATCTGGATGAACAAGTTTCTTTGTCTGTTGTTCACAAACTGTATTCGCTTGTAAAGCTAATGTATGAATGAATTCATTGCAACATTGAACGAAGAATTCTTTCGCGTCACTCGACACCCGTATCTGGCGAGTACGATCTTTGATCATTTTATGCACAGCAGCACGTGGCACGCATTTATCGTCTTCATCATTACCAACATGACTAGGAGAACTGATCATCTAGAAAACAAAACAAGATTGAAATCGATTTTCGCCTTTTTCCTTTCAACACGCGTCGAAATAAATATTGGACTTTTTGAAAGTAGATAAGAATAAAAAAGATATAAAAACTCACATGTCGTATGTGTGAACAGTCATTCTTACGATGAATCATACACAATGAGTCACGCCTGTCTAATTCCAATTAGTCATTCGATTCAATTGTGTCATCTCACATCTCCTGAGAATTCTCAGATATCAAGTGTATCAAAACAAGCGCTACACAACGATTCCCTGCTCGTTCGTAATACAATATCCAACCATCGTCCGAATGAAGTTACAAGTAATCTAATCGTCGAGGTAGCAAAAAAGAAGAAAAACACACACAAATGATATAAACTGATTTTTATTGAAATTATAAAAAACAAACATAACACAAAACTGATAGATAAAAGACTTATTAGTACGTTGTTCGTTTGATTTTTTTATAGTGATTATCGGTGACTAGTGAGAATGAAAGCTTTGTAATGTTTAATTTGTGATGATTTATCGCGAGTTCGATGAAAGAAAGACAACTGACTAGATGAATTTGCTCGGAGGAAATAGATGCATCCAGAGATACGTTAGTGGTATGCCGAATAGACAAACTTTGACGTAGAACGATCGGCACTGTGGGATGATTACTAAGAGAAATGTGCTTAGAAGGAAAAAGATTGCCGCGAATATGGTTAAATTGAAACTAGACTGAGCACGAACGCTTTTACCATTTGAATCAAAATGTGAATCGTTTCGATTTGGATCATAGAAGTGTTCCAATAATCTGAAATATTCAAATAGCAGAATACGATTGTCAGCTTCTTTCGTTCGTGTTTACTTGTCTTTGATTAGAAATCGCTGGTAGAGCCAATCAGAGATCTGCTCATTGCTTTCCGATGGGACTGAATTGATCGGAATTCGTTTGATATGAATATGTAATTCTTTGGTTTTTCCTTGTAAATATTCTAGAGACATGTCAAGAGAATGAAGCAAATTCTCTCAAAATATCTATTTGCTTACCAATCATTGATGATGCACCTAGTCGTACACGTCGACGATTATCGTATGTCGGATAGTACATAGCTGTGATGTCATAAACAGCATCAAGTTTATCTTTGAGAGCATTTATTGCAGCTACCGTTGCACCCATCCGTGGATACAGATGGTTAATTAAAGGTGAGACACCTGCAAAGCGATTCAAGGCATGTGGGTGATGATGATTCGCATTGCGCTTTGTTTCGTTACCTTTTTTCTCTGCGAACTGCCGTGATCGTTCGATGATATCAGGATTCTTTTCTGGATTATAACGAGTGCCTTCAGGGAAGACAACGAGCCAAACAGGCAATCCGTTGCGTTCGATTTGACGCATGCCTTTCTCGACACGATCGAGATCTTTTTTATCAGTTCGATGGACATAAATGCAACCGTGCTAAAGAAAGCTTCGAATGGAGAAAGACTTTCATCGATCGGTTTACTTGTTCGAAATAGAATCCATAGAATGGAATTCGTTTCAAATCACTTTTGAGAACATATCGAATATGCCCCAGACTACCCTGACGAACAGCCAACATATTGACAATGATCCAATCCACTACAAGTAGAATTGTTGTTTGATTGAAACGGAACCGTTTGTCTTACCAGAACTTTGATGATTAGATATGTATAAAACATTTTCCTTTCGTCGGAAAATTTCTTCATAATCGCCGTGAAAGTAAATCTGAATGTAGAGTAGAGAACTCGAACGCAAGAAAATACTTCGGTCGACGTACTTTAACCTGAGACCAGCTTTCGAAGAAGAAAAGAACGAATCGTTGATAAGCCGAGTACAACATATCGTCATAATAACGATAACTGTGGCGAGAAACACCGATAAATGTGATCAGACGTAATATCAGCCATAAAATGAAAAACGTTGGTGCTGCTGCAAATAATGTGATGACGGGAAAAGCAACACGCAGAGTATCGATCATAAATAATAAATAGGATAACATTGTTCGTTATCTAAAAGCATGAGATAAAGTTGTTGCACGTACATCGCGCGAAAAATTTCTCTTATTGGTGCTCATAGACAATAGAAACGATCTCCTGTTTACGAAACACTCACAGACGACGAATGAAGTCGCGCCGACGAAATTTTCTTCTGGCGGTATTTGTTATTAGAATGCTCACGCTACACAGATTTACTTACTTTCCGGCGCTTTTAACAAAGGTAGATAGATGTTTTTTCTATCTGCGAGCGGATAACTTGCACGTTGATGGTGAATACATTATTTCTATGCTTGATCAATCTTACCCCAAATGAAAGAGACACCCATTTGCAATAAACGGTATTCGCATTCTCAAGGTGCACGTCGATTCAGTTGAAATATTTCTTCTGCTTCTTTTATGGTATGCATTCGGTAATATTTTATGAAAATGCAACTCTCGCATAGCCATTAAATACTTCTGGTCGAAGTAGTTTCATTGAAATAAAATAATATCTTTAGTAACCATGATCAACGCTTGATTAACTCGACAAAATGCAATAGAGGAAAAAAAGTGAGAAAAGCGAGTCGAGTATAAATAGAACTGGTGAATTATGGTAGGAAAACACTCGGTCTGTTTCTATTGATTGACATCATGCGGAAATCGAGTGAAATGATAGTTGCTAAGAGACGTTTTCCACTATTGAATTTAAGAGGAGAAAACTACCGCAGTTTGCTCTCCGAATACTCACCCAATGTAGTTTAAAGAGAACAAGCAATGCTTTACGTGATGATTGAATAAGAAAAGAATGGAGAATAGCTTTCGGTATGAAATGCAATAACAAAGAAATTATCTATCATTGCCAATGTTGAATAACTAGATGAAAATGGAAGGATTGATGAATGACTTTATGATTGTAAATAGAGTTGTACGCAAGCACAAGACAAATGTTGAGTAGGAAGACGTAATGATGTGAAGAAAGCCAATGAAAACAACAAACTATGTTTTGAAAATAGTCGTTTTGCAAGAAAAATCATAGCGTTATTAACTGTTCCGATAACCTGTCACTGTCATCTCACTGACGCATGAATATAGAGAAGCTTTTATGAATAAGAATAAGATGCAAATTGATTTGATAAGCGAAGCCAATCCGGAATGATCTTCTAACCCTTACAAATATATTTGAATTTATGTCGAATCTCTTATTCATGTTTTCTGAATTTGAACATCTGATTCCAAAAAAATCACTCAATAACAATCGAATGGTCATCTGATGCAACCATATAGACCTGCCATCTATCGACGGACTGTCTCAAACTGAAATAAAAACGAGAAAGTGAACTAATACACACGCTTTAGAGAAAGAGTTTTGAATAAAACTCGAACATTGTGTAGATCCACATGTCGTCAATGAGTGAAAGCAGTACGATCTTAACATTGCTCGAGTGTCGCTAATCTGTATCAGTTAATCGACTATATGTCTGCCATTCAAAGACATATTTGACTGTTACAGTTTGCTCAGTCTATGTAAATCTTCTTTCACATCCACCGTATTCATTTCCGATTGTCGTATTTCCCCTTTCATCAATGTCTAACAGTCCTCGATGCTGAATTAAAAACAAATAGTCAATTATTCAAGACAATTCGCTCGTGCGACAAGTCGTGAACATAACGATAATGAGCATTTAATAATCTTCATAGAAATTGAATCAATCCATAAAACGTCCATCAATTATATATATTCATGTGTGAGTTTACTAGTCATTTCTTCATATATCGACTTTAATTGGGCAGCCTGTCAACTAGAAAGACTCATGTACATTTTCCTTCTTCTATGCCTATCGGCTGTTGTCATCATGTAATGATGAGAGAAGAAAAAAGATGTATATGCATATGATTGGGTATTCGATTTCAGATTGAAATTCATTCCTATTAAGAAAAATAAACCTATTCGAATATTGTTTCAACATTTGATCTGTTGCTGTAAGTGCTCATCTTCAATATATTTCGAAAAAGTAAACATGAAACAGAAGTGCGAAGTGCAGCTCGTACACTTGAATGAGAACGATATTGTCAATCATCTGACACATTCGTCTTCACACAGATAAGAACGACGATTCACCCATCGCTGTCAAAAAATCGTCTGATATTTGAATGTTTTCAAAGCATTTACAATGATTCTCTCGTTCTATACATCGATCAATACGGTAATTTGAAATGTGTATGTAAATAATAATTATTAATGTCGTTGACAAACGATTAAATTGTATGTACACATAAATCTTGCTAGACGATCAATTCTCCTAATTATATTGACTTAATTTTCTTGGAAGGAAGTAATAAGGTGTGCGATCGAATCGGATACATCAGCAGAGATAGTCGACTGTTCGAAACCGTATAACAAAAAGAAATTCTGTGCTTGCGAATGTAGTTTTCTTCTAATAGAAAGTCAATATTCGTTTTGTAACTGAGATACCATTCAAATTTCTCCGCACTTGTGACAATTTTCGGCAAGGAGAAGAAATACAACATTGTTCCAGAGTTAAACAATCGATTGGAATTAAAAATTTTCACAACGTCGAATTCGATTGAATTTGAAATTCTTTTTCTTTTTCTCTATCAACGACGGCGACAACCAATGGATGAATTAGACAAATAGAATTCGATTGGTTCATATCAATAGAAATTTTGTTTTTTCTTCTTTTCTCTTTCTTTCTCTTCTTTTCGACACGATCTCTAAATGATTTAGTATGAAATAATTGAAAATGTCGATAAGTCCATTGAATAAAACGTCTCTTCTCTACTCGAATATGCTGAAAAACCACTTTTTCTCACCGTTTTTCATTCAATCATTGATCGCATCGAAGCAAAACGCTATTCAACAAGATCTCCCATCCCATTCAAGTCCAGATGAAGACGAAGAGAGCATTGACGATCACGACAATAAGCACAAACGTACACGAACGAACTTTACGTCTTCGCAAATCGTCGAACTAGAAAAAGCTTTTCAAAATGGTATTGCTCATCCTCTCGTCACCTTCTTCTCGTTTGATCATTTGCTTTTCATTTCAGGTCATTATCCAGACATTTACATGCGCGAGGCATTGGCGATTAAATTAGATTTAATTGAATCTCGTGTGCAAGTCTGGTTTCAAAATCGACGCGCTAAGTGGAGAAAGATAGAAAACACGAAGAAAGGTCCCGGCCGTCCGGCACACAACGCTCATTTACAGACGTGTTCAGGTGAACCAATCTCTCACGAAGAAATTGAACGCAAACGTTTGTTAGCCGAAGAACGTAAACGGCAAAAGCAAACTAAAAACTGCAAATCTGCGAATAGCGATGGCAATTCATCGACTTCATCTTCCGTATCGCCGAAATTACCGAACAAATCCTCGTACTCAATCGAACGAATTCTCTCTCAATCGCCCGCGATCACTACTCGTAAAACTTCCTAGAATTATTTCCATTGTTTATTTTTTACAAGAATAACCCGGTTCATACAGATAAGGATAAAATGCCTCGAGGTATTGTCTTTTTCATCTTGATTGTGACATCGATCAATATAATTATCACTTACTCAAGTTTAAAATGATCGATTATCCTTTTCTCTTGATGTACGCGTTCATTTTCTCTGTTGATGCTGTAAAATAAAATACAAAATTGTTCTAATCGATCGTATTACTCGAGCTTAGGTATCAAACACGAGTTTATATTCATCACGATCAAAGAAGGAATTTAGTAAAGGGATCAATTCCCGTTTTCGATAATGCAAACTTAATCCAGTCATTCGATAGTCAATTCGTCACTAAAAACAAATAAGTAATAATTCTTGATCATATTGAAAGTAATGTTGATTGATGTTTGTTAATGAAAAATGTGCCTAGAGGAGAAATATTAGTTCATCGTTCGCTGGACTAATGATTAAATTTCTCTTGTGATTGTTCATAATCGAATGAAATATAAAAAGCTTTAAGTGCATCATTATAATGACATCTGAATGAAGTTCAACGCCCCACATCAACACAAACAGAGAGATCATAATCGATTTCAAACAAGTTCACAAATAGTAGATTAAACACCGGAAAAGTGTAGTGTTTTCTTCACTGAATCAATACAGATCAGATGTCGTCTAGCTGACCGAGCCAGTCAATTCATGGAAGGGCAAACAGTGTTCGTTAGTAACAAATAATCTGTTGAATTTACTTATTTATGTCAACAAAAAACGTTGAAAGAATTCGTATTGGGATTGTTTCGATCCTTTCAAAAGAGACAAAACTTCGTTCAATCGATACCAATGTCGTTGACGACCATATAATCTTCTTTCATCCCAATCATCGTATTCATGTTCAACATAGATTACAAATACATTTGTCCGTCGTTTTCGCGCGATATCTTCGACAATTCCCAAGTCACGAATAACCCGTCCGCGAACACCCGCTTCTTCATACAGTTCTCGATGTGCTGCGTCAATTCTTGTCTCATTTTGTTCAATGCCACCACCAGGAATGATCCATGATGTCTTATCACGAGATGTTATCAAAAGAATCTAGAGAATCTCCTCGAATAGCGAACGAGCGTTTACGGAAGTTGAATTACCTCATCTTCACGTTCATTTCGCACACAGATACAAGCGGCACGTTGTCGATAACCATCGAGATCAGTTAAACGCATTTTTTCTGCCATTCGTAGGTGAGTTTAAAGATGAAATACAAACATGTGAAGCATATTAACAATCACCTTGTCTAGAGACAACGACGATGAGATAAAAACTCGAATCATTGAATTTCTTTGTTCGTTAGATGTCACTCGATCTTGCTGTTCAATTCACTTGGCGTGTTTCTCGTTTCGAATCGATGCAATTCTCGTCTGACTAAAGTTTCGTATGTTGATTATTGATCTTGCATATTTATTTGTTTTTCTTGTGCGTCGTTAATCACGAGAGCAAAAGATACCAAGCGGAAAAGTATCTTCCTATGAAAGATAAAAACGCGAACGGATGTCTTTCTTCGAGAAAGCAACAACTGTCGCTGGCATTTGTAGGTTTCACGAAGATTTATGACGAGCATGTTCTCCTTCGACCTAATCATACGTATATGTCTATCGACACAACACACGTCTTATAATGTCTATTTATATTATATATTTTCTTACATATTGAATTGCAGGCACAGAAAAAAAAAAGAAAGAAAGAAAGAAAAGTTTATATCACAAAAACAAACAAGAGAAAGAAACTGCTCGATCACAAAAGTTGTAAGGCGTATAAAGATGAAGAGGAGAGTTTGTCTTTTTCAAGAAAGAGATCGTTTAAATCTAAGAGCGAGTTGAACGTGTGACGACGTTTGATTAATTGTCGATCTGAAGATGAGAAGAATGTTTTCTCGATGGAATCTTCTTTGATAATGAAGATTTGCTGATCTACATCGTGGATTTGCTGTTTTAGTGTTTGAAGAAGATTTTCATGTTCAATTAATTTCGATTTCAAAAGAGATGTTTGCTGGACTAGATCAATTTCATGCACTGGAGATTGATCGATAAAACAAATACTGGAATTACTGATTCTTTCGTAGATTTCATCATCTAAATCAACAAATACGCGTGCAATTGGAAGTAAATGCACTTAGTCTTTGACATACCTTTATTTGTTGGAAGAAGAAACGTTTCGTCGGTGATTTTCTTTCGTGATTTTTTCCGTCGAATATTGGTCAGAGTTTTCGATTTGTGTTTTTCATTTGATAACGTAAAATATTGAAATATATGTGAAATATCTCTCAGGGATTGCGATGGTTTCTTTGTCGCTGTGGTACTGATTGATGAGCTTATATCTGACATGGAATAAACAGCTGAATCTGTTGATGATGAAACGATTTGATTCGTTTGAAGAGATGAGTCTACCGAACGAGACCGTGAAGAAGATGTTGATGATTTCTCTTCTTTCTTTGTATCTCGTCGACGGTTTCTAGTGTGAAAGAAAAAAGAAGAAAAAAAAACACGTAGGTTTGAATGTGAAGCAAAAGCTAGGCGAGAAGATCATGCGAATTGAACGATAAAAATTTTAGCTGGGTGGAAAGATCAATCAAGCTCCGCTTACAACAAAATAGATATCAATGTGGACGAACAACACTGGAACGATTATGTTCATGTCAAATAAGTTCCAAGAGAGCCTCTCTACTTACCTTTTCACTGAGATATTAATCGGCTTCGAGGTTTGCTGATCTGTGTTGTTCATATTCAACGACGACAGGGAATCGAGTAGTAGAGGTGATGACCATCGTCGTTTAGCAGCACGAACAATTTGCTGAATGATTTCCGATGGTTTCGTTTCGTTGTTAAGAGATAGATCGTGGTCATTACTGGTGATGCTTAATACTAAAGGTAGTTTTGGCATTTGAGGATTGATTTCCGCTGGAACATCATCTGAACCATTATAGTCAAAAAACCATTCGTACTAAACGAAGTTCGTTAGAGAAGTGAAAACTTATCGATTGACATACGTATAGAATAAATGATTCAATAATTCGAATCTTTTCTGGATTGTCCACCAGATTTGATTGTAAGGATGCTTTGGAATCCCAGATTAACGTTGGTCCAAAGATAATCGCCAGATTTCTCGCATCGATCTAATGAAATTGTCAAGTTAAGAATAGAAAATGCTCGCCGAAGATGTTCGTACCTTGTTAACATCACAGTTCGACGCTACTCGTCGGAAATGTGCACATAAATACTTTAATGTTTCAAAACGATAATCGTCCAATTGCATTATCAGACGTTTCAAATCCATTAGACGATCACGATGATTTTCAATTCGACTAGCATTGACAGCTAAACTGCTCATTTCTAAATAGAGAGACTTCTAGAAGAGAATTTCAGTTTTGTACTAAGAACCAACTTGATGATAGTAAGGAATCAGGCAGTTTAGCAAAGAATGTCTTCAAGGTTGACGCTATGGCTTTCACATCGTACCATTTCTCTGAATTGAAATCGATTTTTTCTGCTCCTTTATCAAATTCCGAGACAAGCCAATTGACTGCAGTTAAACCGCCTGCATTTCGATAGATTCCTTGACTGTTAATACCGCGTAACTCGACGAGACGAGTGAGAATCTCCACTACGATGGGAATATAACGTGATATCGATGAACATTCGCATTCTTCTAATTCAATGCCGAAATTAGTGCCTTGGGAAATGGAATGAACACCTGAACTTGATGAAATATATTCTCCACTGCTTTCGTCGTAAATTTGTCCACTCATTTGATTGGTTAAGATCGATGAAGAAGATTTTAGTGTTCGAAGACCTTTTTTGACAATAGATTTGACAAAGGAACGACGAGGAGAGATACTCGATGGAGAATTTAAGTTACTCATTGATGTAACCTGCTGGCTTGTCGCTGGTTTTTGTGATTTACGCAAGCGAAGACTAGGTGAACGTTTGAGTGACGGACTACGTAAAGATAATTTCGACTTTCTCGTTTGCGTTGGACTGGATTTTTGTTGCGCATCATTCTGCGATATTAAACTAGAAAACAACAACAACAACTGAAAAGGCACGAATGCATGCAACTCAACTTACTCTGGTTCATTCGTTGTCGATGCGAGCGGCAACAATGAAGTTGCACTTTTTCTTAATGATTTATCATTGACATCAGTCAGTAACCGTGAATTATTTTGGTCGGAAGCACAATACTCCTTGATAACATATAACCATTCCGTTAATGATTGTGAGTCAGGTGCTTGAAAGAGAAATTCACTCTGACTTGAGGTTGTCACTTTGAAAACACGAGGCTTCTTCACGTAATCACTTGCTAACTCAACTTCAGCATTTCGAAGATTGATTGGAAATGAATCACATGACAACGGAATTAATAATCCATGTTTTTTCTCTTTTCCAAGAAAGAGAGCACCACGTCGAAGAACTGCCCATGCTCCACGCCATGAGCGATCTGGTGCCCGACGACCATCTCTGAGTACTGTCTTACAATAGAGTATTCCTTCTTTTGTTGCTTCGATGTTATCAGCCATAGTGGTCAATAAGATCGATTCTTGTGGAGTCGTGGTTGAACTGTCGAAGAAATAGGAGCCTGACTTTGACTGATTACCCGACGATAATTGAGGTGACAAGGAGGAACGTTGATCGAGCGCATGAGTCACTTCCGGCGTCTAGATTTCGATGGATATTTTGTTTAAAAAAAAGAACAGTAGTCGTCGTGATCTTGACTTACTCCTTCACCGAAAAAACTTTTTAGCTTTCGTATCGCTTGCGATTGGTGTTGAGGAGTACCTCTAGATTTCCATTCGCAAATCACAACAAGTTCAAAATATTTTCGAAAATCTACCTTAATTTCTGTTGTTCTTCATGCGAAACATCATAGGAATAGTTGTCGTCTTTGTTTGTTCGCAAATATGTCGGAGGTAGATGGTCGATGCGACATGACAAACGTTGATCTGTTGCAATCAAATAAGATGTTCGACGTTGTTTTAGTTCTTGTTCGCTTGTTCGTGACGTTACACCATATTGGGCTACTAGAGAAAGAAAACATTCAATGTTGATTGAATAAACACAGACAAACACAACCTTTACGTCGAAAAACGGGTGTTTCAGGGTTATAAGACAAAGCAAACTGATCACAAACATGCAGGTTAACTAAAGAAACACATAGATGACAGAAGCAAACAGCAATTTCCTACCGAAATCGGTCTGTTCATTTGGATGTGCTGACCGGACAGCAGTTATATATGAATCTTGACGAATAAGACTCACGCCTGAAGTTCGTGCTGGAGAATAATTATTAATTGTATATCGTTGACTAAAATTTCATTAAAAAAACGATAGGAAGGCGAACGATTTATGTCAGATTAACCCAAACCTTTCATTTGCCGTTAATGGAGCATAATGAGATGTTGTTGTTGTTGTCGTTGTCGTCGATGTTGGTTTTTGAGATGATGTCGTTCGTACCGGTTCAATCATGTATCTTGGATGATTGTAATTATACTCGATATGGTTGATTTCATCAGCTAAATGGATATTAGCCTAAGAAGTTGCCTGTTTTTCGAAAAAACAAAATCATCTGTCGAATAGAATAGATAACAGATGTTGATTGTTTATTTCTAATTATGAATCCAGAAATTCTCAGGACTGTGTAGCGTAAGGGTAAGAATAACAAAGATTTTCGAAAGATTTTCGCCGGAAAATAATATTGACACTCAAAACGGCAAGGATTTTGAATACTCTCTACTGCCAAGTCGATTTCTATTTATACGAACTTCTCTTTTTTTCGATTGACAGAAGAAAAGCATAATGTCCTTCAGGTATTTTTTTTAAAACTGTCAATCACTTTTTCGAGTGTTCTATTTACTTGATTCTTTTCTTCAGAAATGAATGCTTCAACATACCTCTCGGCATTTGAAATGATGTTACAATTGGTTTCATCAGTTTATATTGTGATTCATAATAGCCATCTTGCTCTGAATGATCATCTTCTTGATAGAGAATACTTTCTTGCTGTGAGGGCGTTGGCGAATTTGAAGGTTTAGATTTGAATTTCGCGAATTTGTTTGGATCGATATCTTCGAAGTGTGATGCACGGGTCATTACAGATTCAACGTCGGCAACGGCGGTCAATCGATTCCATTCGTTTTCGTACTTTTTCTTTTCGGAGTATTTCTTCATTTTCGAATCACTTTGATTGTCATGAGCGAGATTTTCCACATGGCCACTTTCGAACTGTTTCTTCCGAAAGTTGACAAATTCAGTCTTCATGTCCTTATCCGTTCCCATCGAATCACTCGATGGTGATTTGACTTCATCGCGTGACGACGATGAAGGCGATGTCCATTGAGTTTGATCTTGCGAAGGAAGATTAAACGAGGTATTAACCATAGGTAGAAATGATGCTGATTGTTTATATTCGTACGGAATATACTCATTGTGAAATGGTGATTGATAATACGATGACGAACTCTCTTTGGAAGGTTGTTTCGACGAATCTAATGCTTTGTGAACTGAATCGATGTAATTTGAAAAGATGTTCTGCGGAGATGACGATGATTTTGGAGAAGGAAAGTAAATTCCAGCTTGTGCGAGCTCTTCTTGAGTTCGACCTTGTGCTAGATTGATTTGTAAATTACGTAGTTTCTGTTCGATTGTATTATTTGACATGATGAATGGTGATGAATAATTATTCGATTGATAAGAATTCTTCAATGAAGAAAAGAGCATTTAGTACATATCCCTCTTGACAGATTAGATGGTTTATCAACGGAATGCCTCAAGTTTCTCATTGATGCTGCAAGATGTTGCAATCGTGTTGTTTTAGTCCTCCGGCTCAAGATACAAACATTCGATGTGTCTTCTCTCGAGAAACTTACTAGAGAAATGTGATCGTCTTCGTTGGGTAGAACATTCAAAACGAGATCATATGGACTAGAAAATACAAGAGAGAACGATTCGCAATGATCCTATTCGTCATGTTCGTACGTATTTTTAATTGTGGCAATGACTTGCGCGTAAGTCTTTCCATGTACAGATTGATCGTTGACTGATAGCACTCGGTCGCCTGCTCTTAGACCAGCTTTATAAGCTGGACTATCTCGGCGCACGTCTTTGACAAAGATCGTATCCAAATACTGAAGATTCTCATGACGAGTAAGACCATCATCATCGATGTTATCTTAAAACAAAGCGCAGACATAAGTGTTTTCTTGTCTAACATGTCGCTTGAATCAATTAGGAAGAGAAAGAGTTAAGCAAATTATTGATGACGAGCTTTGTTTGTTTTTCTGCTTACCAGTGCTGATAATTTTCATGGAATTCGATGAGGAGATTTCTTGTTGTTCTCCTTGATGATGTCGGAAATTGGTCGATGAAGATGGAATTCTCATCGTTGTTGATTTGTCGTCGACTAATTGCTTTCGCTGATGTTCATCGATGACAACATGATATGATGCCTATTAAATAACAAAATCAGATTAATCATTGACACTTCATTAAAAACGGATATCATTATATTTCCCACGATTAACTAATTAATTAGGTTAATAAGTACAAAAAAATAAAGAAGCTAACAGGAAAAGAAAGATATTACTTGATTTACTTAGATCTAAATGTGATGGAGAATAGGGATGGAAATTGTTTGTGGAAGATGTAATTTACCTGAACAGAAGTTAATGACGGGTAAATAACATAATAACGAAGTGTAAAACCAAAACCACCACCACCACCACTTGAATACACACTGGCTCGAGATATGAAGATTTTCTTGGTTTGTTTCATTAATTGGTTCACTTGATGAGAATATCTGCGAGACTTATTTCGAACAGCATCGTTTCTTTCTTCTGAAAGAGAGAGAGAGAGAGAGTTAATGAAATCTTCTTCTAACCGATGATAGTGATGAGAATAAACGCAATGTGTCAAAAGAAGAAACGATCTTATACTAACTAATTGCTCGACTTTACCAACTGCGAGACATCGCCGATACGAACACACATAAAGTTCACTGAATTTCTTCTCTTCCTGTTCTCTATATAGACATCAATGCACCTGCGTGTCGAAAGGAAAGGAAGGAATTGCCTACTTACATTGTCCAGAAATCAATCCTTTTTGTACTTTCATCAATGATTCATATTTACCTTATTCCTTTCAGTCGTACAACTTCTTTAAGTATAAAGCTTGCAATGAAATTGCTTCGCGATGCAACCAAAAGAGAAAAGAAGAGGCAAGTGCGCTATTGTTGTCCCTTATCGAAGTGATAGAGTAGGAGAGAGAGAGAGAGAAAGAAGACCAGCTCATTAAAGATGATAGACGAATATGAGCAGCAGTCCGGAAGCGTTCTGTATATTGTGATTATCAACAATATGTAGACGTGATAAGACAGATGGTCTTATCATTTCACTCATCTTCGATATATTACTCCTGACCACATACAGAGTTGTATTGAACTTCCTCGCTTGTTGATCATCACATTGATGATGCAATATCAACAAGACATAGAAAGATAATCAAGTTCATCAATACTGCTCAATCCATAGATAAATAACAATTCTCGTTGGCTATATCACTGAATTCAATAAGAGAAAAGAGCTCCGACTTGTTTTCTTCTATTACGCCCAAAGAGAAACTTATCCTTGACTATACATGTAAATGCGGTTTACTTATCTTCTAAAGTAACAACAATCGAGAAGAATATGTACAAAAATCAATCGTAGGTGAACTGAATATTACCATATGATGACATTCAATGTCGAATAGATTTTTTTTTACAATCAATAAAACGGAAGCACATACGTGGCTCCAGGGATGCATACATCATAGAAATGAGAGAGAGAGAAAGAACGAGCGAACGCGAGAAGAAGTGGTCAAATGACGTGTATGTCTGTTTCCGGTGGGCAAAAGGCCGGCGTCATTGATTCGAGTGAAGAGATTTCTTCAAGCAGCTAGAAATAATCGCTAAATATGAGAATGATCGATGTACGAAATCGAAGTATATTTAATAAAAAAGAATTTCTTCTTTTGTACAAAGAGAAAAGAAGGATCCTTCAACATATTACTTCTTTCTTTCAAAACGTTCTGTTCATCATTTATTAAGTCGGAAGAAAATTACATCATACTATCCAGGTATTCAATCAAAAGGAGAAAAAGAAAATGTCCTACTTATGGTTGCATGAAGAAAGAATGATTAAACATGTTCGTAAATCAATCTTTTCCTCTCTCCCTCTCCCGTATCCTCGTTGCGCTTTTTCTTCTCTTTCGATTTCGTATCTCATTTAATATCATACTCAGATGACACAAGAATGTGCCAAATCGAGTAGACGATGAACAGATTAAACGTGTCCAGACATAAGAGAATAGATTTCGTTTCGTTATTTCTGTTTTCTATCATTAGATCTGTACATGATTCGTAAACAGAGATTAAATCATGTCGTACGAAAATGAAAATCACTGATGAACAAAACGATAATCATCATTTGCATTCTTTACACCATGAACCTTCAAATCATTTGTTTTTCAGCTCATTAAAAAGCAATAACTAAAAAGTCATAGGTACACACTTACTAATGGAGCGAAGAGAGATGCTTACATAATCAATACTTATCCAATTCCAAATATCATACGTAGCATTTTTCTTTTGTTCATTTGGAAACAAATCGATCCAATCGAAAGCGAACGCTACAATCGAATGTCGACATTCAACCCTGGATCAACGGCATGTTCGAAAACGTTTGTCCGAGATATTCGTGTTCAGATTATTGTTAAATATCTCTCTTCTAGTGTCGCATCTATTCGTTGTTAATTTTTTTCTACGGTAAATCATAACGAAATCAAAAACTGTTACGACACCGTCGACCAGAACAGCAACACTGACAAAAAAAGATTTCCAAGAAGAAAGCTGTTATAGGGATCGCTGATATACGATCCATTATTTTCTTTCGTTTCTCTCTCTTGAACGCACTCTAACAGAACCGAAAGATCGCAACGCACCAAAACGTTTTCGCACAGCGGATGTTTTATTTTCCGTGGAAAAACATGATGAAATCAAAGTATTTCGTGTTCTCTAAAATAACCTTTGCTAGATTGATTTATTTGGTTCAGAGCAAAAATTCCAAATTTTCCGCCAAAGAAATCGTTTCCAAACTTGGTACACAATAGAAGGCAGCTGATGCTGCTGTAGGTATGAATTATTTAAGGAAAAATGAAGCAAGTTTAGTTAGATATTAGCAAGTTGCAGGAGATTCGCCGGTTGCTAATCGATTATTGATCGAATCGATAATTGCAGGTAAATCAGATATAGTATCGATTAAATAATGTGGTTTACTCGATGCGAATAGTTTATCAATGCGTTCGCGTTCAGAATTTAAACGCTCGGTCGTTAGAGCAGAATATTCGTCCCAAGTAAGACCGAGAAAGTTTCCGGAGAATCGTAATGCCACTGTCCACATGCCTGCGCTGCGACCTTCGACGATGCCTGGCGGTGTATCATCTACTTTGACACAAGCAGCAACGTCATCAAGACTGAGCGCAATGACATTTGCCAAAGACTGAGCGGGAGTGGGACGACCTTTTGGGACTTCATCCGAAGCAACGACGCAATCTGGTGAGTAACCAGCACTTGCAGCTAATGGAACGAGTTTGTCCATGACTTCTTTAGGATAGCCTGATGTCGAACCGATTTTCAAGCCACGTTTTCGTAGACTATCAATCGTATCTAATGCACCCGGAATCAATGCAGAATATTCTCCAACTTTCGCGATCTGTAATGGCATAAAACGCTTGTAAATTTCATTAACATCGTCTTCATTTGGCTCACGGCCGAATCGTCGTTGAAATTGCTTACTAATACCCACTTGATTACAAAGTGTACGAATATGATCTCGTTTGCCAACACCCATCGGTCCACGTGCTTCGTCCAAACTTACGTTGATACCAACACTTGCAAATGCTTCGACAAAGATTCGAGTCGGAGCAAAGCTCCCAAAGTCAACAACGGTTCCGGCCCAATCAAAAATAACCGCTTGCAATCGTGATGGTAATCGATAACGCATATTTATACTCTAAAATTTCGTATAAGAGATGCATGTATGTGACGAGGATCTATGCAGTTATATATAACCAATAAAGTACGAATGTTCCTGCTCTGATCAAGGATTCTGTGCTTGGTAGTCATCGCAATGACGCATGATGATTCGCGAAACAACATAACGATATAGCGTATTTCTATGCACAGGAAAGAAGAAAAAAAATCACTTTGCTACACAAAAAACTGGCCCGTATAACATTTTCCTTGTAGTCATCAGCTCGCAAGAATCACGCTCCCATCACTCTTGCCGCATGCAGCTTTTTACCAAATGTAATCTTATAGAAAATTAATTTGCGCTGTTTTTTCTTCTTCTTTTTGATCGTCATGGAAATACATTGCTTGAAATTTTGCGAGATTCTCGTTATTCATGTCAAGTTGTTCCCTCTTTTGTTTCTCACTCGATTTGTATTGCAGAAGAATTCGATTGTAAAGCGAGGCTTGTTGATTCTTCTTGTTTTGTGAAGAAAGTTTTTTTTATAGAACTTATGATATAAAATATGACATTATATTTTTCCTTCGAAAATCGAATGAAAACACCGATGATATATAGATGGTGTCCTCGAAACATCCTATTGCTTTCAGTCACTCGCCAATCCGATGGTTGCATTCACTTACTCAGCGTCACATTACTCTCATTATATAAAAACCCGTGTATACTTATTTATCAGTCTGTTATTTTTAACAATCTTACATGTAGTGTGAAACTATCATGGCCACAGCTTGTGATAAGATGCTTCTTTACCGCGTTGTATCTTTCGTTATTCTTCTGTCGTGCTCCATTGTCTTCGTCCAGGCTGAAAAGCATTTGAATGCTAATGGACCATTTGGCAAACGTCATACGGCGCACAATGAACCAAGTCCATATGCCTGTGATCGAGGAGCAGGTGTTTCATCATCCGTTTTTCGTCAACGAATCAAACGAGTGCAAAATATACAAATTTCCAAGACACTATATATGAGCGCTGATATTATCCAAATAAAATGGACACCATTTACACCTTCATGCAAAGATGATTTTGTCGGCATTTATTACGCTGAAGTTCCTCTCACTTCAGGTAAATAAAACGCATTAAGAAACTTAACATATCTATGACAAAATGATTGATTCTAGCTTGTGACTACTTCGACTATGAATTTGTACAATACAAACAGAACAGTACGTTCTGGCATATGATACACCTTCGACGCCCATTACAGTTTCGTCTCTATTCGCGTGATCGCACATGTTCGGGCAATTACTCTCTTATTGCTATATCTCCTGTGGTTCAACCGTTGAATACTAATGAGCCAACCCAAGTTCACCTCGCCTATGGTGATCGAATCGATCAGATGTTTGTGTCCTATCTCACTAACTCTTCACAATTCGTGCCACAATGCCAGTATGGACTCTCACCTTCATCTCTTAACTTTCATCGCAATGGGACAACTACCACATACACTGCATCAGATATGTGCGAAGGCAAAGCAACCACATGGGGTCCACAAGCATTCATCGATCCAGGATACATGCACACGGTGCTACTCGAGGACCTTCGTCCATCGACAACATACTACTATCGAGTTGGATGCGATGAGCATGGATGGTCGTCGATATTCTCGTTTACAAATCGACCAGCGAGTGCAGACGAAGCGGTGAACATGATAGCATATGGTGATATGGGATTGTCGCCTGTTGAACCAGGTGCAAAATCAACTATTGACCGAGTAATAGCTCGAGTGAGATCAACGAACATGACGTGTTTACTACATATCGGCGATATCAGCTATGCTCGTGGCACCGGTGCACTGTGGGATTCGTTTATGACTCAGATACAACCGATTGCTGGCTACGTGCCGTACATGTCCGGAATTGGCAATCACGAATATGATCATGTACTTGGTGGTGAAAACGATCCTAGTGGTGCACCCGGCCCAGGAGGATTTCGACCTGAATGGTGAGTTACTTTTGTCAGTATCAATGAATCATGTGTTACTCCTTTTTTAGGGGTAACTACGGTCACGACTCCGGTGGTGAATGTGCTGTTCCAATGGTTCGTCGTTTCCATTCACCCTCGAATGGCAACGGTCTATTCTGGTACAGCTTCGATGTCGGTCCAGTTCACGTTGTATACTATTCTACAGAACATGATTTTCTTCATTCATCACCCCAATATAAATGGCTCGAAAAAGATCTTCGTTCAGTCGATCGCACACGTACACCATGGATCATTGTTGGTGCCCATCGACCAATGTATGCATCGGAAACCGATGAACCAGATGATTTCATCAAACTAATGTTACAATTTTACTTAGAACCTCTATTTTATCGCTTCCGCGTCGATCTCAATCTCTTTGCACATAAACATTCCTACGAACGAACATGTCCGATGTATCGAGAACGTTGTATCGACGATGGTATAACACACGTACTAATTGGCATGGCTGGTCAAGATATCGATGGTGGAGGTTACTCTGGTGCTGAATGGAGTATCTATCATGACCAAGAATATGGTTACAGCCAAATATGGGCGAATCGAACATATTTACATTTCACATATTATCACAACGATGATGATAAACTTGCCGACGAATTTGTACTTCGAAAATAAATTCTAATCATGTGAAAAATTTCTAATTCTATATTTTTTATTGAATAAAAATATCTTGATATTATTATGAACATGACTTTGTAAAAGATCCAGTCTTGGTAGCTTAAGAACTTTTTTTAATCAAATGTAATGTAGTGTTGTTCTTTTCTTCACGCTGTTTATATCCATTACTGCAGACCAGCATCTGAATGTCAATGCTGCTTTTGAAAAAAAAACATACGAGCAATAGTGATCGAAGTCCGTATGCACGCTCGTACCCATCGATGAAGCGGCTCGAAAACGATCTTCGCTGAGTCGATCTCAATCCTTTTGCATCTCGATATTCTTATGAAAGAGCCTGTGCTCTGTGCTAACAGAAATCCGTTAGTAATGGTATTGCAAATGTTCTAATTGGCATCGATGGGCAAAATCTTGATAAGGGTTCATATTCTCCGATGGAATGGAATAAATGTCATGATCAAAAGTTTGGATACACAACGATATTCGCCAATCGTACATATCTGCAATTTACATATTATCATAGTAGTGACGATCAAATCGCTGATCAATCACTGTAAAAAAAAGAGCGGCTGGTAATCTACCCTACGAAAGGATTTATTAATATCATGTACCCTTCATCAAGATTTCATAAAACCCTTTTGTAGTACATTCCACTTTTAGGTACTCTTTTAGAGTATATGACAGTTCCACAAACCCTTTGAAGGTTCACTTTTTCTTTTTCATCAATCCTTAAAGAGTTTATTACTTTTATAAGCGTGCAAGGGTTTATGAAAGTGCAACGTATAACAAACCCTCAAAGGGTTTGTGGAACTGTCATACACTCTAAAAGAGTACCTAAAAGTGGAATGTACTACAAAGGGTTTTATGAAATCTTGATGAAGGGTACATGATATTAATAAATCCTTTCGTAGGGTAGATTATCCGCCACTCTTTTTTTTACAGTGATTCAATCTTCAAAAAGTAATGTTCCAACAAAAAAAATTAGAAAGAACCGAGGAACAGTATTCCTTGAATGTTTATTGAATACAAAATAAATACTTCGTGTCAATCGGGGAAAACGTCACAGGTTCTATTTTAAACAAACAACGTTGACAACCGAAAAAGAACTGTTAATACTTATTTATTGTTTGATTTGGTTTTATACGAGCCAGAAGCACAGCTTCTGGATTGACAGCAGGATGCCGTTGCCAGAAGAAAATTATATTTTTACATTTCTTTCGTAATTTAGGTAATGATGTTAAAGATGCAAATGGAATTAGCATGAAAGCATAGAAACCAAAATATACACCGTCAGAAATATAATCAGCTCCGATAGTCCATGAGAGGCCAAATGAGTAAGCAGTATACAAAATAATTGGCGGAAATAGAAACAAAATAAAAACAGTAGCAATTAGTAATATCTGAATTGCCATTTTCTTATAATTTCTCCAATCAATTCTTTGTTGAACTCGATGTCTATGACATAATACTCGAATAAAAAGTGCAATATTTAGAGTAAAAACAATAGTAATAGGGATGAAATTATGAGCAAGTACATCGAATATTGCCAAGTTTTTATTCGAAGTGACACAATCATAGAAACCACATTGTGTTCGATGGTAATCGAGTTGTATAGTACACGGTTGAATGAAAAGCATGAAACTATAAATTATAATCGGATATATAAGACATATGAAAAGAGGAAAATAATGAAAAACAAATCGTTTTGATTTAGTTGCAAACCAGTGTGAATAAAAAATTAGAATATGACGTTCAATTGAAGCCCAAGCCATTAGATAGGTTATTATTACAGTTACAGTCGAATCAATAAATGTTTCAATCATACAAAAAGCAGGATTCGGTGCAAGGACGATTCCGGTACGATAGAAACGTATCGAACATACGACAGTAGTTGAATCAAAGATTAGAACGAAAAGAAGAACAAGAATAATGACGTGATTGTTTAAAGCTGCACGAAGTGTACGATCAAATAACAAATAATAAAGATTGATAAGGGTAGCGATAAGTGATGGAATTATAGTGATGAGATAGAGCGACGCTCGAGCAGAGTCAGAAACCGCCATTTGACTTGTCGGAGAAGATTTGAAGGAATATGTTATACTCAGACAATGCTGTTATTTTGACTTTATTTAATTAAATTGAATTCGTCTTTACTTTGTAAAAATAGAAGAGCTGCAAGATAAGTTAAATCGCATCAATGATAATCTTTTCCCCTCGAACGTCAGTGATTAGCAAAAAAAAGTGAATGCTATCCTATAGGTCAATGTTGAGAAACTACGTGATCATCTTATTTGCCTTTATACAGCTCAATCCGTAGTAGCTACAACATGTAGCCCGTACTAGTCCATGTGACTTTCATTGTCATTGTGCAGAAAATAAAAAGAAAAACGGTCTAGATGTTGTTCTCTCTTCTTTACCATAGCGATGACCGTTCTCTTCTTTTCTTCCTGTTCTGTCTACGTGATATTCAACGGGTCATACACGCGCATTGAATGAACAGAGAGGAGAGAAATTCTCTCGTTCTTGACCTCGATCAATTATTCGTTGTCCGACCGGACACACAGGAACGAGAGAAAAAAAGACCTCGAATACTTTCTTTGCGGCCATTTATTTAGTAGTAAAGACGAGTGAACGACAACATAGTGTTTCTTTTACACCCGAATAGACGATGACTCCAACACCACCGAAATTCGGCATACGATTTTTATCTCGGAAAGAACGCACCGTTCGGCGAGTGACAAAATGTGAAACACGGGAGATCAAAAAACGTTTGTTGATCCATCTGTGACCTTGACTTTGATTCTATTGCATTCGTCTTGATTTTAGGTTTAGAACCTCCTCCGCCTCCTATGGCATCTCCAGCTAAAACAGTCAAACCACGCGCTGCTCCTGTTCGTGTAAAACCCGCGACACTCGTCAAAGTTCGCCAACCGAAGAAGACCGCTAAACCACCGATAGAAACATCCAGTAATGACAAAGAACAAGTTCATCCATCATCTTCATCTTCTGCAACACCAGCAGCAACAGCAAATCCTCGTCCGTTACCCGCTAGTCGTACATTACAAACGAATGATCTACAGAAGCTGTCTCGCTTGACTTGTTCACGCGAATTCAGTTTCTTCCATAAAGAAATCAAATGCGAATTGAGCACACACGAACATCAATTGGCATTTTTTCAAACGAAACTATATCATTTGAAAAACGAATTTGTCAATCAGAACTCCGAACAACTGAATTTAGAACAAATACGTACCTACTTTAACGAAGCGCTGCAGAAAAATATCGATCGAAGAATCAAACCTGACGAATTTATTACTTTAGCTGATAAACTCAAACAGGACATAAAACAAGTAAGCCCGTTTTGTTTGTTTCGATCTGTACAGAAAGATAATTGACTGTTTCGTTAAGGCGATTGATAAATGGTTGAAAAAGAAAGAGTTCGGCAAACAAAATCGGGCGTTGAGTGATTATTCGCAAAAACGTCAGTCACGTATTCGAGAATTGATCAAAGAAACCATTGAAGAAGCGAAGAAACAACAACAGGATACTAATTCTCAAGCAATTCCAGTAGAGGAACCTCAAGTGACTACAATCGATGGTTCCGAAGATCAGTGTCAAGTAGTAGAATGTATTGATTAGTTTTCAGTCTTCTTTTCGTTTTGTAGTCATTTTCATTTTAAACTTGTATCATTTATTCCTTCTATTGTCTCTGTTTTGTAATATTTAAAGCGAAGAAAAAAAAAATTAAAGATTTTAAATAAAAAGATGGAACGGAACGTCATTTCTTATTTATTTTCATCTCGATTATGTGTCACCGAATGGATAATATGTTCGATCATTCGTTGTTTGCTGTTCCCATCGCCATTTTCATTTGGCTCGAAGACGTACGTAACATCAATCAGATGATTGTCATGCGTCGTTCTGATCAAAGCACGAATACGATCTTCATCACCGTTATCATAACTGTGCTCTAGAAGAATAGCACTGGCGTTTGAATTACAAAAGTCTTGTTCGTACGTGTGACGCATTGCTTCCGCGCCATCGAGAACTAAATGACCATTGAATACTACACGACATTTCGGATGAAGAAAATCGATTATTTTTGTGATGTCATGTGCATTGTAACTAGATAAATAATCTTGTAAAGCAGTAATTCTTGACATAGTTCGAAAGAGATAATAACATACTTGTGACCAACTTTATTGGTTCGAGAGATTCTTACAACGTAGAATAAAGTAAGATAAAGGTAAAGGTATAGAGGAGTGAAAAGTTTCTATCGCTAAAGATGTCGCTTTTTATTTTAAAGGTCATTCTTTCGAATAGAAGGAAAGGACGGATTTAGCAGTAAAAAGAAAAGGTAAAGCAAAGATAAACCAATAGTTCATGTATGACACGTCACTATCAGATATCTATTTAATGATGTCATACGAAAAAAAGTACTTTTTGTTACCTGATAAATATGAGTTCTGTATAGGAGGAACCTTTATTTGTATCAATGGAACCTACTAACGATGAATCTGGCAAACGAATTTTCATCCCAGCTATTGGGTCTTTAGGAGATGTCAAACCTTACTTGACTCTGGCGAAGGAATTGAAAAAACAAGGCTATGTTGTATGGCTTGGCGTTCACAAACGTTTCGAACAGCGAATCAAGGACAATGGTATGAACATTTTTATTTCTCTCAGAGACTACTACTAATCATGTATTCTAGGCATTGATACGGTAGAAATTGGTGGTGATATGGAAATTGCATTATCAACTACGCCGGAAGGAATCGAATTGCAACGAAATCCAAGTGTGTTTAAAATAGGTTTGGTGAAACGCGTATTTTTACCATTACTGGAAGAATGGTTCACAGGAATTCTCTCTGGTTTGAAGAATGCTGATTTGATTGTTTTGTCAATCACGTCAATCATCGCCGGGTTAGCTTGTGTTGAAAAATATCCCAATGTGAAAGCAGTTGGAATCTACACGTATCCGTGTCGACCTTCAGTTGAATTTGCTCCACCTGCTCTGAGTGGTAAAAGTGAAAGTTTATTCGGCTGGATTAATTCACTAAAATGGAAACTTTTTGAATACGGTGCATCGAGCATGTATACTGAAAGAATTAACCAACTTCGTGCAAACATCGATCTGCCACCGATCAAGTTATACTACGATGAAATGGTTCGATCAATTTTTAAAAGACCACTGCCAACAGTGACGATTTATTCCAAAGGTTTGCTCCGACAACCTAGTGATTGGCCAGGGAATGAATTGATGGTTGGTCCAGTTCTTTCCGAAGACGAGAATACAGATTACCAACCATCAGAAGAGCTTCGAGATTTCCTTAATAAATGGCAGAATGAAAAGATTATCTATATTGGAATCGGATCAATGATGGGTATTATGTTTAACAACGACGAACAGCTGCAATTTTTACTCCACATAGAAAATGTTATTCAAGCAATAAAATGTAAAGCGATTATTTCATTAGCTGGATTTCGGATCAGTAACAACGATAAGCTATCGGATCACAATGAAAATCTCTTCTACCTAAAAGAGATGATACCTCATACGTGGCTATTTCCTAAAATATCAGCAGTCGTTCATCATGGTGGTGCCGGTACTACACATACAGGTTTACGGTATGCATTACCAACATTGGTATTACCCTTTGGTGCTGATCAACCTTTCAATGGTGATCGAATCTTTATCAACAAGCTCGGACCAAGACCTATTCCTATACGGGAGATGAATGCGAGAAGTTTAAAGAACGGAATCGAATGTTTATTGAATAACTACGCGGAATATCGAGCGAATGCAGAAAAAGTGGGCCAAATCATTCAAGACGAAAATGGACTAGGCTGTTGTATAGAGTTGATTAAAAAAGAGCTGAACTCATAATGTTTTCCATGACAACTATTTTGTATTCCAAAAGTCTGGATCGTCTTTTGTCACTTGAATAGAATCATTGACACGAATTGTGCCACAGACACGACTACGTTCATCAGTTGGTGCCAAATAGATACCAAACAGAGCACTAACACCGTACGGTTCAGGTTTACGACGGTAACTAAATCAAAGTATTTTCAATGGATAAAGAACGAGTTCTTCAATAAAATATTCTAATTACCTTCGTAGTACTTTCCATGATTCTAACGTAGCATCTTTGATACCCGTTTTCTGATCGACTGTTGGCAATAAGCATCTTAACAAATAGAAAAGAGAAATTAGCACGAGTAAGTTATAAATGAATAAACCTAGTACACGGAGCAAGCCAAGTTAGTTTGACACCATTGATTTCAATTTCTCGCCAAAGATCCTAGATGAAATATAACCTTGTCCATTGTATTTTAAGCGCATCAGAAGTGTCAAGCTTACTTCTTCGAATGGCTTTGATACATCGGTGACGATGATGTTTGGTCGGAAATTATATACTTCAATCTTCTTTTCCAATCGTGTATTTAAATCTGCAGCAGACTCCAATGAACACAAATGTAATGCACTCATATCGTGATAAACAGCCATATCTCCATCTCGTGCAACATTGGGTACATCACCGTTTTTCGTTTGACGACCCTGGAACTTTTCGTCGTCGAATGCAACCAAATCGAATTCATCGTCAGTTCCAAAGTAAGTTCGAAGCCATTGGGAAACGCTATCATCGTAACGTAAACCAAGAATTTTATCGTTCCAACATCTGATCAAGCCCATATACGCATATTCACTAGTTCTTTAAAACTTTCACTTACTGGCACTCCATTACTTCTTTCGGAAATGCATTTGTTGAAATAAATAAATCGGGCATATTTGGAGCTCGAAGTGTAAGACCATCTTTAGCAAGCACGGGTTGTATCAGTGCCATGCTTGGCAAAACACGTTGGGTTTGATGTCTGCCCTCTTTGACAATCATCCATCGCCTAACAAAACGATTTCAAATGGATTAATTCTGACAGTAAACTACCTATCATATATTTGCGGATTTGATGGTAAGGCTAGACCATATTTTGTAACGAGTGCTTCTTGTACTTTAATACCAGCACACGATTTTATCGGAAAAATGAACAGTTCATGCACATGCATCCTTTTATTTAATACTAAATAAAAATAAGGATATAGAATATTTTTGGTAATACGAGTCGAATAAAAGTGATGAAAGAAAAGAAGAATCGATATAAATAAAGCAGATGCACGCACGATGCTCGTCACATGGTTTCTAATCTCGAGTATAAGAAATACAAAAACAAAGATTAGTCACTATTTAAATTCATATACTATGACCACATAACCTCTTCTTTTCTTTTCTTTATTTCGTTCCCCTTGCCAATTATGAGAACACTTTGGAACGCGAATGATTACTATTTTATGAATCGTTAAACTCGATAAATGAAGTGACAAGGCGTTGTCTATACCTGCAGACATACTATGCATATGTTGATATATGAAATACATATACATGGATATCCTGTCACCTAGCTCCCAGGCAAAGAAAAACAGTTTATGTTTCATAAGTGTGCGATATTTTCATAATATTATTGAGTTTATTTTACACGATATGTACAGCTCACATTTTTGAAAGGAGAAGTAGTACACGGATCGTGAAGGTGTACTTCAAGCTTGGAATGAGACCTGGACAATATTCAACGACAGTAATGTAACATTGACGCCGTATCAACTAGCTTATTTGAATACAGTTTATCAATGGTTTGTATATGAAAACATCAGCGATGGCGAAGATGCCTTTCTTCAGTCAATACTGAATCTCACGCAGACATTTCAAACAGATACGGATGCTCAAACTCAACTTGGTCTCGCCTAACTCAATGTTGTCATCCTGGAATCTTTTGAATTGTAAATGTTAGAACCACCTGCTATGCTGGAAGCAAGAAAAGTGTTGCTAAAGGCTCTCGCACAAGAATGACTCATTTATTCGTATCTACAAACAGGTCGATATAATTAAGATGAGTATGAATGTACTCAACGATCTGATACAAGCACATACAATGTTACCATCAAAAGTCGAACATGTTGGGCATTTGTATAGTGTGCAAAGCCATATGGTTATCGAAGGGTTCCTTTGGCTTATGTATAATGCAAAAAGAAATCAAGAACGATATGTTCAAGCAATGAATGAAATATTAGGTGATACCAACATCAACCCAATTAAGTTTCTCGTGAATAATATGAGCACTCCTTCGTATTTGGCACAAGGTGAAACTGTATTTCGATTAGGTGAGCTGTTCGAATTGATTATCTGTAAATTCTTTCGTGCCATATCAATTGCAGCGGAATGCATTCGTTTATTGCTGATTGACAGTAGTAACATGAAGGATACAAGGGCAGTCGAAAATCATCTCGCACGAATGATTGAAATAGCAACGATCATGACACCGACGTCGAATTCTACTGCAGTCGAAGCTCTAAGTTTGCGTTTTAAAGAACCGTTTTAGCGTTGTATCACAGACCTTGAAGAAACAATTCATACAGCTACGCATGCGTTCCCAATCACACTGATTGACGTTCTTGTTTAAAACTTTATTTATTACCCGGTACATGAAGTGTTAGAGACACTGTTGACGCTGTCGACGATGATTGCATAAGAAAAATCCACATTGCACTGTTTTTTTACTCTGTCAACTTTTGTCGGTACTTCCACTTTTCTTTTCGTTCTTCATCTACAACATGTTTTTTTCTTATCTTGTTACATAACCGTATATTAAAATAGGTACGTAAAAGAAATATTCCGTACTAATTCAGGATGCTCATCGGCAAAGAAATAGTAGGTTCCGAAAAGTCACGACGATACTTCTTGTTACTTATCTCACCTATAACATGGTTTCGATGTTTTTCACTAATCTTCGGTCGTACACGTGCACGAACACCCAGAATTGCATTTGCGCAATACTTTATTCTATCATGTGTTATTATTCTTATGGTTGGCTCGTGCTATCTCTTCTATGCTGTGACAAGTGATTCTGGTCAATACAGTCTCTATCTGTCGGATGTCGCCGCAAATAAAACCTCAATGTACGAAGGAAGAAAACGCTTCGATAATCTTATCTGGCGAAGTGTGTTGAAAACGTTTTTCCTGGGTACTATATTCGGATTGATTCAGGCATGCAATTTCTACTTGGCAGCTCAATGGCGTCAGCGGCTATGTGATCGATTCCATGAATTACTATTCGAATCATCGAATGGATGTGTTCTGTATGAAACATCACAAAAGAATGAGGACATGCCGAGAATTCTTACCAGTGACATTAAACAATTTACCACTAATTTCTGTACAGTTCTCTTCGGATCGATATTTTTTGCTGGTCTCATTTCGGTGTTAATTGCTATCACTCTGGCTTCCGTGTTTTTGGTTCTTGCTGCAAATGGAGATGCCACCGGTATTCTTATTTGTTACAGCGCGTTTGTCATCTGCCTTTTATTGATCTTGCCCAGCACACAACTGTACAATTGGAATTTATTAGAACAAGTTTGCCTTTTTGCTGTTTAGCTTTCACAATAGTCTTCATTTTTAGTCGAAACTAAAAGGTATCTTACGCGGATATGTGCAACGCATTAAAACAAATGCTGAATGTATTGTACTCTATGGCAGCCAGCGAGTGGAATTACAATATATCAAGCGATTAATAGCAAAAATTTTCAGTTCGATGTTGATCAGTTCGATCAGTTTTGCATTAGTAAATTTTCCCATTCAATTACTCAGTAAATCAGAAAATCTCTTTTCTTCCACCTTCTAAGACGGTGTTCGTATTTAGCCGCCTTGAATGGAATGTGTACGTACGTTATGCCAGCTATTGTATTCTTCTTCGTTCGAAAAACCCAGACTACGGAGCTGGCACAAGCGTACTTAAGTAAGCAAAGAATTGTCATGAACAATGATCATCGTAAATATGATGTTGTTTGATTTTATCCAATAGCTGCCATTCCACTGTATTCGTTCTTGATCACTGTACTTGGCCAGTTGTTGTTAATTATAGAGCCTGCTCTAATAACAGTCACGATGGGTGATCATCTTTGGACAGTATTGAATCGATTGGAAAATATAGAAAAAGAATACAAGAAACGTATGGAATATGAGCGAAATTATGCTATTAGACACGACGATACAAATAGATTCACCTTAGAACATTTTAATATCTCGATACCAGGTAACATTACTCGGATTCGTAATCAGCTAAACATCCGTCCTCTTTAGATGCAATTGATGGGTCTTTATTGCAAAGTGATATAAATTTAGACGCAATTCGCCGTCAATGCGTGCTTATTTCCGGACCGAGTGGATGCGGAAAGACGTCATTATTTCGCATCTGTGCTGGACTTCGACCTATTGATGCTAAACAAATTATATTACCTGAACGCCGTCATCTTCTCTTCGTTCCTCAAAAACCCTATTTACCTCTTGGTGACCTACGCTTTCAAGCACTGTTCCTTCTAGAACATCGATACAACGTCAAAGACGCTGATATCTATCAATTATTTAAGGCAGTAAATCTCCAGTACTTATGTGAAAGATATACATTCGACACAGTGAGTTTTTCTACAAATTCTTTTGAGAATGCCGAATTTCCTTCGTCAAAGGTCGTTGATTGGTCGACAGTACTGTCCGTAGGTGAACAGCAACGTTTGGCATTTCTTCGTTTATTTGCATATTTCACCTTGTCATCGAATTATAATCAATTGATTCATGAAACACTCGTTCTTTTTGATGAATCAACTAGCGCTGTTGATGCCAAAACAGAACACGAAATCTATGCAAATCTAATTCGATTACAAGTGTGGTTCGTCACCATATCTCATCGTACATCGCTTATTGATCTACATACAAAAACGTTGCATTTATATTTGAACAAAACTTCCGAGCAACAAGAACAGATCCCAAATATACAGTTACCAGAGATCACCGATGATTTCAACGCAAACGAATTGTATGAAGCGAAACAAAGTCAGGTAAGTCGACTCTCGTATCAATATTAATACAAATGTTTAATGTGTAGGCTGCCAGTAAATCAAATACAAATACAACAGAAAGCTTGAACTGGCGATATGTAATGAAGATCTTCCAATTCATTCATTTACCGTTTCCTAAAGATGATCAATACTTAAAATTACAAGTAAATTATCCAACAAGTCGATATACACCTGCTTTTATTTCTTTTCATAGACAATCATTGCTTGGATTGTTACGCTTCTGCTTCTTGGCATTAGTACATGGTGCACATATCGGTTCACCAAGCAAACAGCATCGTTATACAATGTGCTATCTGATTATAGTAGCAGTTTAATTTCATTGGATTCTGCCAAGCAAAGGATAACATCAGACATTGTTGGTTATGCTATCCTGACGATCGCTACACCGACTTTGTTTTCTTTAACTGTGGGCGGCGGTCAAACAATCGCAAGTCTATACAGTCGAAGGCAGATGATTTATCTCGTTGATTTTTTGTTGGATGGAAATGATAATAATCTTTTGTATCATAGTCGACATTTGACACAAATACCCAGTTTTATTTCACATGATATTTCGGAATTGAACAGTCAACTTTTCTACTTTATCTTCGGTCATATTTATTATACGGGAGTTATCGGCCAGATCATTCTAGCTATTATCTTATCGATCCTACTCGGTGAACAAGATGGTGGACCTCTCGGTGTACTCGTTGTTTTCTTATTCGTGATTGGCTTTTTCATATTCACAAATATCCTCTCAATAGTTTTCAATAAATGGGTTCGCTTAGACGAAATGAAATTCTCGGAATTCGTCACTGGCCATAAGCGTACTGATCTACAAGCGGAACAAATTGCTCTGTCAGGTAAAAGTGCGTGTCGCATCGAACACGAAGAGTTACATGAAAGACTAAACTCATCCATTCGTTATCAAATGCATTCCGGTTTTCTCTACTCGATCATCGTTGGCATAGTTAGATTGTCTGTGGTCAATACTTACTTGATCAATTATGGTATACCAGCAGCTATTTTCTTCTATTCTTGGTACAAGGAAGGTCTAGCAGATCCGACGAAAGCAAGTCGATTTGTAACGTTGAGCGTTTATATGTATCAATTGTATTCGTCTTGGAATTATATCAACTATTTTGCTGATCCTCTGATACGCATACAATCAATCGGAATTCGTATTGTTAATTATTTAGGTAGGAGTGATATTTCACGATGAAAGAAGTGAGTTATATTGTTTTTTAATTTGTGAAAAATTCTTCAGAGCATCTTCGAAAAACGAAAGAGCATCAGTATCATCTTGCCATCAACGAACAGAAACGTGAATATAAGAGACGAAAATCCGATGAAGCCTCTATCACTCTGAATCATGTCAATGTTTATGTTCCTGAATCTTCTCAACTTCTCATATCCGATATCAATCTGACATTGTCACCTACAGATAGTCTCATCATTACCGGCCCATCAGGCTGTGGTAAATCGACTTTATTACGTCTTTTAGCGGGCCTTATTCGTCCGAATGAAAATCAGGCAACTAATTTCAATGTCCGTATCTGCCCGCGACAGAATACAATCTTCCTCTGTCAGCAATTGCATTTAATCCAGGGTACTCTTAGAGAACAACTCTCCTATCTGCGACAAGTATGCTTAAATTCCATTGAAAAGACGCGTCATATTATATTCTCTTAGGCACATGGTTTAGGATCCATCACAGATGATCTTCGTGTTCGTCAATTACTCAATGAATTCCGTCTAGGCCATCTAATCGAACAATATTCTATGGATGGGCAACCGCAAAGTTGGTTCCGACTGCTTTCAATAGGAGAACAGCAACGCTTGATGATGGTAACTGCATTAGTTGTTGGAACAGATGTGATTGATCTACTGATCTTGGATGAAATAACTTCCGGATGTGATGAACACACAGAACGAATCATCTATGAATATCTTCAACGATCTAACATACAATTCCTATCTGTGTCACACCGGAAAGAGATTGAAGAATATCACACGTGTAAAATGACAATCGATGCAAATCGACATTCCTATGTGATTTCACGACATAAATAAAACACTCTATTTGTTGGCTTTCTCACAAATGTACATAAATCATCTCTAAATATAGCAATGCACTCATCATACATACAAATCCTTATCGTTTGAATGTCAATATAAGATAAACGGGCTACACTCGTATCGTCTTTCTCAAGTTAGAAAAAGAACACATCCCAACATACACAGCAAATAAAACAAAGATGAATGTTGATCGGCGTGGATATCACGGAGTGGTGCATTCTCTGATTCCAAGACGTATCGAACATGTAACTAGTGAATTAAACTTAAATTCGAGTCTTCCTGAGAAGAATTTATTTAAAATAGATAGAGAAATATATAGTTTTACAAAAAGAAAACAACAACACACTAATCCCTTCTTCAGAAAACAAATAAATTAGTTTGCATAAAATATACGCGGAATTCCTAGGAAGAAGAAGGACATATATACAGTCGTTTTTCTCTTTCTTCTTTTGTTTCTTTCACTATGAACAAGAAGAATTTCTATTCAAAAGTACTCATCTCCTCATCCAACTGTTCATGAAGTTCTCGATGTGCAACAAAGCGATTCCATAGAATGTTAATTTCGTTAAAATAGTAAACAGCAAGTAGATTGAAAACCACGAGAATAATGAGACACACCTGAAAAATCATCGGTGAAATCAAGTCCTTATTATTCGTGGATTTCGTTGCTGTTAAATTCGATCGATTCTAAAGTAAAATTCATACGCATTGTTCTTCAATGGATTTTAAATAAATAGTCTGTACTAACAGGTACTTTAAGTGGTGTATGAGTCGCCCACGATCGTGATAAACGTTTTAGTTGTTCATCGGTTGCGCGCATCTTTTCTAGTAGTCGGTCATAGCGTTGTATCGTATCGATATGATCGGACGAACTCGATGAAAATCGAACTTCTTGTTTCTCTTCGTACTGAGAAGTCGGTGTGAGAGAATAATTGGTCATGGAAGATGTTTCGTACGAGTCTACTGACGGCGGGCAAAGTATCTGTGGCGATCGATAACGAATAGAGATGGGTATCATAGAAGATGAAGAACTCCGTAGGCACGGGTTGCTTGAAGAACGATTTGATAAAGGAGATAGAAATACCTCTTTCCTACAGAAGAGAAAATGACCACAAAAATAGAATTTTTCAAAGAAGATTTACTTTTTCGTTAGAGTTTTCCCAAGTTTGTCTCTTCCCTGATGAATGTATTCCCGAACCGGTGACCATGAAACATGTTGTCTACGATTCAGCGGTCGGCTGTATTGATTTGCAAAGGTATACCAAACAGTAGGTTCAGGGTAATGAGAGAATCGTTGCTCCGATAATGATCGAGATTGTGGCTTGGTTATATTCGGATGAATATAAGTATCTCCTCGATATGGTTTGATATAATAGCGAAGTCGAGACGGACGACGAGTAGTGTCGTCACATGAATCGAATATATTGATTGTTGGTTCGAATAATGACCGGCTAGATGGAGGAGACTGGCAAGATGATTGTTTAGCTGTAACACTAGCAAGATGTTGAACTTGATTAGATTGAGACGGTGTTGAGAATTTTAATGTCTTCTTCAGAGAAGAAGACGACGAAGTAGGTGAGGGTGAACGAGATCGAGAAGAGACATTCGAGTCAGGAACCGACAATTGATCTTTTAGTGAAGACTTCTTAAGAATAGATTTTGCCGGTGAAGAAGTATTTCGATCAGTAACTTGAAGAGTTGGCTCCTAAGAGAAACAACTCATGTCACAAGTTAAAATAGAGAAATTACTCACTTCAAACGACATTAGACACTCATCATCGAGACTGTCGGGTTCACTTGGTGTTTTTGATTGAGTCGCCTTTTCATTTATTTTCAGTTGATATTCATTCGCGTAGAAATGTTTGGTGACTTGATCTTCGCATGAATGCACTTGAAAACATGGTTCTGTTCTAATAACTGTCGTCTGCGGAGACGGATGATACAGATCGTTCTCATCAAATTTAACCCGAATGCCATGTCGACTCGAAACGAGCTCTTTTTCCAGCTCTTCAAATTGACGAATTTCTTCTTGAACCCGCCGTTTCTCATCGAAATGATCAGTAACAAGACTAGACATGCTCGTCGGAGTTGTAATCATCTGAATAAAAAAACACAATATTCAATTACAGGCATGTATGTGTTTGACGGCGATGACCACCTCATCATCTTGTTGTTCAACAATCGGCTCGAGTCTTGTTGAGTCTCCATAACGTCGATGTTCGTCGTCGGCATACATTTTCGTTCCACCGCAAATAACTGATGAGGGAAAAAACTCGAAAGAATGCCTAGACAGCTGTTACATTGTCCTCTCTTTTATAATCATTGGTAGACATTTATGAATAGGGTCTTTCATTCTCGTGAGATCTGTTGTTTATAGGCCTTCGTATATCACATCTGCTGTCTCTGATTTTCATATATTAGTATAAAGTTTGAGAAATATCATTATTATTCGAAAGTGTTTTTGTGGATTCGCTTCGATTATTTTCAAAGAGGAAAAAACGAGTCGTTTGCAAAAATATCCTGTATATAACAAAAAAGTTAAGTAGGAATAAGTGTATGCATAACTGAGCCCTGGAAGTATTGTTTTCTACCAACAGTTGGCCATAAAGGAAAAAACTGTCAAATGCTTGCTATGGATATGATCAGCTAAAGCTTCACGTGCTTTTTTCTCCAACGGCTATCGCTATTTATAGTTTGAAAGTATTCGATGATGCCCTGTTTATAATCTTGCCAAGTTTTGATACCAGTAACACCGTTCTGCGCATAGTTAAGTTCTTTAGCCATTGTTAATAATTGAAAGGCGCCGTGGACGCAAAGTGCAGCTGTTGTTTTTTTCGAGATGCTTTTCAGATGGTTTGTATACATTCGGATAACTTCTACGCAAAACGTTTGCTATTTCTTCACTATGAACAATTTTGTTCAGAGTTTGTAAGCCTGCAGACTGTACCATAGGCAAGTGGACAAAACAAAATTCATATGACCACCGTATATGACTTTCGTTTTCGTTTGGACCCTTTAAATGAGCCGTTATTTCGCCGCTTGCAGAATCTATATTTTGTTTTCTTATCATCAGAAAAAATTGCACTATCGATAAGCTATTGCATGAGACACTAGGAAGTACGACGGCTGATCTTGGTGTAGTTGCGCAATCAAAATGTCGTGCTCTTCTCATCCAGAGTGTACAGCGTCAATTGAAACAGGTTCTTCCGGCTTCATCGACCTTATACTTACACGTTAGCGAAACGATTGTTCAAAAATCTTTGGAAACATTATCAATTATGAGTATTATTCCAAAAGGCGAACATTGTTCAATGATTGGTAACGACAAAATTGTTGTCTGGTCGTGTGCATATGATTTGCGTCTGATGGGGCTGCCTACTGTTGATGCATCATCTAGATATTGTCCTTGTGTTTCTCCTGCACCAACGTCAGAAGAATATCAAATCGAGGGTACATTCAACGTTGCGACATTCTCTCGTCAGCATGAAATTATTAGAAGACTTCAAAAACGAGCAGAAAATAGTTAAGAAAAAGCTAAACAAGACATTGTGGAGGCATGTCCTCCTACATCAATGTCATTTTCATCTGCATCTTCATCAGTACCGATGCCATCTGTCCAAAATCAGAATTATACTAATGGCGCCGGTGAACAAATAGAAGCAGTGACTTTACAACGATGCATAGATAACATATCGAATATTGTTACGAGCATACGTACATTCAGTTCATCAAGACATTTGAAACCTTTGACAACTGGTGTAGTAAAGAATTTGAAAATGCATATCAAAGCACAACTTCCCATGTTACAAGAAACATTTCTTATTCAAAATCGTCTGAGCGTTTTGTAGTCATTAAGAAATGCGCATCCAGTAATGGGAGTGTTACTTGATATTCAATCTAAATATCCAACCGGTCAAATCGAAATGAAATAAATTACCAAGATGTAACTACATTGATTTGATTGTATCCTTCTAAATTAGAATGATAAATGAATTTTACAAAATCGAATACTAGTAGTAGATGTCACAACATTCTGAAAGCGAACAAAGTATTTCATTCGATAAAATCTACAAATATATCCATTTAATTCTTTTCTCATTCTGTACTGTACGGAAAGTATATATATAGAATAGAGAAAGGCAAAACAACTAACTGTTCATTATCTTTCTTTTAGTCTTACGAATCATATTGTCTCGTGTAGAAGAATGATAAGTCCGGTGGCTAATGTACCTTCATCTACCTCATTTTTTCCAAACGTACCCTCGTCAATAATGCCAAATGAATCCCCATCAACACCAACCAGTTATGTTAGTCTTTTAGACACATCTCAATCACCTGGTAAAGAAACGTTCTTTCCCAAAATTTACTTATTATTCATATATCCACAAACTAGATGCACCAGTTCTTTCTGTTCCACAACGAACTACACTTAATTGGACACGTACAATCGATACGCTATGCCAATGGGGTACTCGTACGTTTAAATTTACTCGACAAGTATTGCACGAGCGAATGGGACAAGGTACTCGAACGCAAGACGTCGAACTTGAGCAAAAGATCGAAGTTTGTTTTCTTTCTTCGTTTTTCATATCGAATAAACTGGAAATGCCGTAGGTTTTTCGAGAGACAAAACGTCAATATGAATATTTATTGAAAGAAGCTCGTCAAATGTCCATACATTTCGCTGGTCTTCTTCAGACTCAACGTTCTCTCAGTAGGCAATTGACGAAAGTCGCTTTTAAAATTTCACTAAAATATCCAACAACATCGTTTAGGTCAATCATTCATTGAATTACAACGAATGTCATCAGCCACATTTGATCTTTGCGAACAGTTCGCTCGAAACGGACATTGTCAGCGTGTTCTCGCCCATAACGGTGATACTCTTCTAAGTAAAATGAAACCTTTTCGTGACAAAACAAAGAACACGACCAAAACGAATTAATTTAGACTCAATGAACTCATTCGTTGGAGCTTTACAAACTCTAGTAAGCAAGACAATGGAAGATACCTCAATGACTTTGAAAGCATACGAAAAATCTCGGTAATAGACAAGTTTTCGAGGAACAATCTCTCTCTTCGGAAATTTTTTCTAGAATCGAATATGATGCATACCGATCTGATTACGAAACTGTCTTAACTCAAAATCCCAGCGGAGGTGTGACGTTGTCGAATTCCGAGGAGAACATCGAACGACAGTATCATCACTATAAAGAACGCCATGAAAAATTGAAAACAAATCTCACGGTTAAATTACGTTTACTCGATGACAATCGCGTAAGTTCGCTGTCGCACTGAAGTCATACGATTAATTACAAAGAATCCGTTTTTCTTTTTCAGATCAGAGTTATGCAACAACAGTTGGTCTCATTTCATAAGGCGATTGGAAGTTATTATTTAATGATAGGACAACAGCTGAATTGCCAAACTAAAGAACAGAACAGTCAATAGAGTCATTTCCCTTTTATATCCGTTTGTATTATAGTTTGCATTGTAGATGGTTCGAATCTTTTATTACAAAATAAAGTTTCTTTCACAGTTTTTATATGACAAATAACATAGGTAAGACTTTTTCATTTGCTAATGGATTACGGTTAGCGTTTAGAGATAGCGATAATCTAATTATTATCCAAGTATTGATAAGCCTATTGAGGAAATATGTACACTGCGCATCGTCAATCAATGCTGTGTTTATATCATCACCATCGTAGTCAAATCCAACTCGTACGTGTGAAGTTTATGCGCAAAAAGATTGTGGTGAATTGAATTCATATTAGTTACTGTTCAGCCCTGAAAGAAAAATAGAATATAGTTCTTGTCAGCAATTAATCTGCTTATCCCTTGACTAAATTTGTGTATAATCATACTCTTAATGGACTTACTTATGGTTTTTTTATTGCTGCTAATGTATGTAAACAAAATCCTAATAGAATGAATGAAAGAAATCCAAAAAACCTAATGATTTGGATCTGATCAAAAGCGAAATAGTATTGACATTTGTTTGATGACGACGATGATGGTGATGATCTAGACACATACACACCCGTCGACACTTGCCAACAATATATGCCATCTTTTTTTTGTCTTTCTATTTTTTTTTCTCGACTAGAAGAAAGATCATCATCTTCATCAGTATCGCACATCTGGGTGCTTGTTGCTTCTGAAGTATAGACTCAGACATATACATACATCCGTATACATATATAAATATACTAAATCAAAACCAACAGAGATCTAGTAGATATTATGGACGATCAACTCATCGCGTCAGACAATACCGATGATGATCAAGCCCAAGGTGATGGATCATCTTCTCCAAGTAGTTCGGACGACGAAAATATTCATCCTTTAACACGTTCATTAACATCGTTCTTATCAACGGAAGATATTGATAAATGTCTCTATGTGACAAATATTAATTGGCGACGACGATTTTCGGTAAGTAGCGAGCTTGTAGTGAATTGATAATTAATCCTGCGACATGATAGATACAAACGAGAAAATACTTTTCAGTACTCGTTAATCATCATCTTTCTTTGGTATGTATCTATTTATCGTTTGACTCATTTCCACTCAAGGGCTAAATATATGCGTCAATTGACAGACAAATAGAAGAGCCAAAACAACTTTGCCTATCAGTCTTTTCCTGTTCTTTCCGATGAGGAAAATATTCGCTAGTTATCCAGAACTTGATAAAATTTTTTCGAGTAGAAAAACCTGTTCTATATCTTCTTGCTAATATATCCGAAGATATGCCGGCAATGAATGTGATTGATCTCGTGTTTTTACTCGAGGGATAAATTTCGTCTATAGAAGATATGCCAGTGTAGTTTGGACTTTTCAGAGGAATTTTTCTTTCTCAATAACAATAATCAGTGACGATGACGACGCCCCTGACGAAGAGAACAAAACAAAAGAGCACACCGCTACTATCGTCGATTGTATGCTTCTTCGCTTAGCTCATCAGTCTATAGACATACATAAGATGACGAACAGATATTGGAACAAGAGGGAAGAACGAAGGGGAGGAGGAGGAAAAAAGAAGTGTTTCTTACTAAATGGCAGCGACAGAGTGATGTTAGACCCTTTTCTCCCCCTCCCCCTCTACTCAATCGGTCGTTTTTGACAATGCTCTTGGCTAAGCTATCAGAACGAACAGCTCGGCATATGTATCGACATTTGGTAATCTTTGATGATACAGAACGGACGACAAGAAAACTCTTTCTTCTTTTTTCCTTCTTGTTGATCACATACTGCTTGTACCGATGAGATTTCTTCTTTGTACATGTATGTGTTGATGTAACAACAGGCACCGTAATTATTTCTGTTCTCTCCTTTCTTGCGCGCTCTCTCTCTCTCTCTCTAGCTCGATTTGCTTTTCACTTACCAACATTGATCATAAACAAAATTGTTCTGGATTAATCTGAACAAGTATTTTGTTATTTGGAAATAACAACTAATGTGTGTGCTGCTTTTCTTTCTCATTGTTGACATTTCTTTTACAGATTCGTCTATCAAATGGTCAATTAAATGATTTATCGTACGAACGTCGCGAACGTGTCTATTCCGCAAGTTCAACTGATCAGATCAATCTAAATCGAGCCAATCCGTTGTACCTATCACGTTACCGGAATTCTTGTTGGTTCCGTTGTCGAACAGCATCATCTTCATCATCATCGTTTGATGAATATAATTCATCAGATTTGAACGAAAAGTTCGCTTCATTCAATTCCACACAAACAGCATATGCCCGTTTGAAACGCTTTACTGAACGATTACTTGAATTGGAGCGGAAAGCACACGAAAGCGTTTTTACTAACAAATACAATCATAAGACTTCATCGAAAACAGACTCGTCTGTAGATACTAAAGCCCAACAAGAGACGAATCGATCATTTCAATCAGCGAAAACAAAGTTAGTCAGTTGAGTAACCATCGTTTATTGGCAAGTATTCTTTCTAGTTCTAAACTCAAACTTCGTCGCGTTCAAAGTCATCCACAAGTAGTCAAAATCAAGCCTCTCCATGCTGAATCAATACGGCAAGTGAAAACTATGTCTACGATCAATGTCCTACCCATGGAATCGTCATCAACACGCCGCTCTTCATGTGTAACATATCCGGTAAACAATGAAACAATTCCTCAAGAAAAAGCAGCTCCAGTCGCCAAGGACAAGAACATTTCCTTTCAAGTTAGCTCGACGAAAATCAATCGGAAAGTTGAAGTTAAAACTAAACAAGAAGATAAAATCTGTACAAAAAATAATCAAACTTCATCGCCAACGATAGTCACTCGAATCATCAAAACACAACCAGCGACGTCACCACATCATGTTAGTGTTCAACAGCAGCCAAGATCGTCAGGTAAAAGCTTGGCACGGCAGGAAATGTCTACTTTCGATATTTGCTTTCTTTCAGTGACAGACAGTTCGATACACCGTGTTCGAGTTAGTGTCAGTTCATCTCCTCAAGGAAATGAATTGACGAGAAGTTCTTCAAGTCAATTTGTTTTTCCAGAACCTTCCAAACCAACTTCAAATCACGAATCGTCAACAAGCAACGATGATTCCTATTCCAAAATGATCTCAAATTTTGTTTCAGAAAATCTTGCCGAATCATCGAAATTGGACGTCGAAGAAACGTTCGATCGTCGACCTTTGCTTGATCTAATCAGTGAATTAAATCGTCGACATACATTAAATCAAGCTCCAGTAATTCCTCCACTTGATAGAGCACAATCAATCGAAAGACGAGCAGATACACCATCGCCAACCGATATTCTTCCGCCGAAACCTCTCAGTCCTTTTCGGCCGGTGATTGTTCATAAGAAATATCAAGTAAATAGAAACAAAATCTTCCTGGGAAAGTATTCTTCGGCTTTTTTTTTTCAAGGAACCTATTGGGCGATTTGAATTCGTGGATGGTAGTGGTGATTCAACACCAACGCTGAGTCGACAGAATAGTCGGGCTTCAGTGACACGCAGTCATACATTCAACACCTCAACGAACAACACTTCAAATTTGAAGAAGATACCTTTGAATGAAATGAAACCAACAGATGATTCGACGTGTCAATCAACGCCTGAATTGAGTTGTTCGAACGAAAGAGAACGCGAAAGAACTGAGCCGACAATTCAGATTGAAGAAACTTGTGGATTATCAACGAGTGGTACTATTCTAAGTAGTACATCACTCACAGCACTGACTCCTACGTCGAGTGGAACGATTGACGACAAGAACGAGGTATGCACATGTTCTTTTCTTTTTCTTCCCATATTGCTTTATCATCACATACTCGGTAAAGAGGAAAATTATCAGATAGATGAAAGAAATACTTCTACCGCCTGCGCCTTTTTTTTCTCTCCCTTCTTCCCTTCTTCTATCTTTCATCCATCGTTTCTGACTCTATCTAACGACAACATAACAAACACATCATATTAATATATGGAATGTCAAATGTGATCTCCATCATGTCGGATCAAAAGACATCACATTCACCGCCGTTAATTCGAGCAACCACGCCTGCTCCTAATGATCGATCAACACAATCGAATTTTACCTTTTATGGAGTTCGACGTCATCATTCCGCACCACAGCAAGAGTGTCGTTGGCAACAGGTTCTTTCTTTCTTTCTTTCTTTGCTATCAATTTCCTCATCAGTTATCTTTGATCTCTGACAAATTTCTCTCATTGTTTTGACTCTTTTTTTTCTCATTTCAGGCCAAACGAAAAGCCATTGCCATGCAAATGTACGATACCGAGAAATCCTATGTTGAAGCGCTGAAAAACCTCGTGACGGTAAAATCGCGTTTTTTTCCCTTCAGATTAAATAGGAGATTTGATGTTGACATTGTAAAACGAGAAATACTCTAATTTGTTGACATAGTTGATCATATCGAATCCCATAATGTGTTTTTAGAAATATTATTTACCCATGAAAGATAAAGCTGTTATTTCGAATGATCTTGTCAATGATATTTTTTATAAAGTTCCCGAAATCCATATTCATCATACGGTAAGTTCATTTGTTCTTATTATTATTTGTCTTCTCCAATTGTCATTTCTTCTTAGGCATTCTTGATCTCGCTGTCACAGAGATTATCTCAATGGGATAATAAACAAACTGTGGGTGATCTTCTTTTTCAGATGGTAAATAGATTGTCGAAGCAAATAGAAAATGTTTTGTTTTTCCTATCTTATCTGATGAATCTAGTTTACCCGAACATCAGTCATCGAGACGTACACAAGTTTTGTTAATAATTATAAAACAGCTCAAATTGCCATTCGTCTCTGTCGTGACTCGTCGTCGTTTAATAAATTTCTCGAACAACAAGCGCGAATTCATCGTGGCCGATTAACGTTACGCGATCTGATCATTCAACCGGTGCAACGTATTCCAAGATATGAACTATATATCAAAGACTTTCTCAAATGTACAAATTCAAATCATGCAGATTATCCACTATTGCTTAAAGCACAATCGGAAATTCATTCGCTAGCTGAACAAATTGATCAAGTACAGAAAGATGTTGGTTCAACTGAATTAACCGTAACGAACAACTCACTCGAAGTTGTTCAAGAAATGATCGAAAACTTAACTGATGTTTGTCATGAATGATGCTCGCTGCTTTCACAATGATATCTATGGGAATTTCTCTTTTCTAGTTAGTCAATGCTGATCGATACTATATCCGTCATGATGTGGTTACCATTCAATCGCCATCGGGATTGAAAAAAGATCGATGTATCTTTTTATTCAATGATTTGATAATCATTACAAGTTGTAAGCGAAGAAGTGGAACATTAACAAAGAAGCCGACATCTTCGGTGATTATGTATGTGAAAGGAAAGGTTCGAATGGAGAATGTGAATTCGTTTTTGTCTTTTTTACAGAAATTCACCTTCAGGAAAACAATACATTGACAATGCAAAACATAAATTAATTATGAAGATTTCATTGGAGAGTGTCGATCTAGCTGCAGGTAAGTCTCGATGAGGAAAGAAGTTAGTTCAGAAGTCAGTGTTGTCAAAGTTCTCGTTGTAGTCTAACTACGGTTTGATAAGCAGTATCATTAACGATCAGAAAGTACCCCCAAATAACAATTAGCATCTCCCTAATCCGTTGAAAGATCGATACAACATTTTTGTCTGGTTTTTATCAACGAAAATTCGTGATGTTATGTTTTCTTTTTCTTTTGCAATAGATCATGTAAAGAAACGAGGAACACCGCCAACCATAGTTAAATCTCACTCCACTGCCAGTTCAGGCGGAGAGAAATATCGTCATTTAGAAGACGATGTTGTCACTCTCGGACAAATGAGTGATTTGGCTAAAACGATCACTGTTCCTCATCAAGTAAAATTTCCTATATGGCTCAATTCTTTTCATCGATTGCGAATTCAATTCATTTCTAGCATCTAGACGAGTCGTTAAGAGAAACTCTTCATGTAATCAACAAACACATCACTGACGAAACATCATCCGTATCAAGTGTACGAACCACAAGTCCGGAACCAACGACAACAGATATTTTGCAACAGAAATCCAATAATATTCAACTAATCATGCATACACCGTGAGTAGTGCAGATAGTTTTACAAGTTTGTTTCTTAATCGAATGCGATCGCGTAGAGAACGTACGGAAACGATTGATGTTATCTTTTCGTCTGCCGAACATCGAGCAACCTGGCAAAAGAGCTTTCTTGAAGCGAAGAAAGCTCTTTGTAAGTGAATTTTCGCTGAAAAAAAAAACACATTCCTATGATTATTATTCTAGTCGAAGCTGCAACGGGCCGACGAAATATCAGTTTTCAGCATGTTCTAACACTTCCACATAGCCGCCCAGGAAGTCAAGTATGTTTTCTAAAAGACAAATCATTGGCTTCTTTAGTTTTCTGTTTAGTTTTCTTGCGGTGCGCCTCGTTTATCATTAGGTGATATTTGTATTTGTAATTCCGATGGTCAAGTATGTTTGGTTAACGTTCAACCTAATGTAACAATAAAAGCCTGCAATACAGTGATATCATCACGTATTAATTGTGTTGCTTATGTTCCATCACACAAAGGTCGACGAACGGGAAGTAGTATAAAGCATCGTCATCATCAACATAAACAAAAACATCAGGAAGATGATGAAGGAGAACGACAAGAAGATAAACACGAAGAACATTTGTTGAAACAAGAAGCAGGTTTAACAATGAAGAATTCCGATGTGCCCACAACTGTCGAATCATTTTTTGACATCGATTCGAGTGATGACGAAGATACATCGACGATCAATAACGAAGATGTGTTCTCAATCGATTCGACAACGCCGTCACAACAATGCATTTTACTGGAAAGTGACCTTCCTAATGAACAACAAGATACAAGAGAAGCTACGATGTGGTTAGGCACCGATGATGGAATGTAAGTTCGAATCGATTGGAAAGAGTGGCAATCGGTGGGTTCTGTTTAGAATTCTAATCTTTCAATGTACAGAGACGATGAAAACAGTTGCAAGAAAGAGTCGCATTGTTAAACAACTTGGATCTCCGATTCATTCCATCTTGTAAGTTTGAATACGAAGTGTACTGCCGGTTGTTTATGATGATATTTAGATATACCGACAACAAAGTCTTCGTTGCGCTGAGTCATGGTGAACTATGTGTTTTTCGGCGAGATTTAAGTAGATATATGTCAATATGATAAATGAGAAGAATCTGAGTTTGTCTGATGATTTCAGGTGGCCATTGGGATTTAGATTGTCCAACAATTCGATCTATTGAAGAAGACGCTCTTCGATGTGGTGGCGGTGGTGGTGGTAATGGACATCATGATATCGATGATGGAGATAACGTTGATCCTATATCTGTCATGGCCTTGGCTGCTGGAAGATTATGGTGTGCTATACGCGATCGTATATTTGTCGTATGTCCAAATTCACTCAACGTCGAAGTAATCTACTCTATGAATTCGAATTTCGTCTAACTCAATCAAATTTCGTTTAGCATTCATTTCTTGTTGACGATTGTCATCGTCATGTGTGTAGTATTGCTCCAGGAGGGTCATCGATGCATCATGTTTGGATAGCATCTCAAGGTTCACATGAAATTCGTCTTTATCATGCAACACATTTTGTCTGTCTATTGGAAACAAGTATTCGAACTGCAGTAACACAAAAATTGCAAGGTACATTTCTTCTCACACTATCCAACAAATCCGTTTTCTTTTCCTTCCCTAGTATGTGATGATATTATTCGAGCTCATAAATTAGGCTGTCTAAGAGTCAGTGCTCTTCATATATGCAAAGAAACACTCTGGGTTGGAACAAGTGCAGGTGTATTGCTTAACATCTCTGTTCCACAACTACTCGATTCGGGCAATAACAAATTAACTGCCAGTTCATTGCACTTGAAAAGTCTATCGTTTGGTCATGCGGGACCTGTACGATTTATCCTTTCAACAGATACAACGGTTGTCTCTTCTGCTGATGATAGTACAAATATGAAAACGATTGTCTTGAGTATCGGAGATGGTTTTGAAGATTACGCAACTAATGATGAAACATTGGGCAAAGATGATGCACTTCCTCATGTGATAGTTTGGCAACTATGAAAAAAGGATTCGATTTTTTTCTTCTCGTCTGTACATAAAGACACTATGCTGCAGGTCAGCAATGATTTTTCTGCAAATTTCTTTCGACGACTGTCTTTGCCTTGGTGTGTGTGCGTGTGTGTGTGTTTTGTTTGTTTTCAGTGAAGAGAAAAGAACAACCCTTGAAATGCGTGGCACTCGATTCCTTTATTATGACAAAAAAAATTTAACATTTGCCTTTGAAAATTAATACCGCAACTTTACCAACATCGAGAATAATACGTTTTTCGTCATCGGAAGTGATCGACAGTGCAAAATCTTTGCCGAGGATGCATTGCCATGATGGACTATGAAGTTGATCGAATTGATAACGAATGTATTTCGCAAGAGCCGAACGAGATTTGAGCGAATAACCATTGAACTTCGCAAATGCTTGTTTAGTAATACGTACAGCGTCAGTATTCATTGACTCAGTCATATTACTGATACGTACAACTACATTTGGTGGAGAAGAAGTGTTTCCTCTGCTGAATAGAAATACTAAACAGAGGATGAGTATTGAAAGATGATAGCTTTGCATTCGAAATGATTCGGTTTGAATGAAACAAACACATAAAATTTATCTGGATCATTTTACCATTTATCCTTATCAATATTACGACGATGCTTGACAAGAATCACGCAACGGTCATCTTCAACGAATAGATCAACATGTGTTATCGTAATTTGATGAGACTAACTGTGAACACAAGCATGATAAACAAAGTTCTATTGCGGTTGTGTAATCACACTAGTCTTAATACGCACAGTCGGGATGTCCTTATCTTCCGATAGATGTTAACTATAGCGTAATATACACAACATCAGGCTTTTCTTCTTGTTCTGCTCATGAATGCACGAGAGAATATTGTCAAGAAGATATTTATCATTGAATAGATTTTCCCATATGAAAATGTGTTATTTTTTCGACTGTTCAACGGAAATTCTTGTTGATGATAAGCATTTGAAGTGCGACAGGAAACCTGACTATACTGTTTGATAGCGGATAGAATATTTAATTTCCTTGACGAAAAAGAAGTTTATTTTTACATATTTGCACACGATGGTGTGTTTTGAAATGGAAACAATAAAAGTACCCTAAAAAATACTAAATAGTCATTATTCTTGTACAAAAAAGGCATCCATTCAACGAGTGTTTCACATGATAAACTTGTAAAAAAACATACGCCATTTCAGTTTTTACTAAGATATTGTGTTGCCTTTTGATAAAGTAAACGTGAATTTCCGTTTTTTGTCTGAATAGGCTCTTTATATAGCGAAGTTGATTCATTGATCGTTTTATTTCGTTTTTCTTCCTCGTTTTCGTTGTCAAAGAACGAGACTTGAGCCGAATGATTGACAAATTCTTATCTTTTCGGTTGACGATCAGATTATGATAGTTGGCACTGAGTTTTGTTTTCACACGATTAACATCAGGTAAAGGCCTTGGAGATATCCTCTCGGGTAGTAATCAGGCAACAGTTGTGTATACAAAGGTTATCCACAAATCTTCATCTGAGAGAAATCAATAGAGAAAAGGCTTATTAGAACACTATATTTATCGGAAATTAACTGATGTCTTTATTTAGCTGCTGTAAACCTATCGTCGAATGCAACTTGGGTTCAAAATGCAGTTACTATGGCAGGCAAAGCGTCTGGCGCATCTGGATCTGCAAAAGGGTACCTTAATCTGCCTAGTGGTATTAGTATATCAGCAGATAACGCTCTATACATAGTCGACCAACTGAATAGTCGGATAGTGGTAGTGAATCTTACTTCTTTAACGATTATACGCAATATTGGATCAGGATCAGGCGCATCTCCTAATTAGTTTAATGCATGCACATACATCTGCGTTGTTAGAACATCGATATACGCTTTAGATAGGCGGAACTATCGAATTCAACAACGGTCAATAAATGGAACGAATCCAATCACTCGTATTGGGACAATTGGTTTTAGCTACGCTATTTTTGTTGATCAATACGAGAACTTGTACGTTAGTCTACTAAATGATAATAAAGTCATAAGCTTTCCACCAAACTCGACAATGTCTAGTAAAGTCGCGGGAAATGGTAATGTAGGTTCGCAGCCCTCTCAACTGAATTCTTCTAACGGTATATATGTGGACAATGATATGACTGTCTATGTTGCCGACAATAATAATCATCGAATACAAATGTAGTCGGTTGGAGCATCAAACTGACAAACTGTCGCTTGGGATGGAACGTCTGGTTCTGACTTATTAAGACTAAATAATCTATCGGTAGTGGTCTTAGATATTAATGGATATTTATACATTGCTGATTCCAATAATAACCGTGCTGTACGCTGGGCATCGAATTCAACTGTCGGTGTTTGCATTAGATAGTCGGTTGCGCAGGAAACTATGGGACAAGTGCCAGTCAGTTGAATTATCCGGTTGATCTACAATTTGATAGTTATGGGTCACTGTATATATGTGATAATGGAAATAATCGAATACAAAAATTCGCAATTTTATACAACCCAGGTAAGATGTCTAGTCCATTTATTATAAAAACAATATTTTTATTTTTTCCTCTGAAGGTAATCACTAGCAACATCTCACTGAATATCTTATTTTCTCTATAATCTAGTTCAAACATAAACTTTGCTTGCAATAATATATACACCAACTAGCACACTAAGTAATTATACAATACACAATGTATCCCGTTAAGCACTTCGGCAGATTTTTCTTTTCTAGTTTCAACTTTTACTTCTTCAATAAGATGGTTGTATTCACCGGCATGCAAAGGCACGCTGGAACTACGGCCAAGGTCAGTTGTCGAACTTCTTTCTTGGCAGCGAGTGTATTCTCTTTATGTTCAGGTACACTTTATCTTATCTAGTGAAGATTGTGAAACGAATCCTTACACTCTCGTCGATGACAAGCGCAAGATACTACAACGTGGTTCTATTGATTCGTTTATATTCAGTGTTCCAAAGTACATGCAGTTCTATATCATGAGATTTTGTCACTTTTTGAATAGATCATTAGGATTGTTGAATTATCTACGTATTTGGCATCATAATTCCGGCCTACATTCGTCACCGTCATGGTTTCTCAAGTAAATCATCATTCGGGATTTACGAACCATGAGAAAATCCTATTTTATCTGTTAACAATGGCTAGCAGTTGAAAAAGGAGATGGAAAAGTAAGGAATTTCATTCGTTTGGACTGTTCGTTGTTGAGTGTTTCTTTGGCATAGATTGAACGTGTTCTTCCGGTTTCAAATTAGCAACAGATGCGCAGCTTAGTTTATCCTTTATCACAAAAAGCGTATCATCGTCTATCGGACGACCATCTCTGGTTCTCGATCTTTTCCCGACCACTAGCGATACATTTCGCTCGCGTTCAACAATGCATCTATTGTTTCGTTCTATTATTCACCGTCATGCTACTGAATATCTTATACTATCAGTACGAAGATACCAGCAATCAAGTCACTTCGTCAAGAATATTTTCCATCGGGCCATTTCATTTCACCAAAGAGCAGGTCACGAGTCTCGTATTTCTCTTCAGAAAAAGTTTCTTTTCAATGTTGGTCATGTTAGATCATCATTGGCATTATTATCGATGTACTGATCTTTATTCCGAGTACGTTACTGGTGACACTTTTTCGGCGCGTTCGACAACGTCAAACGACTGACCATATCTCAGTCGTTCTTGAGATGATCTTGAAAACATCAATAAACCAAGCATTTGTTACCGATACAGAAACTTCGACTTGTCAAGGAAATCATCGCAGCAATAAAACGAAAGGAACATTTCTTTTTCCATGGTGGTGTTTATTTATTGCGTATGGCTTTTCGTATCTGTTGATTGGTGTTTCTATCCTGATAATCATTGCACGAAGTATCGAATTCGGCGACGCCAAGATTCAGAAATGGCTAGCATCATTAACAATTAAATTTTTGTCATCTGTTCATCTCTCCCAGTCAGTTAAAGTGAGTTTTGATGATCGAGAGCAGGTTTGAATTTGCGCGCGTCGAATATAGGTCTTAAATGTTGCTGTTTGACAAAGGAAGATGAAACAAAAGACTTCATCGATGAAAGCGAAGATTTTTACTTGAACGGTGCTAGGAGCGATAATAAACAGCTACGCTTTATCAAAGTTCGCTCTGTAGATGTGTTCATTACTGATTACATGTTCATATTCTTCCTTAGAGCAATGTTCTGACAGTGAATGAGTCTCAAGCAAGAGTTCGTCATTTAAGTAAAACGAAAGTAGCTAGAGCTCGAAGAAATCGATTACGCGAAATTCGTGTGTGGTCTTCGTTTTAAATATTACTTATTTATACCTGTTACTTAATAATACTGTACACCATTACGTATGCAGATCAAAATTCATTTTCCTGGCAACAAGCTCAACATTTAGAAAACTTTTTCATCAATTCAAATCATCCTCATTATAACTACATGGAGGTTTGTTTCATTCATTAACACTTACTTTCGATAAAACTTCACTATGCATAGGTATCAACTATTGATAATTATTGGGAATGGCTAGAATATGCGAGCACAATTGTCGTATAACGGGGATTCGCATGAACACCTTGCAGAATTTATCAATGATAAAGTTAATCGATTGATCGGGTAGCCAGTTATGCAGCAATTACGTATCAAAGCAGGTCTGTTATATCCAAGCTACTTCTTCTATTACTGAATCTTGAATTCTAAATAAATTCTACATGTCAAGTTGCGTCTCTAATCTGCGAACTAACACCTACATGTGCAGGTGAATATAGCTCATTCAACGCAGATCATCAATCATGGTATTCCGGTTGGACGTCTGTTAATGACAATCAATCGCTTTATTCTTCGCCGATTCAAAATGCATTTCATTATCAAAAACAAAATGATCACCATAATTTTTATAAACTAGATGGTTTATGGAATAGCTATGATAGTGATGGATAGATCTACGAATTTCGCAGTTTGTTCAATGAAATTCAATCGAACATAAGCGCACTCCGGAATTCGCCTTGGATCGACTCTTCTACGCGTGCTGTTATCATTCAATTAACATTGTATAACTCAAATGTTTGGTTGTTCACATCAATTACATTTCTGGTTGAGTTCTTGTCAACAAGTGGTGTTTCTCTCCAATCTCATTTTCAACGCTCTCCATTTCGCGATGCATCATCGATGACTCTTCTGATTGGTAGATTTATCTACATGCTATTCATTGTCTACTTCACATATGTAGAAATTTGCTCATTATTCAAGTTGAAGAAAGCATACTTTTCTTCGTTTTGGTCAATTATTCAATGGTGTATCATAATATGTTCATGGATTGGTTCAATATTTTATATTCGTCGATTCTATCAAGTATTAAAATTACAAGAATTCTTTCATGAAACGCATGGCTATGAATATTTCAATGTTCAATCTGTTCTATTCTTAGACAAGATCTTATTGTTGTCTTTTGGATTCTCGTGCTTTTCCAGTACGATGAAATATCTTTCTATGCTGCAGTTCGATGCCTGTCTCTCTCAATTTCTTAATACATTGAAATAGAGTGTTGTTTGAAATGTTGTTGTTGTTAAAATTTGATAGCGAAGATTTGTATCAGGCAAATATTGTTCTTGGACCATTGGTGTTCGCATTATTTATCTATTTTGCGGTGTCTATTTGTGGTACTATGATGATTGCGATTGTCATTAATGGTTTTCGGCAGACTCGATCAGCCGATCGGACGATGGCGGCTCGTGATGAAAATATTTTCGTATTTCTGTTGGAACATTCGAAGCGTAAATTGGGTAAACCGAGATAAATCTCTATCTGGTAGGAGTTCTATAAAATCTGTCGTGTAGATTTTCGTGGAAAGAATGGAATGAGATCGCAAGATGAGACAAGTGTCGAACATGACAGTTCAGTGGACGAATTATTAAGCGAAATAGATGAATTGGAGAGAATATTAAAGAAGCTATGTATATCCATTCGATAAATCGCGGATAAATATGCTTTTTCTTGGTTTAGTACAAAATAATTCCTTCGAGTGATGCAGGACTATGCGTCAAAGAGACATTGAGACTTCTTTTTTCTCTTGTACTATTTATTGTAAAGAAAAAGAATGCTGCTTATCATCTAAACCTACACACGGCGACAAGGCGTGTGATAGAAGTAAAACGAAGATATCATTTTTAACTTTATAAAACAAATTATTGTTGCTTAGAAGAATCGATGAATCCGATATAAAAATAATATTATTCATCTCGTAAAGAAGATGTGCTATGACATGTTAATCTAACAATGACTATCGCCTACAAAGGCTACACTCGAATCGGAAGATACGGAATGTCATGAATAACTCAGCAGTATATAAATTCTCTCTCTTTTCACATCCATTGAATATTCATATCTACTCTTTGTGAATAAACATGGTGACTCACCTTTGTTCGAGCGATGGCTGTCACTTTGCTACACTCATAATTATCATCGTCGGTTGTTTGACTGCAATCATTCTATTTACGATGCTTATTGCGATATTAATCAAACGGCAGAAGAACAAACAACTAGATCAAATACCTGAAATTCAAGAACAACATCTGTGGACGCCTTATTCAATTTCAAGTGTGATTAATTATCCTGCTCTAGAGTCATATTTGAAAACTGATTCGAGTGAACAAGTGTGACTTTTTTTTATTATACTCAATAAAGGTGTAAATTAAGCATTCGCAATCGGAACAATTCGAGTTTTCATTTTTGCGAAAGTTTCTTTCCACACTTTCAAAAATCGCACGTCAAGCGCTGCAATGATCAATGGATCAGATGTTAACTCGATGTAATTCAGTATCTGAGAGACAGCTCCTGCTGTGCTTGACACATAAACGAATTGAGATATAATAACATGTGGTGACCATAGCAAAAGCCAGACGCTGTAGAATGTAATTGACTGAAAAACCAGTAATCGATGATGTTTAAGACGAGTGTCGGATATCTGTTGATCACGTATAGCAGCAGCAATTCGACGAACGTGACGAAGACTTAAGAATAGATAGGTCAGTGTTAAACCAACAGGAAATACGTAGGCAAAGATGGTATTGAATGTTTGTACGGCAGGTGAAGAGAAGTCTAAATCACACGAATTGCCTGGTCGACGATACAAAACTGCCCAGTCGAGTTTAATCTCGATGATTAGAAGAATCAAAGGTACAATGTAAATAAGTATATGCGCAGTTAACATCAAACAACGATGCGAAGTATAAATATCAGCACCACCACGTGTAATTTGATAATGACGACAAATATTCAATGCTAATAATACATAACCTTGAAGCATGTTCAAGTAGATGTCTCCAACGCCTTCAAAATAACACACGAGTGTGCGAAGATCAACGGATACGCATGCGGGTGAAGTACGAAGACCATATAAGATAAAAAATCGTATCAAAAGTAAAAGATCCACAATTAAAAATGCATAAAGCCATTGTAAGGATTCCCACTGTCGTAAAGAAGAAAAGACCAAAATTGATAACCAAAATGCTGAATGTAGTATCACCGCTATGATACATACATAAAATGAAGGTTCAATGGCATCAGCTGCAGTAGCTGACCATGCCAACGGTGCACATGGTGATGAGCTATTATTCATTTAGATTTTCAAGTAGAATTTTCGTCAATCTAAACATATATAACCGTGCTGTAGAAAGATTCTTTCGAAAAAGTTTAAAGAAAATGAGCAGATGAGTGGATGTTCTCTTACTCCTCTGCCACCAGCTTTTTTACTTAACAATAACGTTTAATTAAGGAAAAATACATCAAAGATCGCTAGCGTGAACTGTAGGTACGTGTGACGCCAATTACTATCGTGTGTGCGAGACTGTTTCTGAATGCGTCTCATCATATTCCTCGACATTGGCCATAGAAAATCTGCGTTTTTTACTTGGTGTCTTCTAATCTTCTCACAGAATGACGAGCATTCATTATTTAAGAATGTCTCACGTGTTCTATTTCGAAACCAAAATACGTAGAAGTTTTTCTTTGTGTTCAATATCTTATCCTAAGTAAATTATTGAGAATTTTAATGTGGCTAATTAAATAAAAACTAGATCATGCTATTGCAGTTTATCAAGGATGCCGATTTACGATCATTAACAGTAATGCTCATCAATCCGATACTTTTTCAACGAATGAGTAACTATCATACTTTTCTTGTTGAAACAAAAAAGAAATGTTTTACTTCTTAGTTGTTATACAATCAAGAGAAAAAGAAATGTAACACGATCGATATGAAGTATGATATGTATCAAATGCGAATGAAATAATTGCATGTTGTTGGAGAGCGATGAGTCTAATTTGATTGGCAAGAGAATTGATTCTATGACGTTTTCATCTTCTTTGATTTCGAAGACGAGCAAACCTTGCGTAAGATTAACATTGACCAATAAACGTTCAAGACTCGTGTCAATATGCATAGACCAGCTTGTAATATTCCAATGACAAAACTTGAATAATCACCCGCGTTCATAGCTGCACGAAGAAATGTAGGTGCGCCTCGGAAAGCATATCCACAAACAATCGATCCGTAAATTATCCGGCTCAGGAAGAACGTGAAGATGAATAAATATCCGAAGAAGTCATGTAAACGAGCACGGTCATGGTAGATTGCTTTGAGATTCAATGGAATTGTAGACAATTCTTCTGCTAGTAAATAGAAATGGCATGTATGACAAATGCCATTTGTTATGCCTAAACGCGAAAAGAATTTGATTTAAAGAAATTCTTGTGAGTTAACAAACCTGAAGTGAGTCCAATTAAAACAATAACATGGTGGACTAGAGCAGATGGTGTTCGCACGGATTCCTCGTATAACATTAATAAGAAATCATAGATAAAATATCCGAGTGAATAAGCGATACTATAAGCCATAATCTCATCACCGGTTCCATAAACTCCTCCACCATCAATGCGATTGATCTGTATGAAATTAACAGAATACTTCGCAAAAAAGTTTACCACACTAATCACGCATATCACCGCGTGTAATGTCGAAACAATATAACTTTTTTTCAACGCTGTCAATGTATTTGGTAGCACAGCAAAGAATATTGCATGAATCACTAATGACAGGAAAATTAGAAAGAACCTCGGTACATCCGACGATGGAGTATTGCCGAGATCTAGATATATTTCAATTGGGACATGTTGAAAATCTGCTAGAGGCAAACTTACATTCAAACCGAACATGATCGTCAACAGTCATCGATGATAATGATGTGATAGAAATCTATTCTCACGCTTTACTAACGTTGGGAAGAGAACGACAAAGAGAGAAAAAAAACGACGCGTTGTATCATTAGGAATAATTTCATACACGTGTATTCGAAACGGAAAGTGATGAGAAAAAAATTGGTGTTGAGTAGAGAGAAGAATTGATCAAGTTCTTTTCCTCAGTGTTCGTTTTGGTTATATGATACTGACAACATGAGGAAGACCGGGTTAAATTGATTTCCTTGCGCAAGCACTTGACACATGCGTTTAACGTACATACGAGAATGGGAAGAAAACAATTTTAATAAGACTGGCTCATAAACATTGGGGATTTTTTGTTGGTGCATTGAGTCATTTTTTTGCCGCGTATGTTCGATTGATAAGAAACGAGAGAAAAAAAACAAAATGCCGAACAGTCGTCCTTGGTAAAATCCAAACGAACGAAAATTTTCGTCCTGCCAGGTCGTTAACTTCATCCGAACATAATGTTTCATTTAGAAGCATTACCTGACGAAATTCTACTAGATCTATTCGAAAACTACATTCGTCTAATTGATACTTACATTGCCTTCTATCCACTACCAAACCAACGCATAAACACGTTAATACGAGCGGCTCGTTTCTGGATTGACATACCTTCAAAAGATATATTTCATGCTAATTCATTCACCACCTTCGCTCCACAAATTGTATCGTTACATCTATCCGCATGCTGCAAAGATTTGGATCTCTCGAAGTTTGTTAATCTTCGTCTTTTACACATAGAAAAACCAACACAGATACAATTGCTTGCTATTCGATCGAGCGTACTACCGCAACTACAATACCTATCTCTGCATCCTTGTTGGTATTCAACGAGCGAACTACCGAATACTTTGGGCAATCTTGCTATGTCCTGCTCATTCGAATATCTGCGGTATTGTGTTTTACCAAACGGACAAATCATACGTTTTTCAGCGCAATCTCAGGCACAATGATTCATTTTATTTCAACATATCCTTGTTCATTTTTGTCTTTTTGTAGTTTAATCAAAAAGATTAAGAGTTACACAATAGATACAATCTGTTTCTTTTTTTTTGTGACCAACAAAAGAATAAAGAAGACATGGAGACAAATGACAAAAATGAGTGTTGGTAGGCTTGCCTTGAAACAATAAACAAACAAACAAATATTTTCTTTCTCAACGAAGTTAAAGGCATGTGACATTCAAGATATATCTAACNGGCCGATTCTCACGTAAATAATGTTGAATACCCAAGCAGAGATAGTAGATGGAATCACCATCATACAAATCACGCGTTTCTTTCAAAAATAAGCAAAGTGCACTATTCAATTCATCGGCTCGGTACAGCAACGGATCCGAACGGTAGAGACGTTTAGATAAACGATTTTCTGCATCATTTGACGCGCCATTTCGTGAGCGAGGATATTCTAAATTTTTCGAACATATTGATTCGATACGAAAACGAAACAGAGGAAACCTTACGTTGAAGTGTTCGTTGTCTAATTGGATCGTTTTTACCTTCAACCCATGCACGAAAAAGTTTAACACCGAAATGCCATTTCAGAATGTACTTGGCATCTTCCTGTTTCATCAAATACTCAATTTTTTCCGAGGAATTTCCATTGGTTGTATTTAGATTTTGTTCTCCACCTGTCAGAGCAACAGTTGAAAGATCAAAGTCTTCGAAATCAAATACTAATCTGTTCGAAACATTGTCTCCTGTTGTCAATTCTTGTTCAGTTTGATGTGGTTCATCCGATGGACGACTTACAAGATGCAGATCGTCATTTTCAACTTCATCTAACAATGAACTCTAAAGAAGAAGAGAAACGTAGGACAAGAAGATGATTTCTGATCTGCTCTTCTCACACAAACCTTGGGATTGAACTTTCCTAGGCCAAGTAGATCATCGTTGGGGAAAAGTGATTGCGCATAAGCTAACATTTGTAGATCGTCATCATTTGTTGGTAGAACTTCTTTCAATTTTTGTAGATAGGCTCCATAATCTTGAAATTTTTGATCATTAACAACAAAAAATAATGGCAATGGAACTGGTATGGGTATCGGTACGGGCACCGGACAATCGGTCGTACCTAAAGCTAACGGTAATGGTGTAACTAGTCCAACAGGTATTGGTAATAAACTGATCGGTCGTGTCTCATCATCTAGCAACGTTTGCGTTGCACGATTGAATGTTATTGGTGCGCATGTGACCGCTTTCGAACGTGTTATTGGTTTACACAATGTCACTTTGTGATTCACATAGGCGCATAAAGTTGTCGGTGGTAAATTGTTTAAACGTAATGCTTCACGCTTATCGGGCAATGGATGTTGAATTGCTTGACTGCTACTTCGTGAAACAATGATTTCACCTTGGTTTTCATTTTCTTGATCAACATTTGAATTGTATTCCGTCGATTTCTCTTCACTTGTTTTATATAACATCTGAAACGAAATGTAGAAGGTTTTCTCTTTTATTCGGCTTTTTTCGAATTTTTCTGTTCGCGATTTAATCGTCTGATACAGTTTATATAATGAATCATTTCTCTTTCCTCTCGCCACGTCAAAAACAAAATTCCGAGACCTAGAATAGATCCAAAGCCGAAATGAAGCAATGAATTACTAAACCATCGTTCACTGTAAAAGCAAAGAAAGGATGTAAAACATAGAATAAACAAGTACTGAAGACTGAATTGAAATGGTTTCGACCATTGATTTCCACGAAAATATCGATAAATATGAAAGGAATTCGTTATTATACGCGCGGACATATTCAAACAATTAGCAATGATAATTCCGTGAACACCTAACAACTGTATTAATATGTAGAATACACCGAGATATACTATAGCAAACATAGCGATGCGATTCTTATAGGTTTCCAATTCTTCGATTGACATGGTTGCTTGAGAGAACGCTTCGGTTATTCCATTGACGGCAAGAAATAAAATGTAAATACAATACAAACGAAGGAGTAACGGACCGGGACCTTCGGTTAATGTTGAGCCACCGTAAAGATTTAGAAGAAACCGAGAGTATGGCATACCAAATATGATCACTATGAATGATATGATTATCACACAGCGAAGTAGATAATTATAGAATGTGAAAGCATTCTGCTTGATTGTTTGTTGTTCTAAAACGAGTTATCAAGTTGTATATAGAGAATAGATTGGATTAGATATCGACCTGTCGATGTAGGTGATGATGCAATAGTTGGTTCATCGTTTCTTGGATGTACTAACATCTCATCATCTCGTACATGTTGATCGTTGACTGTCTCTGTTCTGGATAGCGTTTGTCGAAAATAAGCATAAGCACTTTCTTCTAATGTTGAAAAAATCAATCGAGGTAGAAGTGAGCCTAGATTGTTGATAATATCGAACACTCCTTGATCTTTGTAGGATATCAGATTGAATAAGGACATGACGTAGCGTTCACCTTCTGTTAAGATTTTCATCCATACACCTTGTTTAAAGAATGTTATCGTTTCATTCCATACGCTTGAATCAACAAATGGAGACGTAGGTTTTATCATTAAGTCTTGTAACGATGTAACCAGAAATAAACCTTGACGAGTTTTCTTCGTACGTGTTAAGAAATATAGATAATAAGTCGATGTTATCAATAATGCATAAATGATATAACCCAAACCATAATAATAAAGTGCCGATTCTGGATGTCTATAGACTAAAAACGCCTGAATGGTAAATCCTACGAAATACAATATGAGTACAGTTGAATTTCACGGAAAGCAAATTTACCTAAAGTCGACGCGAACATTTCAATATAAATATTTATTTGATAATTAAGTGTAACAGTAGCTAGTAGATACAATGGCTCAGACAATAGTTCGATAAATGCTGCGAGAGCATAGTAGACACATGCCTGATGATAGAATGGATATTTATCTGCACTATCGGTTTTATAGTATAGAGTTATTGGCAACCAGATGAATGTCATTAATAATCCAGCTGGCAGGACTGCCCATATCAGATTGATGTAATGTTGAATTGAACGGATAGTATTCAATTTCGGGACGGTTCGACGGAAAGCTTCGCGTGATAGAAACAATATTGTTGTGTAGAGTAATTGAAGGCGAACATTGGCAATTCCAAGTATGTTTCCATCAATTTGACGAAGAATAAGAGCATTGAGAAAAAAATGTAGGAAACGAAAGAAAAGTTTACAGATTAGATTCAATATTGTGCGTGCGCCAATCGCTGATAGAACGGAATTTTCGTACGATGGTGACATTTTTTTCAAAAAGAATGAAGTTCATTTGTGTTTTTTTTCAAGCCATTGTTTCAACTGAATTGAACGCTTATTGGTTTATTCATACCAATGAGAATTGCGCTTGTCATTATTTCATATTATTAAATACACTTATCAAAAAGGTAGAATTGAAAATTTTTCTGAATAGTTTTCACTAATTATTTTTATGAAAAAGAAATTCTTTGACGATTTTAATGTAGAGAACGTTTACTAGTGGCGACATCTTTTTCGTGCTGTTGAAATATTCTTTTTGAAAACAGATTTATTATTTATAGATAAAAAGTGTTTTTTCAAAACAAATTTTCAATCGACTTGAACATCTTTAGAAAATGCAATCGAATTCACCGATCATTGGTGGAAACGATTTGGAGTATAAGAGTCATCTTATTTGCTTCATATGTTGTTTTCTGTAGATATCCATCATTCTGTTGAACAGTAAACGGATGAAAACTCTTGTTTGATTTCTAGATCGTTAACTTTCTCTATCGGGTATTCATCTAAACAATAAACATGGGTCCACGAAAAGGTCAACAAGTAGCTAAACAAGAACAAGTTAGTTTAGGTCCACAAATTGCTGAAGGTGAACTTAACTTTGGTGTTGCTCACATCTACGCCAGTTTTAATGACACTTTCGTCCACGTTACTGATCTCTCCGGAAAGTAAGAATCAATTGATTCTTGTCATCATTTTTGCATTGCATTCATTTGTTTAGAGAAACAATTGCTCGTGTCACAGGTGGAATGAAAGTCAAAGCTGATCGTGATGAAGCTTCGCCATACGCTGCTATGTTAGCTGCACAAGATGTAGCTGAACGTTGCCGAGGATTAGGTATCACCGCTTTACATGTTCGCCTTCGCGCAACTGGTGGAAACAAAACCAAATCACCCGGACCTGGTGCTCAATCAGCACTCCGTGCTCTTGCCCGTTCAGGTCTCAAGATCGGACGAATTGGTTCGTTATCCATATGTTTTCTGCTTCATGTAAACTAACACAGAATCTTTGTTCTTCTAGAGGATGTTACACCAGTTCCTTCTGACAGTACGCGCCGCAAGGGTGGTCGTCGTGGTCGTCGTCTATAAAAATCATCCGATATATTACACACAATCAATCAATATTCTTCTGAATATTTTGTGTGTTTATTATTGTTTGGATTTTTTATGAAAATAAAATAAATAACAAAAAAGACACCAACGAGAAAGAAAGAAGAATTCTAAAAGCCGTTTTATTTTTCATCTTGATGCTTTTCTTTTCTCACGGTAGGTTATTTCATTTCTAGATGTCTGTTCATGGACAGGTGAAAGTGCGAACATCGGCTGAGCAAAAAGCTGCACGCGAGCGTGAACGAGCAGAGAAACTTCGCTTATACTTATCCGAATATGAAAATATTCTAACTAATCGTCAAACGGCGGACCCATTGGTTCTTTTAAAATCAACTGAAAATGTTCTCAGTGAACATCCGGACTGTTTTACATTGTGGAATGTTCGCAGAGAAGCACTTTTGAAAATCGATCACGAACAAGAGAAAGATTTTCTTGAGAAAGAACTCTCTGTCACACAGAGATGTTTGCAATCGAATCCGAAATCTTATTCTTGTTGGTATCAAAGGCAATGGTGTCTGAAACAGTTGAGAGAAAAATTCAATGTGAATCTTTACAAAAATGAATTGGGATTATGTAAAAAATATTTAGGTAAGCCTTCTATAGGATGAATGAGAGAATCTTGGAATTGCGCTTTTCTAGAGCTCGACGAACGAAATTTTCATTGTTGGGCATACCGATATTATCTTCTTGAACAACTTTGCCCGCCGACATCATCGACTGATTTAGAACCATTCTATGATCAAGAATTAGAATTTCTTCATGCAACCATCGGCCGTAACCTATCGAATTATTCTGCGTGGCATTATCGTTCGAAATATCTTGATAAACTTCTTGACCAGAGTCCCGCTCGTCGCTCGGCAGTTCTCTCATTAGAATGGGAATTGGTTTTGAATGCGGTTTATACCGATTGTTGGGATCAAGCTGCTTGGTTTTATCTTCGCTGGTTGTTATTTAAACAATTGGGTAGCGACGCAATTAGTGAAGATAAACACATCAAACCATTAGAGGAGTTGGATGAAGTTGAACCAAGAAATAGATGGTGTATGTTAGCATTATGTCAATTATGGAAAGAAAAGAAGATTCGAGACGAGAAAAGGAAATGCTATTTAGTACAATTGGCTAATGAGATCGATTGTGATCGAGCGCAGTTTTATCGAGATCAAATTTAATTTATATTTTTTATTTATTTGTTTAAAAGACGGTGATTGTTCGAAAATGTTGTTACAATAAACGCGAAAACGAGTTCTCTTTCATTGATAGAAATCTTCTTTCGAAATGATCGTATCTGTTTATCGATTTTCAGATGGCGAGTGCAAGTAACGTTGTAAAAACCATTCCTTCCGTCAATGATGATTTCTTCTTGTGCCGTGCTTTTGCGAGCGCAATTTCGTCTGATAAACTTCGTGAAGTTATTGATCAACAACCAGCATCATCGATCGAATTCAAGTAAATAGAATGAACTGTTTCTATAAATCTCTCTGTAGTGTTTCAGCAACTGATTCTGTTGAAATGGTCAATGATTCTCCATTGCCTGCCGAAACTGATCAATGGAAGGTGGGAGATTCGTGTTTGTGTCCATATAGTGAAGATAGTCTTTTGTACAAAGCGACAATTGTGACTATTGATGCGTCGTCATGTACGGTTTCTTTCGATGAATACGGTAACGAAGAAATTCATCTGCTAAGCGATCTTCAGATACGAACAGATGATGATCAACAAGACATATTGTCACCAATGGAAGAACACGACGTATCAACTTCTATTTCATTACCGACACCGGCACCACCACCTCCTCCTCTTCCTCTGCCTCCATTTCCAAATATACCTTCGAATGAAGATAATGATAGTTTATCGGCAACGTTGATGTCGTGGTACTTAGCTGGCTATCATACGGGATTTTATCAAGCACTGAAAAAATCATAATTTTCTATTGTTGTTTTTCGTCTAAATAAATATACGTATTTTTCAGAAATGAATCAAACATTGTTCTGCTGTAGCACATGTCCCAATCACATTCATCCTTTTGCTTGCGTTGTATGTATAGTTCTTTGACGATCAGTAATTGATTATATTCGTGATCAAGAAAAAGAAACACATTCACGTGTAAATTCTATATCTTTACCTCAAATAAAAGAGATATGAGGCAGAGACAAGAACGTTAAAATCTTATACATGAGAATACTGTATGTTCAAGTTGCTATTTTTCTACTATGGATTTTATAATTCGCTGAAAGTAGTCGACGCGTCAAGTACTACAAGATCGGATGATGATAATTATGATATTTTCGAAGAAGCTGGATTTTATCCTCCATTGCTACATAGGCACCCTTTATTATTAGAAAAACTGATCTGTATTATTTCGATCACTATATTTCACGAATGAATAGAAACACGAGAATTAAATCATTGATTGTTAATCAGGTGTCGCAGGAAAATAAGGGTACATCTGTTGTGTTTTGTTCACTCAGAAAAAAGGTACCGTGCTCGAAATTTTACCATCGAAAGTGTGTGACTGTTGGACACTGAGGTTAAGAAACTAGTTTCTGTGTTAGTTGTTAATGATAAATCAAACAATGAGTATCAACAATTTTCCTGAAGCTTATGAGAGGAAAGCCGCGAGCGACATCTATGACAAAACTTGTATGATATAATCCAATGGGACGAAGATCGCGTCAATGAGAAAAAGAAAATTGATGCTATGCGATGTTTGCTATACTATTCGTTTAGTGAATTTTTATATCTTTTGTCATAACTTTGATTTCTAAAAACTTTTCATATTTCTTGGTCGATATAACGATGCTTTCATCAACATTTCGTTTGCTAACACGGACTTCATCGTTCATACGACCCGTGATCGGCACTCTTCCTCGTCGTTCGTTATTCTTCAAACCGACTCTTGTCAGTTTCAATGAGAAACAGCGTCAACCGTCAATGATCATCAATCATATTCCAGTCCGTCAATCACACGTTCACTATACTTATCCAATGATCGAAAGTCGTGTGATGCTTGTCTTACGTCTATTTGACAAAATCGATGGAAATGCTTTACAATTGGATTCTAAGTTTGCTCAAGATCTTGGTCTTGATTCATTGGACATTGTGGAAATTACAGCGGCATTAGAAGATGAATTCTGGACGGAAATTCCTGATGTGGATTCGGATCATTTTGTAACACCTCGACATATCATTCAGTATTTATGCGACAAATACGATGTTTACGAACACGTGGAACCAGTCTCAGCTGGAAAGGAATACATGGAAGAAGCCAAAGCAGCTGCTGAACGAGCACATCACCATTAGATTAACATTTTCTTTTGTCCCATAGATTTTGTTGATAAACTATCCTGTCTCTTTCTCGAAAAAGAATTTTATGATTAAAAGCATGTCTGAAACATATTCAATCATTGCAAAGCCGACTGAAAACATTCTCTTTAGTCGTATTTCGAGCGTGAAAGATAACGAATTAAGCTATGAGTAGATCATACAAGAGACTAAAATGTTTGTATCCTAACAAAAAGGAAATACACAAGGTTTGTCTCATCATCTTCCGACTATTTCGAAATAAACGAAGATAACTGTAGTTTAAAAAAGAAACCAGTCATTAAAGCTGTTCTCGTATCTTCCAACTCAAACTAACTGTCCTTCCATGAATAAAGGTCTGCTGGGAGTGTTCTGTTTGATTTTCACTCACCCATTCTCGAGAAGTTAGTGGTATTGTTCAGATGCGTTGATAACTAGCGAACCCTTTTTACACTGCTCTGAAAACATCCATGTTATATCGATGAATGAAACTTTATATTTACTGTGGACGACTGGCTACGTAAAATATCGGCATCAAAGCTAGAGCGTCAATTTCAGATCATGTATCGTTCAACATGTTTTCAATGGGGATTTTATGATCCTCAAATGTCTGGTTCAATCGATGGAACTGATCTAGTTCCACATGATCGAGCGCTGGTTCGTGCTTATCAATCAAAATATAAGCGTCCACATCGCTCGCCATCGACTTTATTCATCGGACATATTCCACCAACTTGTACAGAAGATGATTTAGCAAAAATCTTTCCTACTGCATCTCGAATCGAACTTATACGTGATATTGTAACACGAGAATCGAAAGGTTATGCATTTCTCGACGGCAAAGTTGATCGGAAGAAGGAATATCAATTCAATGGACATTTGTTGTTAGTCGAAGACGTTGCTTCGAAAAAGCTCGTGGGTTGGAAACCAAGACGTTGCGGAGGTGGCTTTGGAGGTAGAAAAGAATCAGGACAATTGAGATTTGGAGGTAGTCAAAGACCATTTAAACAACCGTATCATGTCAACGATGAAGTTAAACAACGATGGAAATACTTAGAAAAACAACGAGATGAATCCAAATGAGATTAGATTTACATAGTTCAAAATATAATATACGAAATAAAGTCACTATTTCACTAACTAAACTTTTTTTGTACAATCTTCACGAACCTGCATACAAAACACCTGATATCAACATAATAGAAGATATACGAAAAACTTGACTCCAATGATAACTAGCGAACCCTGTTAATAACCAGGTTTCTTCACCTCTACTATGATGTATATAATCTGTCTGACAACCAGTCACACATAAACTAGAATGACTATTTTATTTTCTTAAACAATGCCGCGAAATGTTGAAATCAAAGCCCGTATCGATGGTACTCTTGATGAACTAATCAGCCGTATTCAACCGTTAGCGGACGGTCCTCCCCGTCACTTGAATCAGAGTGATACTTTTTTTGCCTGTCCAACTGGCGGTAGACTTAAACTACGAATTGAACAAGTACGATTTGAACTGAACTGGAACCAAGAAAAATATTCTCATCTTGCACAGGATTCTCCAGCTCAATTGATCTACTACGAACGAAATGATGTTGCATCATTAGCAGTTCCAAAACTTTCCGACTATTCAATCGCGCCTATTTCTCATCCAGATGAATTGAAAGTGAGAAATATTAAGAAAAAACAACCGAACATCAATTGACGCAGAATGTCTTTTCGTATTCAGAAAGTTTTGTCATTGGCAATGGGTGGAATTCGTGGTCAAATTGATAAAGACCGAACAGTACTCTTAACTGGCCAGGGACAAACACGAATACATCTTGATCGGGTCAAAGGTCTTGAATCAACAATTTTCATTGAACTCGAAGTTGTCCTACGTGACGATCAAACAGCAGAACAAGGGCAACTGATTGCCAAGGATTTGTGTGAAAAAATAGGCATTGAAGAAAAAAATCATGTAAAATGTGCTTATGTTGACTTACTATTAGAACAACAGAGTAAGCAGTAAAAAATATCATATCGTCAATGTTTTCTAACTATAACTCTCTTCAAACGATTGGTTGATCTTGGGTTTTAAAAAAAAACTTCTCATATGTATTTATTTGATAGAAGAATATAGAGAAAACTAAACCGGTTTGTTTTTTTCCTCCAATATATGACTAATATGCTTATCAAGCTGTTTAGTGGTGGGTAATTTACCCAGCGAAGTTAATATATCAGTGTAATATTGAATTTGAATTTCTTGCTTTTCCATCGCTTGCTGTGTCTGTTGTTTTTCCTCTAATAAAATATCTTTTGCTTCTTGAATTTTTTTCATTAGCAGGCGATTCTTCAAAGTTATCGAATGAGCAACAGCGTGAATAGCTCGAACGATTTTCCACAAGCGTAGAATAACAATAGCAGCTGCAGCACGTCCTGCTCTGCCTATTTGACCATAATGAAAATATAGTTCCATTACAAAAGACGCACATACGATTAGTCCATCGAGTAGATACAATGGATTTTGAAAATATCTCCATCCAAATCCGTAGAATGAAATGAAAACTTCGGCGACAAATAAAGTCAGTAGTAAAACAGAGAAATAGAATAGAAACAAGTCAGCGCGGACCAAACTATCCGAGTGTTCGAGTAAACATGTATCACGTTGCTCAGTTATATTGTATTCTTTCATCTCCTCGTCGGTCAAACATGGCGAAGACAATTGTGCTAAACAGAGTAACAAAGAATAGTTTGAATTAATGTTTTTCTTTTGGTTTAACTGAACATACCGAGCACCAGATCGACGAGAACAACGATTAGATCTGTAACGACTAACAAAATAACAATGTAATGGAACGTTGGTTGTTGAAGATAATTTGTTATTCGTCGGCGAAACGCTCTCAAAGAGCCCAGTGGAGTTGTTATAAGAGCCTGTTCATCTTGCGAAGGTTCTCGTTCTTCCAAAGAAATTCTCTTCAGTTCATCGATAATACTATTTAATTTGATTTCTCCTTGTGATGTACGAGGTACAATTTGGCGGTTAAGAGTTCTCACTTTTGCCCATTTACTTATCGGCTTTGCAGATGTAACTTCATTTTCATACGTATTAGGCACATCCTCAACATGTGCTGATGAATCTGCGAACGGCGTCGGAGCGACATAAATCGTTGATTCGTCGAGTTTCATATACTAGAAATCTAAGAAAACTCAATTCAGTAATTACTACCAGCACATAATGCGGATAAGACTGGTTTGAACTAACAAAAAGAGAATCATTTAGATCTGAATGGTTTCCACAAAAAAAGAAAAGATTTGAATGAGAACAATAGATGCGAAGTTTGCTGTACAAAATAAAAGACAAATGTAAAGAGTGGAGGACTTGTTGTATTGAATTGAGTTTTGTTCTTAATGATCTGTCAACAGCGAACCTTTGTTTTTCGGTTACTACAATCCAGAAAAACATCTCTATGATCACATTTTATCAATTAGAACAAGAGAAAATGATGCATCTATTATTCGCATTAGAAACTTCTCATGAGAAAGGAAAAAACAATGCGATGACATTCAAAGTACATAGCTGTCGATCGGTAATATATATTTTAAAAACCTACCTGCTTTCACCTCCTATTCTAACAAAATATTGTTTATTTCTCATACTAGTTTATTCCATTTTGTGTTAGTTACAACTTTTTCTTTTACTTCCTCTTGTAAATACAGCATCAACTGTCGGAAACTTCTTTTCTTTTTGAACGCGAACATGTAATGGTTTTCTTCAATTTTCTTTTTTTTAAAGATCTCAATGAGAGAAAGAAAAATTAATTTGCAACTGTTACTTCGTGTTCATCAGAGAGAGAAAAATTGCGTTAATGTGAAAATTTTTCTTTGTTTTTCATCAGTGACTCATCTGAATAAGACATTCATGTCTCATTCGACTACGGCCATTAACATAGGTTCGGTGCGAGGCAATTTCGTTCAGGAACTCGATATCAATTGTTAACTTCAAGCGTTCGATAGTTCCATTTAGAAAATCGTGTTAACAACGTAACAATTGAAAAAAACACGAGACATCTTTCAATTCTCGTCCCAGTGGTTGTCCAGATAAGGAGGATTCGAAAAGAATAGATCCACCAACGTCAATCAACGTAAACAGAAAAACGAAAAGGCCTGACAACTGAAGGGAAAGGAAGAGAGAAAAGATAAGAAAATGCCAATGTACTAGAGAGAAGATCGAATCTTAACAAGTTTATTCGAAGTATGATCACGATTCCTCTCGTACGGTATATCATTGATCCCTAACCTATTCCCATCTCGCGCTATTATCACTTTTATTGTGTGATCAGTTATGGTAAAAAGTGTTGTCTAGTAATGGTTTTATTATGTATCGCTTTTTACACAATCAGGCATGAGGAAGATGGAACAAAATTCTTCTTTTTTTATTTTTACTTTGCCACCTGAGCTAATGACTAATTTAAATGCAAGTAGTTCTCGCTTCTCGTATCATATGATTAATGCTGGAAGTTTTGTCATCAATTTCTCTGTATGTTTTTCCTTCTCTCAAAGTCACACGAGAAATTCCCCCTTTTTCCATGGTGGCATAACTCGCGTTCGCCGTCAAAGTCATTTTAAGAGAAATCGTAACACACAGGTTAGCAACATTCAAATAGTAATGAATTAACTCTGGAAAAAATGATGCACATACGTGTAAAGATAAGAAGGAAACTTTTCTCGAACGTTACGAATATCGCTTTAATAGAAATATTGTTCGTATGGGACATCTTTTCCGCATAGAGAATGTCCATTCATTCCTACTGGACAATCTCTTATTGGTTCAATATTATGATATTGCTATGCCAATAAACTTTTTTCCTGTTCTGCCTTTGTCTATGTATTCATATATATACGACTGATTGTGATATACAATCGGTAATGACTGACCAACGTTTGAAATTCTGTGGTGTTCCACCACCTGTCGCACCTCGTCGTAGTCGACAAAACAGTGCATGTAGTACACAAAGTAGCGTTCGCTATGCTGTGTAAGTGTAATCATTGTTCTTGATTCTTTTCTTACGCTCCCGTTTCATTTCGAAGATTCATGCCTCCATCACCTTTGCCGTCAGCACCTGTTCGTCGCCGTCGTGTCATTGAATCTGTACATTTACATGTCGAACGAAAGTATGTGGTGTTTCGGAATGATCTAATTATTTACATTTGCTAATAATAGGAAGAAAACATTTGAGAAAATAGTGGACGTAATGAAAGGAATAAAACCTGTGACGATGCACGAATTAGGTTTAGAATTTCTTCGTGTTTACGATGGAAGATTCAACTACCGTGAAGGACACACAGTAAGCAAATACTGATATAATCACTTACACATTATCTACGTATGATTTCATCTAGTTCGTAATGCCATACAGAAAGAAAACATGGTATTTAGTGATTGATAAGATCACATGTAAGTAAAAATCTTTCTGTTACTCTGTAAACGAAATTTTCTTTTTACAGGTGTTGATTGTCCAGTTGGCGAGGTTGGACCACGGTCAGTACTGATTCTCAATTATAAAAATCAATATACAAGTGTACATGTTTAATAAATTGTATTCGCATTCGCAATTCAATGTTGCTAAAAATGAAGCTACACATCTTTTCTTTTGTTTTCTTTTGTTCCTCAATAGAATTCGATATCTTGTTTGATTTCTACATGTATATAAAATAAATGAAGTGTTAGAATGCTTCTTTTGCTCCTTCAATAGATACATAGGCACCGATTTTCAAGACATCTATAGCACGAACCACATGAAATACTCCGAATCTGTGTCGTTTCATCGCACATTATAGTTTATGATAGAATTTTTATTGATTTTGGAAAAAATGATCATTTAAAATCGAGTGTCCAGTAATACCCATTGTGGACTAAGAAAAAAAAAACTCATAAAATAGTCTATGATCGTTGATTTGTATTTGATCATTTCCATCAAATAGATTCCAAATGATACTTCCCGTCCTTTGCAAACAGTTTTCCATATCGTAATGAAAAACTCTCTTGATTGAATGATAGAAAATTATGTACAGAGACACGAATCTATTTACATCGATAAAACGAAAACGGTTACGTTTAGGAAAGAGTACATGTAGGTTTTGATCGATCTTTCCCTGCTGTATTCCCGTTCGACTTCCGATTGAAACCATTCCGAGATGATAAGGGAGACGATACGGGAGAGCTGATTTCATTTGGACGCGCTTTGACTGAAGTTTCTTGAAGTTCATTGTCTGTCGGATCAATGTTATTCATCGACTGAATACATTTCTCGAACATTTTCTTCACAGCCTATTGAACAAGATTCAGAAAATAAATATCCGACATTCTCTGTTTACCTCAAAATCCATCGCCGATGCTTCGATATAGTGCACATTCCATGCACGAGCTAATGAACGACCCTCTTCCGTTGAGACAACTCTAAATTAAGATATTCATCGTGTTCAAAGATCCAAACTAAGCGATTCGATTCCTACCGTTCATCTTTTCGATCGATTTTATTCCCCACCAGCACTACAGGTATGCTAAAATGAGCAAGAATAAACATCGGTGAACTATTCGAATCATCAAATATGAGAAAAGCTTTCATACCGAAGTGAAGCACTTGTTGAAATAATCTTATCTCGAATTTTCGATACCATTTCAAAACTAAATGCAAGAACATATTTAGAGAACACTAGAAAATACAGATCTTCAACTAACCTTTGTCGATCATCGATCGCATAGATAAGAATATAAGCATCACTATTATCGAAATCACTATGATTAATTGAATATTGATCTGATCCAGCATTGTCAACAATGACTAAATCATATTGTTCACCTCCAATCACGCACTGATGTTGAAGATCTAAAAAACCAAACATCGTTCGATGTTAACAAGTTATTTGTCTTACTTGTTTTTATGTTTGGATCATATTCGTTGTAAAATTGGCTGTAAACGAAGTGATGAGCAATGGATGATTTTCCCACACCAGGATATCCCAGTAGAGCTATTTGTCTATGTCGACGCATAGTTGTTTGGTTTTGAAAAAGAAATCTTTGTTATCTACAACAAAATATTCAATTATCACTTAAAATGAACTAAAACACCACACAACAATATTCCAATTCTCAAATTCCTTGAATGTCGAATAAATATGCGAAAAAAGAATGATTTTGATTAGCGATTTATAACAGAATGAAGCCAATAAATGGAAAAATTGAGATTCAGAAAAAGCAACAGTTTGTTTAGAGTTCATCACGAAATGAATAGCGTTGACGATTTGGTGATAAGCGAACAAAAACAGATTCAGGGGGCACCGATGGGTCTGCACCGTGTTTCAGGAACTGATTGGCAGATGCCGATGCATCTGAACTTGTTTTTGGAATATGTTTACTTTTTGAATCTCCACTCTCCTAAAATAAACAGAGAAAAAAACGTTTGTATAAATACATCGATTGTTGGAGAAATCGTGATAAAACACGTCCGTGAGAATAGCGAAGGAGTGATTCATGGAATGAAATTGACCCATGCTCGATAGTGGGAAGAAAAAAGGGAGTATTGGAGAGAAAGTTTTACCCCAACTGATGGAACGGTCGTTGTTGGCTGTTGTTGCGTTGGCGGCGGCGGGTTATGAAAGTCACGATGAAGCTTTTCCGAATGTAGATCTTTGACAAATTGTAGTAATTTACCATCTTTTCTGTAAAAAAACCATTCATCTATCGATTCGAGTTTTACTTCGAATGAAAAACTTACGACATTTCATTGATGTCCGGAAAGAGGAACATATGTTTGAAACTGTCGATTGCTAGTAAAGGTAAATCATTGAGTGATTTTCCTAGATGTTGAAGCGGATGAAGAAACTGAGCACCATCTGCATGTAAACAGTTAACACTCGCTAGAAAGAAAAAGGAACGAAATCAAGTGAAAATTTCGTTTGAAACTAATCGTTTTTTACATCTTTCGCTCATCAATTGTTTGGCAACTTCGCGTTCGAATGCAACGACCGAATCATGATCGTCAGCTTTATGAAAAAGAATAAGAAATGGTAGGCCTTCGTCTGTTAATTCTTCAGCATTTGCGAATGTGATTTCACGAACTAATGGCACACATTTTTCACGAGACCATGTCAATAATGATTCTTGTTGATCAATCAGACCAGTATAGTATGTTTCTTTTTCGTTCAAAGCTTGTAATGGACGATAATAAACGACATCATTTGATGGTCGCTCATTTTTGAAATCATCCCTAAACACATCGATCGTTTCTATTGATCAATATAAACATGAATGTGGTAAGATGAGAAGCTCGTATGTGAATGGAATTTCTATATAAGAGGACAACAGTTCTTTTCTTTTTGACAGATGATTCTATCCTCTCCCGAATCGTTTGACAGGTTCGATAGGGTCCTCGTTGACTATCTCATAGCGGAAGACAGCGCATAATTAACAGAACGCACCATGTGAACTCGTGGCTCGGTAGAACGGAATAACTTCGTAAATTTATATTCGATAGAGGAAAAATATTTATGTTGCAAATTAATAAGCTTCAGTGGAAATCGAGTAAAATCAACAAATATAGATATAAAGAATGTCCTTGGTATGTCTGAGGGGAGCTGTTCTTTAGCGTATGTCAATTTTCTTCCATTCATAATTCGTCCGTGCTTGTCAAGTCTCTCAAGTGACGAGCATCATCGCAGGTATTGTAATCTATTCTTACAGTTAGTGAACTTTTCGAACATACTTATTTGTCGATGCAACAAAGCTACATTCATCACGAAGTAAGCCGGCGACTTTGATAAATGTTTTGTAATTTTCTGAATTCTCATCGTCGAAATGACCAACAATGTAACGTTTTTTCGAGTCTAATGTATATAGATCGCTTGGTGATGCTAATTTTGTAATCGATGTTTCAACTTGTTTTTTGAGAAAGTCCATAAAAGCATCGGCTTGTCTACAAAAGCAGACTATCATGCGATAGTTCTGTCAGCATCGGAAGTTTCTCCTACCTTGCCCCACGATATTCTCGTTTCGTCATAACGCCGTGTCGATATAATTTCAATGTCGGGTATTTATTCACATGATATTTCAGAGCAATTGCATTTTCAGCATCACAGTCAACTTTTCCGATGGCAATGAGACCATGTTGCTAAAAATAATCACCGTCGATCATTTTTCATAAGACGAAAGAAAATGAAGCACATACAGGAAATTCTCTTGCTACTTTATCAGCTAATTCGTTATAGATCGGATCAAGCATTTGACTAAATCGACACCAATTTGCATAAAAATTAATAAATACTACTTCATGTGATGCTAAATTACACGTTTCATTACAGATACATCTAGTCATTCATTTTCGGAGAACTTACAAAGAATCGAATCAATATTACTACTTGTTAATTGTATAGCACCACCATTCACAGAAGTCAGATAAACTAAAACCTAGAAAAATGATAAGATTGTTTATATCAATATTTGCAAACAGTCGATTTTCGTTCGTTGTCTTACTAAGACAAAAATCGATCTCGATTGTTTATTCCACATTGGCAGAGCAGCTTAACAGGAGAACGAATAAACGAGTATTTTAGAGATCTAAAACGAACGCTTTTGTTTTCAATTATAATTTATCGAAATCGTAACGAATCGAATCATCAGTTGCTATTTCGTCGTAGACAAAGGAAAACAATAATGCTGGCAAAATCCCCTATCCAATGAATACCGTGTCGCTAGTAGTCACGAACAAAACTTATTTTGATCTTTTTATTTGAAATTCTTTCATTTTTCTTTGTAAAATTTCCCATTTTTGACAATTTTCGAGTAAATGCATTAGTGTGTCTTTTTTCATTGGATTAAGAAGTTATCAATGTCGGAACACTCATGATTCTCTCATCTGTTCTAACTTCGATATTTATCTAGTCAAATCACTATGAGTAATGAAAAGTAAGCAACAATGAGAAAATGTGCAATCTCTAAAGTACAGTTTCTTACCTAGCACAATTCCAAATGACAGTGAATATGAGTCTGACGTTTCGTCGATGACGGATTCTTCGGCAGCAAACATTAATGAATCGAATTTGAGTTGTGAACATTTAGCAAAACGTATTGATTCGATAAGTCAAGAGAACCGTGTTCTCCAAGTCGAAGTTCAAACATACAAATTACGTTTGAAATCTGCCCAACAGGAAATCAAACAATTGAAGCAGTTCGTTGCTCGACATGAATTTCTCGACGTATTCATATGTTGTGATTTCTAGTGCAAGTGTGAATATGCAAGTGAAGACTGAGCAAGAAGAAGAATTCATTTCGAATACATTGTTCAAGAAGATTCACGAGCTGAAAAAAGAAAAAGAATCGTTAGCGAATAATTACGAACGCGAAGAGGAATTTCTCACCAATGATCTGACGAAGAAATTACAACAAATTCGAGATGAAAAGCAGTCTCTAGAACAATCGTTAGCACACGAGCAAGCTTCGCAAATTAGTCAACTCATGAAACGAATCAATCGTTTAGAAGCCGAAACAACTAACAAACAAAACACGCTAGTAAATCGTCTCTTATTCAATATTTTCCAGCTCGTTCTCTTCTCTTCTCCTGTTAGGAACAGTTGAGACGCGAAAAAATCGAATTGGAAAATACACTTGAGAAGGAACAAGAGTCTCTAGTCAATCGTCTATGGAAACGAATGGAAAAATTGGAAACGGATAAAAAGTTACTTCAATCGCAAATCCAACACACGGTAAAAGCTCTACTTCTCCTTTCCGAGAGCATTCATTGAGTAAAAATCATCTCAGATAACATTATTACTCGAAAGGAATGTTGAGGCAGATAACATTTTTCACGCATCGAAAGCAAAACTTGCACGTGAAAGTATGTTCGATGTCTTTAGACAGTCAATCCATCTTCTTCGACTGAATTAACTTCGAATGAACAAGTTGCATCGAATTCAAATTATGCTGAACAATTACGGCATGAAGTCGAACAACTTCGTGTAGAGTTAGTCAATCAACAAGAGAAGCATCAAGCGAAACTGAAGGAAATTCTTCAAGAAGAACGAAATGCTCGAGAAGAAAACTTACGGTTACAAAGAAAGCTACAAGTCGAAGTCGATCGTCGTGAACAACTTTATCGACAATTAAGTGAAAGCGAATCATCCTTAGAAATGGATGAAGAACGAGTTCTGAACACTAAAATCAAATCCAGTGCCAAACATGACCCGTTAAGAATAAGTTCCTCGTCGTCGTCATCATCTCAACATAATCTCGCACGATCGCGAACAGCATCTAGTCCAGCATTTAGTCTTCATCAAAGTAACGAACATCTCCAGCGAACAAGACTGCCATCGAATAGTTTAGATACAAATAATAATGATAACAGCATGGAATGAAACAGTCTTTTTATTGTATATAATAGTGCGTGCTCTTTTCTTTTTTGTTTCAATAAGAATAAACAGCAAGAGAATTTCTTCATCTATTTATGTAAATATCTGTGATTATGAATCGATTTTGGACAATTCACAAGTGAGTGGATGAAATTTATCACATCTCATCTACTTGACACTTGCAAGATTCGAATGAAGACAGGCCTATCAGTCATGGTATCACTATTGATCGTTCTAGATGTGTGATATTTTGTTAATTGAAGCATTTTATGATGGTTCACACCGTTGTTTGATTGATCTTCTGCATCGAACGTTGTCACCTCGTTCCATTTTAGTGACATTGCCCGGCACAAAGTGGCCATGGCGTGCGCGATGTTCGGCATTGATTCTCGCGGATAAAATACCGACCAATGAAACAGGTTCACTGAAGTATCTGTTTACTTCGTCGATTGTCAATCTAAGTGAACTGCTTTCTCTCCGAACTGATCTTCGATCGTTGAAAACGATTGTGTATTTTCATGAGAACGAATTCGCTTATCCGAAACAGAATGAACAGCAAGAACAACGAGATTTTCAATATGGTTATAATCAAATATTGACAGCCCTGGTTGCTGACGTTTGTCTCTTCAATTCGTTCTATAATCTCAACACATTTCTCGACAAACTCGGACCATTTCTAAATCGAATACCAGCGCCCAAAGCAAATGTTCAGCACATTCGACAAACAATCGAACACAAATCTCGCGTATTCTACTATCCGTTAGACAAACCACTCATTTCGATTGAAGTAACACGACACAATTTATTTTCCATTTGAATAAAAAAAAACGAAAATTTTCTAGAGAAACAACGATAAAACTGGGCCATTGTGCATCGTCTGGCCTCATCGTTGGGAGCATGACAAAGATCCAGAAATGTTCTTTTCTGTGATTCTTGAACTTCATCAAACATATTCATTAGCATTCACTTTAATCATTCTTGGTCAATCGTACGGTGAACAACCTGTGATCTTCAATGAGATTCGCTCGAAATTGCCACCGGATTGTGTTCGTCACTGGGGTTTTGCTCAATCGAAAGCTGATTATGAACAATTGTTGCTCGAAGGTGATGTGGTTGTGTCAACAGCTCAACATGAATTCTTCGGCGTCGCGATGTTGGAAGCTTGTCGAGCAGGATGCGTACCACTTGTCCCCGATCGGTTAGCCTATGTAGAACTTTATTCTAATGAACAGCATCGATATCGAACGCGAACGCAACTATTGAATAAATTGAAAAATTATTGTCAACAACCAGCGTATGTACGAAATAAAGCACCGAGACAAGACACTTCTTGTTTTGAATGGGAAACAAATGAAAATATTCGACAGAAGTATCTGCAATTGTTTCAATAAAACGAGAATATGTGTATGGAAGTGTTTTTCATACTATTAAATAAAAGCAAAACGCGACTCAGTATCGCTTGTAAATTGCAACATATTGTCGATGTATAGTGTCCTCTATTGATTAATTTCTTATTAGTAGACTCGTTTCATCATCGATATTGCATTTGAAAAATCGACTTTTAGGAATTCTTTCGAAAGTATATGATTCGTGTTTTGTCAAAAGCAAAACCTATTTCGAAAATGTCTACTAGTGCATTGAATTTTGAAGTTACTCATTCATGTAAGACGACCAAAGCTCGTGTTGGCCGTATAACATTTGGTCGAAACCATACATCTCGTGGCCCGATTGAAACTCCGGTTTTCATGCCTGTTGGTACACAAGGAACATTGAAAGGTCTCACACCTGAACAATTACATGAACTCAATTGCCGGATCATCCTCGGAAACACGTATCACTTAGGACATAGACCAGTAAGTTGTAATTTGGTTTCTTCCTTGAATTTTATATCTTTTTTTCTTTATTCAAGGGTCCTGAATTGTTGAAAGATATGGGTGGACTTCATTCGTTTATGCATTGGGATGGAGGACTTTTAACAGTAAATTGCTTCACTTCGAAGTTTTGTTGCATCGAAAAAGCGTTGTTCTAGGATTCAGGCGGTTTTCAAATGGTATCTCTTGTTAAACTCTCCGAAGTAACAGAAGATGGTGTGAAGTTTCAATCGCCGCATGATCAAAGTGAAATGTTATTGACACCGGAGAAATCTATTGAAATTCAAAATATTATCGGTAAGAAACACATATCATGTCAAATAATAGCTAGACTAGAACAAGAAGTTTATTTAAATATGATCGTATGTAAAATTGTATCATTGATCTTTAAAACTTCGGCCATTTGTGTTTCATTGGCTTGTTCGACGAATGGATACACATCTTTGAGCTCATCACATTTGACTCTGACCTCCTGTTTTCCTTTCTCTATTCGATGATCCCAAAAATGACCAACACATTCAGTAGACCATTCGAATCGAAAAAATCGCTCCGGTTTTCTTGGTGACGGTAACCATAGTTGTCCAAGAGGTCTTAATATTAACGGAAAGACATGTTTCAATTTACTAACTGTGTCCGGATACTTGAGATTCCATAGATACGTGTCATTTTGTGTATAGAAGAAAACGTCAACAAACGGGAAACTCCATTTATACCCTCCGGCACTTGGACTACTCTTGAAAGATACTTTGTAATACTGATTTTCTTTTGTATTTCCACCGACTACAACGAAACTTAATAAAGTACTATTCATTTCATATAATGTGTCGGTAAACAACTGTCGGTGTTCTTCAGACATCATAATATCTATATCGTCATCCCATGGTATAATATCATGATGTCTAATCGAACCTAATAATGTTCCTTCGCTCATAAAATAGGTAATCTTGTGTCGGCGACATATTCGATCGATGATTATCAGTAAGTGCATGGCTAGATTGTGTTCACATGTTGTCAGTGCCCGAGGAAGAGTAGTTGACGATTTCCAATTCGAGTAACGATAAGGAAAACGGAAAATTCGCGGCGTCTGAAATGTTGGCGAAAAGATTATTGGAGATATGGGTAAATGCTGTTCTTTATCAATGTAATCTGCCATATTTAAACATAGAATAGCTACATCGTCAGTAGACAAGCTTCGATCTTCGATATTCAAGGATCGATTTGAGAATATGACCGGTCTTCTTGGTGGTTTCGCCAGTTCAGGAGGCAAGACTTTCACTGTTTGAATAATTAATGATACGCTGACTAAGAGAGAAATGAGGAGAATCGAGATAATTGCACGTCTTGTTACCGACCAGAAAAACATTTTTTGTGAGTATCATTACATTAATCGTTCTACATGCCACAGATGTTTCATTCAGATATATATTTTTGTAGAATAAAGAAATAACAAAAAACGATTAAAGAGAAACACTTGACTTTGAATACACAAAAAAAGTCGCTCTTGTGGATGATCCCCAATGAATACAGTTAATCTCTTGCGTGAGAATGCTCAAACAGACAAATGGAACTATTGATGATCATCAATTGTTAAATAAGGTCAGAAATTTCCTTGAATGTAAGACTCGTAAATGAGGAGAATATTTGTCGCTACAAAATACAGTCGAGTAAAAACACATGTTTCTAGAGTAAATTAACTTTATTGTCAATGAAAGTTCTGACTTTATGGACTTATTCTCTTTTTATCAGTACGAAAACTTGTTTACCATAAGTTAACACAAGACAAATTATTTTCAGGTGCTGATATCATCATGCAGCTAGACGATGTGGTATCAAGTACGATAAGTGGACCAAGAGTCGAAGAAGCAATGTGGAGGTTTGGTTTGATACGATGATAGCTTTGAGCAAAATTTCATTGGGGATCATCTAGATCGTTGAGATGGCTTGATCGATGCATAGCCGCACATTCTCGTCGAAGTGAACAAAGTCTCTTCCCGATTGTACAAGGTGGTCTAGACGAAAAACTACGAGAACAAAGTGTTAAAGGTAAAAATGTTTTTGCCGAATTCCCAATCGAATTCAGTTGGGTTTTAGAAATTATCAAGCGAGATTGTCCGGGCTATGCCATCGGTGGTTTAAGTGGTGGAGAAGATAAAGATCATTTTTGGCGCATGGTGACACTTTCTACAGAGTATTTGCCAAAAAATAAACCGAGATATCTCATGGGTGTTGGGTAAGACAATGAAGACTTTTAGCGAACGATTTCTTTCGATGAATATTATTAGATTTGCTATCGATCTCGTTATTTGTTCAGCACTTGGCTGTGATATGTTTGATTGCGTATTTCCCACTCGAACAGCTGTATGTAAAATACGAATGTTCTTTTTAAAGAAAAATATCTGAACTATTTGCTTGTTTTCTTAAGCGTTTCGGATGTGCATTGGTCGACAGTGGACAATTGAATTTAAACAAACAAATCTATGAAAAAGATCACCGAGTGATCGATGAAAAATGTATCTGTCCTGTTTGTAAATCTGGTTACACAAGGTCGTATTTGAATACGATCGTAACAAAAGAGACGACTGCTTGTCATTTATTAACCATTCATAACGTCGCCTATCAGGTATTATAATAACAATGCGAAATAGAAAAATCGGAAGAAAAATTTGATTTGTTTAGATGAGATTGATGTCTCGTATTCGTCAAGCAATCATCGAAGAACGCTTTCCCGAATTTATCAAAGAATTCGTTTCAATCTACTTCCAAGACAAAGATATTCCCGTCTGGATAACGAATTCTCTCAAATCAGTTAATATTGAATTATAAAAAAACCAACTAATTGTTGTTTTTTCGTTTCTATTTGTTATTCTCATTTCGAGAAACTATGTTTAACAATAAAAGTTTCAGTACTTTTCCATCGAAAGGTAAATCACCTATCTGATATTGTAGTTCCTTCCGTATATATCATAAATAGTTCGAAATCACGTCAACAAGCAATTACTTGCTTACCTAGGCAAGCAAATCATAAAAGGTAGAAACATATTTTTTTCCCCTTTATCTGCATGATTATTTATTTGATTTAATTGCGATAAGCGTGATATAAAAGAAACTAGACATAAAATATGCAATCAAAGTGACTCATTGAGTTTCGACTTCTTCCGTTCGATGATATGCAACATTTACCTTGCATAATTTATTTGCTCCTCATCGGTACTCGATTATGTAGAGAAGAAAACCATCACTGATGGGCGCAAAGTTATCCAGAAACCACCGAACACCGTTCGTTCAAAGCCATCATTATCATCAACATTTCTACCCACCGGTTAGCCAGTCTCATGTAGCATGGGACCATAGCATTGCTGAAGCGACTGATAATGCTCTTCGTTTTGCTAAGGTCAACAATATGCCGACACCTCCATCCGACGATGTTTTCTTTGAACAGTCTCCACCATTCATACCACCAAAGCACAATCATTCCCACAGGAGAAAACATCAACATTCGTCATCATCACATCACAAACAACTGGGCATCCGAAAAAGTCAATCGACTGGAAATTTAGCTAGTCCAACTTCTCCGATCACACCCAATCAGTTCTTCAATGATCAACCCAAACGAAGACATCGAAATAAATCTTCGTCATCTCAAGCATCTACACATTCATCACAAATTTTAAGCATACCGAAATCGACGTCGAAAACCAGCTTCTTGGATCATACACCGACGCCTACTTCCAGACAAAAACGAACAAAGACTTCTTACGACCCACCGATGACCTTCATCAATGCACGCGATATCAAAGTATTGCTCGTTGTTCTATATAGTCAATTCACTTCTTATTTCTTTGTGTAGACCATTCGCGAAATCGGCCGAGGTAATTTCGGTACAGTTTACCATGCTCTATACAAAAACTCTCAAGATGTCGCAGTCAAAACTCTCAATTCTACTGACGGATCTTTTCCAACAAGTACAATGGACCCAAACGAGGAAAGTATGGAAAAATTGCTTCAGGAAGCGAAAATGATGATGCATTTAAAACACGCAAACGTTCTACATATCGTTGGCGTGACATTCTTTGGTGATCAGCAACAATTGAGTCTAGTGACAGACTTCATGAAAAATGGTTCGTTATTGGATTATTTAAAGAAACATCGAGAACTGTTTTTGAAATCGGCTGCATCTACAGTTATCAAGAAATTGAATAATTTCAGTCAACAGATTTATGCAGCGATGTCCTATCTAGAAGATCGAGAAATCGTTCATCGAGATTTAGCAGCGAGAAACTGTTTGATTGGTGAAAATGATACATTAAAAGTGGGAGATTTCGGTTTGACCAGGTGAGTTCATGTGCAGATTGAAATTGTCGAAAATGAATGTGAAAATTCTAGATTGACAGACTTTGGTTTGTACCAAGCAACCAGTACAGTTTGTGCGCCGAGATGGACGGCACCGGAAGCTTTGCTTTCATCAAAATATTCCTCACGTTCAGATGTATGGAGTTATGTAAGACGATTTTGCTTTTCAGTCGTATTGACCGATTTCTTCATTCTCATAGGGCATAACTCTTTGGGAAATCTACAGTCTAGGCGACCGACCGTATGGTAACGTTCATAATTCAGCTATTTACGACATTGTGAAAAACTCCTCGAAGAGCATACCTCGTTATCTACCGAAACCTCATCGATTTTGTTCTGACGAAGCCTATACGCATATCATTCTTCTTTGTTTAACACACAATGTAACAATGCGACCACGTTTTCGTGATTTGCACCAGCGTATAGCAACTATTCTTGTTTAAAAGAAATTTAGTCAAGAAAAACACATCGATTTCATTGTATGATTGTTGAAGTAGTATATAGTCTATGTTCGATGATTTTGAATAATTACTCTCGAAGAAAACGAGACGAAATAAAACACGAGTGAAGTTATAATCTTAGTTTTTTTCACTTCGAATCAATGCTTTACGAGAAAGACACGCTTGGTTGAACTTAATGAATATTATTGTCAAAATGTGATTGCTGGTCGACGCGAGAAAATATGTTTACTTTGTCAATATAGAAATGTCATTTGAAAAGAGAACGGGTGAAGTTAGTATAAATCATTGATTGCATTGAAATTGAAATAACAACGATAGATTGTTTTTCGATGGAAAACGAACGAGAAAAACGTGTTGCTAGTTGGGTTATGTACAACCAACGTGGCCAAATGGAACCACCATCAAATAGAGCATTCGAAATTTACAGTAAATTGCTCTTTCGTATAGCAGGTGCTGATGGAGTATTGGCGTCGAGTGAACGAGAATGGATCATCGGTCAACGTGCAGCGTTGGGTATGTTAAACTACTAGAATCTGTCTAGAACGAGCATGGAATGAATTATTATCTGATTATTTTAGGTGCTTCGGATGAGCTGATTGAAATGCTAGAGACTTACGAACCTTCAGATGACGACTGGAAAAATCTTTTAGAACTTCAACGCTCGTTCATTGAATCAGCGAAGTATCCACTTATCTACGATGCGTTTCAAGCTGCGGCTGCCGATTCGGAATTGCACGCGGACGAGAGACGAGCAATCTCTGAACTTGGCCATGAACTTGGTGTTGATGAAGCCACCATTGAAAAGATTGCTCAGCTATGTGAAGAAGAACGTGAAATCAAAAAACGGCGAATAGCTTTACTGTATCCACCTATTGTTAATGTAATTGAGGAGAAACAAGAACAGAAAGCTTCGCTTTCTGACTCTGATGAAGAATGTTCGTTTTGAGCGCGTGCACGTCTGAATCGATTTTATTTTCAAATAGCTGAACTTCTGAATTGCTGTACAAATTACAAAAAAAACAACGGACAGCAAACTTTTAACAATAAAGTAGTTGGAGACAAACAAAATCTCTATCTTAACTTATAGAGCGTGAAAATAAGCATGTTGACATAGAATGTATTCGAACGTGTATAATTTTTATTCAATACAAAGATAAAGTAATAAGAAGAAAAAGTTGCGAGCCATCCGTTGTGAACATCTTTGACAATTTCAAACTATAAATGTGTTATCGGTCAAAGTCGTTAGAATAAACATCATTAAAAGTAAAGATGTTGACAAAGACGAAATATGACTTCCGTTACAAAAATTATATTGACAACAATAAACGCGTACATTCGCCGACGATTCGGATATACAACTCCGGGTAAAACCCTTACTCACAAGGAGACGATTTGATCCTGCCACAGTCACTACGGTTTTCTATAGAACATAAAAATCAATTTTCTTAATTCTAATAAAGAAGTATGACGATACCATGCATTGACCAACATCTGGTGGTGTTATCGTAACCTGTGTAGGAACGTAAAAGAATGGCTCCGGACAATCACTACACGAGTAACACTGTAGATTTCGATCACTGTAAGATACCAATGATTGACAATTCACTCCTGTGCACAAACGAAAAAACGTTCATCAGGTCAATTCAGTCGAAATATTCCAACCTGCGATTAGCGAAGCTAAAAACAACACAATAAGCATTGTAGTGACGAACACTTAAACTAATATGTATCAATTCGCTCATGTATTATATTATATCTAGAAGTAATTATTGTATTTTCTTCGTTAAATATTTGTTTGCCGGAACAAAAAATCATTATATTTCTTTACTTTTCATCGAGATAGTTTTTTTAAATTTTCGAATGAAATGTTCTGTCGGTATTGTAGGAACGTGAAAGAAAAATTTCTACTTTGCGTATTTATCTTCTTTTCTTTTTACAAGATAAAGATAAGCAAAATGAAATGTCATCGTCTTATGGATTTCTGTTCTACTTTCATTATCTCATCATCATGACATACAGAACCTCTCCCATTCGGTTCGACGATAGTCGAGATGAAGTCCGTTTCTATTCTTCTTTTTCTATTATGTTTTCTAATCGAACAATATCAGACAACAGACTTATGTCCATCAGCCCAATTTCGTTGCATGGACGAAAATCGAATAAATTGTAACAATTCACAGCTTGCTCCAAGTGATTTTCAGTGTTGTAATGGCTTAAGATGTGTTTCAGCATTTATTCCCAAAACAGATACACAAGATGCATACAATACAACAATGTGTGTTTCGTCTTCATCGAAACGGCATCGAACAAGAGTACATGTTCCACCGGCAAAAACACCGCCTATTATGGCAACATCCTGGTCAGCGGCAACGACATACTATAATATGTCCAATGGTGATACCGGTTGGGGTTATTTTTGGTACGATGCAACTCACCAAGCTATTCGTACGGATTTCTATCCAACGTGTCCGTTTTTACAAATGTATGAAGCTGGTGTCGATGCGAACTATATACCATGTAGTGTGCTTTTTTATGAAGGACAGAATTATTATGTTTATCCGACGACAAAAATCTGTTGTAATTATTCATTTCCAGCTTGGCAACCGACTTGGATGTGTCAAAGTAATGCAACGTATAATGGTTCAGTCCTGATCGATGGACAAATGGCAGACTTTTGGACAATTGAATGGGTATATTCGATGATTTCGATTTTATTAGATAGATGTTTTGTTTTTCTTTCTAGTTTTCGAATTTCACCGGCGAAGGATCAGTACGGAATATTCGTAATATGTATACTCGAGCTGATTCGAATGTTCCCATCCGTTTTCGCGAAGATCTCGATACAGGTTATCTAGATTTTCACGATTACGTTGAAGGTCCGATTGACCAAAGCATTTTCACATCGATCATCAACGCTTATCAACCATGCCATTACGGCCATGGTCACGATGGAAATACCGACAAGACATGCACTCGATATAACTCTCAAACGTTACGCCGTTCATGGCCGTGTGATAATCCGACATGTTCGTAGGAGAATGAATGTTCTTTAATTGAATAAAGCATTCTATACATAAGTACATAACAATCTAGTATATCACAACAATGAGAAAGTATAGGCACCGTGTAGATGCAGAGGAGATGATTGTGGTGTTGATGGATAGAATACCAGCGCTTTTACAACAAGTATTAGGAACTAGATATTCGTTGGCACGATACGGTTGGAGTGATAGGTTGTGTGTCGTGTGTTTCGTTGAGTTCCTCGTTTCCAGTACCGAGGAAGTAGAACAAAAATTAGTTCCCGACGAAAACTCGGTGCCGTCAAAGTATATACCAAAAATGACCACTGAAAAAGAAGAGTTAAATCGATCAATTTAGCGATCTTCTTACTCCGTTGTAGCAGTAGTAAAAGAAACTTGCCAAAAGTGTATTGAGAAACGACTCTACAGATATTCGAAGTTGTGATTTGCTCGATGTTGGCACGTTTTCAGTTAATGCTCCATACAAAACGTAAGACACATACGGTAGATTTGTTAAGAAATAAAGAAAAACTTGGGCAACAAGCATTCCAGTCAGTTGCATATCTTTGCCAGCAATAGTTATCTAACAAAACAAGAAAATCCTGAGTGATCACACTCTCTAATTCGTTGGACTTTCTCTCTCTCCCTTTGAGAAACTCAGGACGATAAAAAAGCTGCAGAATATGTCTCGTTTAATAGAGGGTTGTTTCTCACTAGGAATAGTATGAACGTACACAACTTATTGAACACCTTCTACTTACTTTCTCGCGTCCCACTCGTTTGGCATTTTGTTTCAAACGCTTTATGGTCAACCAACTCAGCGTACTCATTGATAGAACTGGAATTACGAATGTAAATAACCAAAAACTCGTCGTTTCATATATACGGGCACCTAGTGTCGTCGCCATACATGGGAGAGGTCCCTTTGTAGGTGCATATGTAATTAACACATATATCGCAAGACACCCACTTATAAACGTCACCAACACGACTACTTTCTTTGCAACTCTTGCCCGACATAGTTGTCGATGACGAACTGATGCTGAGCAAAGAAAGAAGCGGTCTAAACATGCAAGAATTATGAATGCGCGACTTGCGAATTGAGCGAAATTGATCATATAGAAACGAAATTTACAATAGAAAACATTGTACGAAGCAGGATTATTGTTCGTCATGAAAGCCAGCATACTCGCCAAGACACCCCAACATAAACAAAATATATTCGCCCATGAACTCGCATGAAAGTAGATAGCACATGAGTTTTGTCTCATTGATGGTCGAAGAAAAATGAGAATATTCAGAATACCACCAAGCATTCCAATCGCAAAGAGAGTGGATTGTCCATAGCGCTGAATACCAGCGCGAGCAGTATTTAAATTAAGTACAAGTGGGTCAGTTGTGGTCGTTGATATGTTGCTCATGTTGTCTACATACAATACAAAATACAGAATCAAAATTAGCTATCGATATTGTCGCGTAATAAGAGAAGTTTTCTATATAAAAACAATGTCTCCTTTTCTAAGAGGATTACAAGTTTAATATACACAGAGGAAACCTACCTCTAGAAGATTAAAAAGTGGTTCATTTAAGACCTCCAGACTATTCTGAATCCTTGTAGAATTTTGTCTGATAAAGTTCAATCTAACTATAGCACTGCATTTTAATATGTACTTTCTCTCCACTCGACTAAGAACTCCTTTACTTGTTTGATCAAAAAGAAGAATGAATCTGAGAAGAGAACTGCCGGTTATTCAAGATTTTTCCTCCTTAAACATGCCCGGACAAATGTGTAAGCTAGCAAAAAGTATCGTGCCTTTCCTTGATATATTTACTGTTAAAATAGCGCCTGTCAAAACCTATTCTGAATGTGTCTTTCACAAACAGATCAAATCTCGAGAAAATGTCTTTAGTGAACGGAAAGTATTTTTGCACGCGTGTGATGTTCAAAGTATTAGTGATTTGCATCAAGAAGGAAAGGCGAAACTACAATATTTGAATACGCCACATACTTCTTGCAGTCAATGAAATCTTACTCTGTCCTCCATGACTTGCATGTGCTCCAACGTTCCTTGATCTGTAAAAATAGTCTCATACATAAAGTAAACGAACGTTTCAAGTTGACGATGACTTCTTCTTTCTCGATAAATTTTTTCTCCAATTATCTTTTTGTTTTCGTTTAGATAGCCTCATTAACCTGTACTAATAACCACAATCAAACAAGAAAAGAATTAGTTAGAATTTGAAGAATATAAAAAATCATATGACACACATCGGTGCATTGATAAATAAAAAGATAGAAATAAACTCCAACCATCAACATCGATGCTGATGCTCTCAACGAATCCATTATTTGCACACTTAATGAGAAAGCCTGACTACAGTACTCTGTCAAGAAGATTATCCTCCACATGGTGGAAAAGGTGGAAATGCAACACAATATCATATTCTAGTTTCTTTTGGCAACGATGGCAAGCAAACTAAATGATATGATTTTGTTGTCTATAAGAACAAAAATGAATTATGTCGTTGCTTTCAACATCGTGTTGCGTTTGTGTGTGACAGCACAATTAGAACTGATCAATGTTTCTAAGTTAAGATAATGATTAAAAGTATAAAATAATCTGTTTTGCACAAGTTAAAGTTCATTTGCATTAAATGACGAACTTTGACTTTTTTGCTAATCAAATATACTCTCCTGCCATGAATAGCTTGTAGTGTACAATGTTTGAAAGCGATTCCTTCGAAAACTAAATGCTCCTCCCACTTAAATAATAGTCTTTTATTCCTTTGATTCAATGATGGTATTGTAAGGCATCAATGCTATGAGTGTCATCGATGAAAAAGAAAAGAATCATAGTCGAAAAGTTATTTTTAATCGATGATATGAGGTGACAGACTTGACCCGCTGTTGTTCAATCTATTTAAATCTTCATTAACATCTCGGCCAATCAATGTACTTTCTCTTTTTTTTTGTCTTTTCAAAAGAGGACACACAAATATCAACCGGCTCATTAATTTCTGTCGCATTCGTTGTCCGAATAGTACGACGATTATGTCACTGATTTACATCGAACGAACAAGCAAAACACATCCTTTCACCAACGCATGCCTTATCTTGTTCATCATTGTTATTCTTTTTCTAGTTCAAGAAAAACGAATTGAACTCGTTCAAAAAGATTGCACCGACAACATTCAAAAGCGATTTTCGACAGCAAGATTAATGAATGTTCTCTCATCTTTTTCATGTTCTTTTCGAAATAAATTTGTATTGTACATAACAAGAAGATTAATCGTTCTTTTCCTTGTGAAAACAATACAATACGAATCGAAAATGTAACATATGAAAACTAATAAACATTAATGAATGAAATCAAATCTACTCAAATCATTGACGATGATGTCACAATCGGAATCGATGGAATGCGATTTTTCTGATTAAATGAACCTATTGTGTTGCTTGTCTTCCAATGGCAGCTTTCGAAGACCGTTTTCTTTTGTCAGTTGAATACAAGTCCATTCCTATTCATTGTATTGACTTTTATTCTGTTTCCTATTGTTTGCTTGTATACCAGATCAATCTTATTTCTGCTTCTCGACTTTTTCTCTTTTCTTTTCTTTGGGCCAATGAAGAAAAAGCGTCGAGAGAGAAAGTTAATGATTGGTTCCAGCAGTTGTATCGATGAAAAGAAAAAAAAATCGTTCTTATATTTTCTTTTATCGTATCCATTAAGTGATTTAATGGCTCATTTTCTGTCACAAGATTTTGCTTTCAGCAAGTTATCGTTCGATCTCGACGAAGAGTTCTTCAATCATTAATTATATTTGATTCGAAAATCTTTTCTATCCAATTGAGTATCATCGTTAAGGAAAAAGAGAAAGAGAGAGAGAGAGAGTGAGTGAGAAAAAGAAAGCAGAGCAGAGAGAGAGAAAAACGATTATCTTTTGATTTGATCGTTCGATCAAGAGAAGAAAGATGAGTTCTATACATTCAATGAACAATCATTACAATTATGATGGTACAAATACGAATTATTCGAATCGACAACAGTTGTCTGATAATCATGTTAATGTAAATAATCCATCATGTCTTCTACAATCTCCTTTACTCGATTATTACGGACAAGAATCTTTTCATCAAGCATCAACAAGACATATTCCAATTTATAATAATAATCATCATCTCTATCAAGATAATTCTAATCAGTTTTATCGATATAATGCACTTTCAGCAAATCAACCAAGGTAAGTGGAGAAGATTTACGAAACCTTTGAGAAATTTCTTTCTAGTAGTAGTTCATGTGTATATACTTGTCAAAATGGTTTACTTGGAAACTATTCCGAAGAAAATCCGACCAATGGACTTGCACCAACTGATATGGTGTCATCAATTCATCCGATGCCTCTTGATCTTTATGGTTTATCAATCACACCTCCTCCTCCTTCGTCGGCCAATGCCGCAGGTGGATGTACATCGTCACCAGCAGCACCTTCATCAACCCAACAAACTTCACCGAATGATCCGAATTCGTCATCATTAAATAAACAAGAGGATACGTCTCCTGTGATCTATCCATGGATGCGCAAAGTCCATATCAACAATCCAGGTTAGTTGTCGATGGTTCATCATTTGAATATTTCTGATCTGTGCTGTTTATTTTAACACTTGAGTGAGTGCGATTTCACCTGATGTACTTTTAACGATTATTGCAAATATCAACAAAACGAAAATGTCAAATATTCTTTCTTCCTTCTCAGCTTGACTCAACGAAACAGAGACGAGTATCGAATTCCCTTTAGAATAGAAATCTAACCTTTGCCATTCGAAGAAACGGATAAAAAAAACAATACATCGTCTAAACATGAAACTTCATTTATCATAAATTTGACTAGAAAATGAACATGATAGTCTTATCATTGTCGATGACTACGTGACCTAACTATAAAAAGATAAATGTTATTTCAATGTCGACAGTTATTATTCTTGACTGTCATTCTCGACATGCAATGTTCTGTAACACCGAAGTAGAAGAAGAGAGAAAGAAAAAACTATTTTCTTCTTTGACCATCTGCTTTACCAGACAGTTGAACTGAAATACAGAGAGACGATTATCGACATTTGTTTGTTAACCAGCAGACCTCGACGAAAGACACGACAAATGTAACCGAACTTTGAAAATTAAGTCTTGTCTGTGTTTCATCTAGTTATTAACTATACAAGTGGAGAAACAAAACGAGCTCGTACGGCGTACACTCGTCATCAAGTATTAGGTAAAAATCTCTCGAATTCGATGTGTTCGTTATTGTATGAATTTGATTTTCTGTACTTGTCTTAGAATTGGAAAAAGAATTCCACTTTTCCAAGTATTTAACTCGTCGACGACGCATCGAAATAGCCCATTCACTTGTTCTCTCTGAACGGTAAATTCAAAACTCTTATGGATAACGTTCATTCACTCTTTCTATTGTAGACAAATTAAAATTTGGTTCCAAAACAGGTTCGTACTGTCTATTTGATGATGAAATATCGGCTAATCCTCTGATTTTCTTGTAGAAGAATGAAATGGAAGAAAGATCATAAGTTACCCAATACAAAATCGAAGTTACCCGAAACATTACCAGCAGCAACAACATCATCGCCTCACGTTATAAAAAAAGAGGAGCAAGAACGTGAACTTGATCCAATGCTTGTCAACGATTTGATTAAAGAAGAATCTTTCTCATCTGAATCATCAAATTGATGTGTTTTCATTGTAAAACTTCTCTTCGCCAAGAGCCAAACGATTGAATCTCATTCGATACACAAACATAAACATATATATATACATGATAAATGACAAATTGATTTTCCTTGATGTTTTTGTTAGATAGAAATCGTATTTGTGAATAAAACATACGGTGTGACATTTCATATTTTTCGTCCAACGAGATCGCGTTTGATCGACAACAGAAAACGAATCATTAATAATCTTTCTTTTTCTTTTCCTTTTCCTCTTGCTATTGTAACAACGTATGTTTATAAGCGGCAAAAGATCATTTGTCTTCTTTGCCCGAACGGAGATTGTAATGAATTTTTCTTTTACTTGCTCGAGACATGCAAACGTACATGAACTCATTTATCTAAATAGTCTTCGTTGCTGTTGCTCTCTCTTCCCAACCAATACAGTCATTAGTCATTCAGGACAATGTTCTGCTCGTACATATGACATCCTTTGCTATTTTGAACACGCATATGGAAATCATGGTTTTGGCGATCGCGAGAAAGACAGCAAATGTGAAAATGACTTAGCATTTTATTTTCAATAAAAAGACAAGGCTACCAAGAATAAAAGTCAAGTCAGAGTATTCTGCTTCACCACATTCGATAATGTTAACGTTTAATTACAATTGGTGCCATGATAACCTTAGGCCGTATTCTAAAAATTGTTTGTTTGAAATTTGACAGAATAGGCAGCTTGAAGAATGGTAAGAATATCGATACTAGACTACGAAGATATGTGTTCTGTAGGTCCTTGAATTCCGCTCTTTGCGACAATGTACAAAGTATGCCATTAATTGTCAGTGGAAACCAAAGAAGAATGTACAGAATCGCAGCACTTAGAAGTTGGATTGTTAATTTCCGTTCTAGTCGTATATCTCTACGATGGTTTCATTTTTGAAACCATAATCGAATTATTAGAGCAATATTCGCTAACATGATTAGCACAATTGGCACGACAATATTGATGATGAAATCGACTAGTGCAACTGTTGATTGACTATGCAAGTAGCATGGTTGTAAACATAAAGACTGCAATTAAATATTCATCATTTAGTATTGTTCGAGCGGTCCTGTCACTAGCTTCTGTGTAGATCCATTGATTTTCGCATGAATTAAACATAATAGCACTGAGGTAGAATGTCATTGGATACATCGTACACATAAACATGGGTGCTAGATGAAAACAAGATTCGTGTCCGTTTCGTCACAATAACTAAATTATGAAAAATAAGTGAATGGCGATCAAGTGAACCCCAAGTCATTAGGAACAAAAGTAGACTACAGTGTGTGTAATCCCACCAATTTCACCATAGACAAAAGCTGTTCGATGCTGAAAATACTTCTCCGTAATGATAGTAAACTATTGCGAATGGAGTGTCCGTCGTCAATTGTAAAGTTCCAAATATAGTTAACAAAAGGGTGAAATGTTGATGTGCTGAGAAATGACGACGCTGCTTATAAAAATATACGAGAATGAATACTGAATAGATGATCGACGGAATGCAGGGAGCAGCGAGAAGGCAAAACTTGATTTTTGTAAGCAACAATATGTCATTATCGGCCATACTTTTCAAAGCGATATGCAGTTATATCTCTTACAGTTGAAACATCGTAAACAAGTATGGAATGTTATGAGAAGAAGTAGATCAACTACGCTTAAAGAGAATTGACGGTTCTTGTCGGCTATTTTATATTGAGAGAACTCAATCAAGTTCTTTTAGCATATTATAAGGTAAAAAGAAGAAAATATTTCTTCGAACAACACGAAGACAAATGTGATGAACCGAAATGACTACTAACTCGTGATACAATACAAAGGAAATTCTAACATCTCACGTGATTACAACAAGAATCTTCTTTCTATCTTCAAATGCCGGATGACGAATGTAGTAGCGGACTAGAGCAAAGAAACTTATACGTATATTTCCGTCACACGATTCGTAATATTGACAAATTAGTAAGTTGGCATCCTTTGTTCCTTGTGATGATTACGAACGTTGAGAAATCCGAAGTAACCTTGCTCTTTCTTCTAATTAATCTTCAAAAAGAGAAATCATTGACGATACTCTAGCTTTTGAATACTTTTACGCTTCTATTTATATTTGCAAAACGTGGCAGTATTACCGATACATGTTAAAATATGAAGAATGAAATCATGTAGAAAGTTTCAACAAATAAGAGTTATTCATGCATAGTATGTAACAAGTTGTTCAACACAGATTTGAATTGGAGTTTTTCTATTATCGATTTGTTGAACTTCGAACAAACACCCAGGTAATAACAAAACTTCCCGTTCGTCTGGATACTGCGAAAGTTTTTCAACGTCAAGTGCAAATCGAGAGTCGACAATTTCGTATATCATAATCACGTTCGTTTCGTTTAATTTTGCCGGTGTTGTACCTACATATTTCGCAGCTATTTCCCATGATTTTGATGTTGATTGAAAAGTTCTATTCGTAAAACGATCTTGCACTTTGTACGATTTCTGCAGATTTTGAGTAAACATAGTCATACCGCGATAAACTATACCTTTGTATCGATAAATATGTAAGGCAGGGTTTCTCATCAATAAACCAGCATAATAACCGCTCCATTCTCGGCATAATTTGTCATAAACTATTTTCGGACTGCCAGAAACCATGAACGAATTAATCTTTTTATAGAAAACCGTGTTTAAGATGAACAATAACAAATACAGTGCATTGTTTTCATTTCGTGCCTCATTCAAATAGAATCTTAATAATTTACTTTCTTCGGAGTCATCGTGTGGAATGACATCGGCATCTTCCAGCTTTTGCACAGTTTTTGCTATACCACGGTCTTTAACACAATCGTATTCAATCGCGCGCGCGTACGATGTAGCATGATGTTTACTGAATATCCAATCGGATGTCTTGTCTGAAACGTCGGATAAGTTATCGTTTGAACCCATCAGAAAAGCAAAGCGGCGCTGTAATCCTTTGACAAGTGTACGAGGTGGTACAACTGCTTCATCGGATAGATCGCCTAGACTTGAATATTTCTTATGCTCGTTGTCAGACATCTTGGACAGAATTTCAAGAATGCGTCAGAAATATGACTGTCGAATGCTTACCTGTGTACACACTTATATAATTCACTTTCCTTTCGATAGTGTATGTCATGTGAGGTGGGCGTTCGATTTTCTTCGAACAAAACAAAAATCGATGGAAGATTATTAATCGACGTACTGAAACAGTACAAATTTTCTTCAGGAAGTCAGACACCGCATGATTTTTCGTTACACGTTGCATGAAAAGATATTTTTCTTTCGAGAATATGGTTAACACGTGGCGTCATCTATCCACCTTAGTTTAATGTACACCATTAGATTTGATTTCAGTAGTGCAACTCTGGACGAGAGATTTCAGACTTGAATCCTAAATATCATTAGAAAAAACGTCAGATTAAAAATTCTGTACTGGTTACTATTGTTACCAATCATTATTGAAGAAAACATTATCAATCCTTATGGTATATGTCATTGACTGAAAGGCTTTTCCTTCACTCTATCTGATTGATATGTAAGAGTAATTGAACAGACATAGTTGATCGAAAGAAGTAAGATCTGATGTCTATAGCTTCACACAATAATGTCATTCACCTGTATTTTCAGATGTTGTCTGTACTTTCCTACTACGTCGTATTTATCTGCTTGTTGTTCAGTGTTAAAGGTGCTGAAAAGAAATATTCAGCGAAAGATAGCGTAAATTCGTTCGCGTACGACGAATCTCAGGATGATTCGATGTGTTCGATTTTTCTAGGTAACAGTGTACGTAAACAAAGTTGGCCCATATGCCAACCCTCAAGAGACGTATCACTATTATTCGTTGCCTGTTTGTCGTCCAGCGAAAGTAAGGAGAGCTGCTCGCTGCAAGAAAAATTCAATCGTATTTTATCACTTGAATAGATTGTTTCTAAAGATCTGACGCTTGGAGAGGTTCTTTCGGGTGATCGAATGGCTCAATCATTGTACGAAATTAAATTTAATGGTTTGTAATTTCGCAGACAATGAAAACAGAGATTTCTTTCTCTCGTTAACAGAAGAGATCAGCAACAAACAATTATGTTCATTATCTTTGAGCACAGAAGAACTGAATGCCGTGCGATTGGCGATTGAAGAACATTATTATTTCGAATTCGTCGTAGATGACATACCGATCCGTGGTTTTGTCGGCGAAGTCGAAGAAACAAATATATTTCCACATAGACATCATATATTAGTTTATACGCATTATCACTTTAATTTCTTCATTAACAACAATCAAGTAGGGATAGTTTGGAAAGAGAAATGGACTATTCGATTGTTGTCATGTTAATTTAGATCGTTTATGTGAATATTAGTACGAAAGAGCATCCACCTGTATCTTTAGATGATGAATCGCTCTCATCCATCAAACTCGATTATACTTATTCGGCTAAATGGCATCGCACCGAGTGAGAATCTTGGTTAAATATCATTTACATGCTCAGTTTTGAGCTGTATTGTAGAACATTGTACAAAGATCGAGCAAAATTCATTGCCAACACCGGATTTTTTCCAAAAACTTTAGAAGTACATCTTCACAATTTAATTTCCCTGTCGGACTTTACTTTTTCTTCTTCTAAGGTACATTGGCTATCTGTAATCAATTCCATGGTCCTCGTCTTTCTTCTCATCGGTTTTGTTGTGATTATTCTTGTAAGTTTGCTTTGAAATGAACAAACAAAAATCTATCAGATGTTTTTAGTCTCGCATCTTAAAAAATGATCTCAGTCGTATTGGCGATGACGATGATGATGGATCAGTCGAAGAAGAGAACGGATGGAAAATAATCCATACAGATGTTTTTCGTTTTCCTCATCATCGCGAACTATTCAGCTCAATCATTGGCGTGGGTTGTCAATTCCTATCGATTTTTTCCGGGATACTCTTCTTCGCTTTTTGCGGAATGTTTACAGTCCATCGTCATGGTTCTCTGATGGCATCAGGTGTTATTTTATATGCGTTTACATCATGCGTTGCTGGCTTTATGAGTGGGAAAATGTACCGACAATTGCAAGGCGAACATTGGGCGTGGAATATTATCTTAACAGCCAACCTTTTTACCATTCCATTTTTCGTTATCTGGTGTGTGATTAACACTTTCGCATGGGCATATGGAACAACTCAAGCATTACCATACACAACTGTTTTGATTCTTGTTTTCATGTGGCTTTTTGGTAAGCACAGTTTGAACATCGGAAGAGATTAGACATTTCGGTTGTTTCTTTTAGTTGGATTTCCATTGACGGTTTTGGGTGGAATATTTGGGAAGAATTTTTCGTCGAATTTCGATGCTCCTTGTCGAACAAAGAACATTCCTCGTGAGATTCCTGATGTACCTTGGTATCGATCAAATTTGGCACGAATGTTAATCGGCGGTTTCCTTCCATTTTCGGCCATTAGTGTCGAACTCTATTACATATTCTCAACATTCTGGGGCCGAGAACAATATATGTTATACGGCATCTTATCAATTGTTTTCTTAATACTTTTATCTGTGACAGCTTGTATCTCGATCGCACTAACATACTTTCAATTGGCATCCGAAGACTATCGATGGTGGTGGCAATCGATCATCAGTTCAGGGTAGATTGATCTTCTTGAATCTTTCTTCTGCTTGACTAAACGATTGTCCGTTTTTTTTCAGTTCGACTGGCCTGTTTGTCTTCTTGTACGCGATATTCTTCTACGCCTATCGATCGAAAATGAATGGAACTTTGCAAACATTACAATTCTTTGGTTATTCATTAGTGGGGTGTTATGTCTTTTTTCTGATGCTTGGCACAGTCGGATTCTTCTCTTCGCTACGCTTTATTCGGTATATTTATATAAATATTAAAATGGATTGAGTTCACTAACGTTTTAATCATACACGAACAATTTGTCTTTCTTTTAAGTATTTTCCCGTAGGAAAACAATAAAGAAATCGTGATCAGTTTTTTTTTCTCAATATGAAATTCTTTGAATACCGATCGACCATCGGAATATTTATTAAACGTTTTTTCTTTTCTGCTAATTAAATTTTGAAATAAAGATAAAAAGAAGAATTTGAATGATTCCCTATTTCACTTGTTACGGTTCAAGAATCAGTTGAAATTAACGCGCTCTTACTTTCGCCGCGGTAGTATAATGGTAGTACATCCGGTTGTGGTCCGGATAACGCAGGTTCGATTCCTGCCCGTGGCATATGAATTTTTTTTCTCTTCCACAGACAGTATAACAAAATGTTCTCTTTCTCGTCTCAAGAAAACAATGACATCTATCCCGTCGTATGCGAGTTTTACAGTCCTCGATAGAATAAAAAATGATTGGAATCCATATTTCTTTGGTTATAATGACAAGATTTTTAAGAAATAGTAATAAACTGACAACAAATATTTGGTGCGAAAGGGTTGTAAGTTGGCCGAACCAGTTTAACACAATGACGAGGAGACCAAATTTTACTTGTACCACCGCATGCAAACGGTTTGCCTTGATTCGTTGGTGTACATGCACATTGAGCACTGTCTGTCGAATGAACTCGTCCAAAGTATCGACAGCACTGACATTGACACTTCAAAGCGTTTGTTGAAACCATTGATGATAACAGTAGTATTATGACGAGTGATTTCATCATCATTTTTCTATCGATGGAAAACTAGTGAGAAGATGTTTACTGTAACTGAGTATTGAGAAGAAGATACTATCCTGACTTGGATCTTTTATGAGACAATTTCTTACCTGCTAATTGTTGATCGATGAAGATAACTATTCGAGCGTATGCTTGTCTCAAGTGAATATATGGTATTTGGTATGCTCTTCGTTAGCCTTTGTCTCTCGATTTTCTTTTTTGTGTCAAATAAAAAAGCTTTTACAAGTCCTCCATTCAAAATTCAGATTCCAATGAATGAGAACCTTGAATAAGTTCCATTCCAGCTTCTTTATCAATAAAACATCGTTCCATTTTCATGAATATTCCAGATATGTTCATATATCAAGACATCCACCATTAGTCTGAGAAGCATAATACATAAATAGTCCGTGATTATAAAATCCCCGACCATTTGATTAAGCATAGACATTCCGTTCATATCATAAAAGTTAATATCCGTCGTTTATGTTTTATTACTTTCGCTTTTTTTTCTGAAAAACAATAACTGACGCTAAATATAATTTCATCAATTTATCATTTTCTACTGAAATGTAGTATGTGCTTTGCACAAATAATCATCTCCGACTATTTCTAAGTTCTTCTTTAGCAATTCCGCTCGTTGCAAAGATCGATGAATGACGTGATTAATCTGTTTGCAAACAACATCAAACCAGTTGTTCATAAGCTTTCGTCACCATTTGTCAGGCATCGATGATGACCGACAAATTTCCATAGAGAAAATCATGTCTCGTTCGCCAACAAAAGCTCCTGTTGAGTACGGTACTATTAACTACTAATTTTTCACATCAATCGGGAGAAACTCTTTCAAAAGTTTCAGAACAAACTGAAAACTTCTACGTTACAATGCGAATATGATATAGCTTTACATTTCTACTGTTTAAACCCTCTTCATTTGCAAATACGCACAAGAGTTGTCGAATGCATCTAGTATGACAACATCATATGTTACCTGCGCTTGATTCGGGCAAGTAGGAGGACGTCATGTATATTGACATAAAAGAAAATCAGCAGTCGTTTGTAAAATTTCTCCTAATCAAAAAGGGTATTTGCATAAGCCTCTTTGAAAGGATTCGATGAGTCATCCACTGAAAAATCATGTTTTCTACTAAACGCTATATCGACCTTTCTTTTGAAATGATGATTTTGTCAGGGATAAACATTGTTCTTAGAAATGATCGAAAATCTGACAGTTAATCTGACATCATTTCAGGCTTACATAAAGTATTTTCCTGAACGTGTCAACCGAAGCAAAGGATTACGTAAAGCAAGAACAGACTTGTGAAATGGGGTAAATTATTAAGTTTTCTCTTTGCATAACCGGCTTATCAACTTCATACACAGTAAAAAGACATTGTCCTGAACAATGTAGACTCGTCTATGATTTTGCGTACAAACACGCACAAAATCTTTTATCATTCGATATGATCGTGCTCTCAAGTAGGCCTTTGTGTTCACAGTAACGTAATGTCTAGTCTATCGACGAACTTCAACTGGAAACTCATATCTTGGTTTGTAATACTAATCGTCGCACGATGGCAATGTGAAATCTGAACGACTGCGACAGTTATTTATAAATGAGTAACAGGATCGAATGAAAACTTAATTAGGGATAACATATTTACAGATTGAACGGAAATTTACGTTCAGTTGATGCGAAGATTTATGTATTGGGGATATAAAAGAAAAAAAAAAGAAAAGATTGAAGTCAGACATTTCTATCAAGTTGACGTGTTTTCTTCGCCTTCAGACAATCTGTCGAAAGAATTTCTTGAATCTATATTTAATGAAAATAAATCCAGATTCGATAGACGAATCTATGTGAGCAATTATAAAAAAAATAAATAACAACATTTTAACGCGCTATTTCATCTATGACCATCATCGAATATTTCCTTCGTCGTTTATCGATGAATCGAATCCGATGCTTTGTTTTTCTGTTTAGATCGACCGAATAAGTAACAGATCGGCACACATGTGATCTTATTTATCAAAATTGGATCTAGTAAGTAATCACAGAACGTAGAACAATGAGTAGAGGAAAACAAGCGATCTTACCCCTGAACATTTCATCGATAGCGTCAGTTGAGAAAAGCTTTTCGGCCGCTCAAAGCTTTTTCTTGTAAAATATTTTTTCAGTTCATAATCCTCTCGTTGGAAACTTTTGTTGAAAAGCATAGACGTCAAATTCATTCTATCGGCGTGTCATGTTTGACGTCATCTTCATTCTTTCCATTTTTCATCAATGATAATCTCTTGTAGTTCACTTTTCTTTTCCCTTCAATGTGTAATTACATAGATTTAATTTCACTGCTGTTCTTTTTTTCTTCCACTTAGGATCTCAGAACTAATTTATACGATCAATTAATCGCTCGAATGTATATCTACACTGTTCTGTTTATTTTCTTAACACTACTAAGCCAAAACGCCTGGTGCGAACGACTTGTATCTTCGACGAAAGAATCGTGTCATCGCGAACACAACGGTCAAAAATTACAAGAAGGTGATATCATAGAGAAGAACGGCAAATTATACAAATTCGAAGATTGTGAGCTAAATCGAGCGTATCACGTGTGTGGAACCCATATTATTCCGATGATTAGCATTGTTTGTCAAGCTTTATACAAAGAAAGAGCGGGTTCGCCGGCTGGTAAACGATATTCTCGGTTTGTAAGACAAAAACTACTAACTGAAGCTTGCTGTCAGAGTTTTTGTACTGTTTCGGAAATGTCCCGCTATTGTCCTTGATGAAAAGAAACACGAAATAAACAGAATCTTTACTAATGTTATTCTTTTGAATTGATTTCAAAATATTTGTTCAATAAAAACTTATTTTTGTTTTACCTCTTCTATTCAGATGTTCAGTTACACGCAGTACGGATAAGCCTTCGTTCTCGCTAAATGAACTATAAGGATGACTGATAGTGAAAGTGCAAAGTCACGCTTCAAACGTGTTGTGAAAGTTATCCGAGATCTAATCATAACTTGTTAGTAAGGTATACTATTTCACGTCGCCTCTAATAAAGATTTCACGTTAATTAGCTGACAGGTCTTTAAAACCTTGACTTCCATCTGAGGGTAATTAAATGGCAACATGTCAGGATATTAAATATTTATGAATAACAAGCATTCACGAGTATGGATGAGAAAAATAACGAAGAAAAACTATCAGAATATTCAACAATTAACTTCATCAATTGATTTCATTTCTGTTTTGATAAGTGATTTTCCCATCAATCACTCTCGACTATGTGTGTGTGTGTATCATTGTTCTGCGCATGAGATGGGAAAAGTAACGTCTCAGACATTATCGCTAGACGAAAAAAGAAGAGGATAGTGCACGTGTATTCTCATTAGGAAGGTTATCATAACAAGTGAGACCTCAAAACAATATTTACCAAAGATATAATTTCCGAAGGACAAACTCGCTGAATTGTCATGATTTTGGCTGAAGTTGATATAATTTCTCAAAAGAAAATATGCACTGCATTTAGCTAATCAAATATTCAACATGCTTTTTTTGCCAAATAGAACATATTCAACTTAAATATTGTCCTTTTTCGTACGAAATGTATATGTATATATTTGGGTGATCTAATTAGATTTGTCGAAGTGCCTGGCGAGTTATTGAAAAAGTAAATCAAAGAAAGAAAAACATATGTGAATTACTCGGTGACACTTGATTTTGATTTCTATTTATTTACACTTGACTATTAATCAAATTTTATTTACTGATCACTCCGACAACAGTACTCGATTAAGAACAAATACCTTTCCTATTGTCTCGCTCAAGCAAACTTGTCTGTAATCAATGCAAATGACAACGACAATTTCCTTTCTGATTAGCATTTGTTCGAAACGAAGTAAATAAACTTGTTCGATGAACTTCTATGTAAATGATAAAAGGTAAGACTTCCTTCCGTATGCCAAACGAATTCCATTGGGATTAGGTTTATTTGAGCATTAGAAAAGATATGCTAACCGATTTATTTATCTCGACGCATATGGAACATTGTCTTTCTCTCTCTCTCTTAACATGTTATTCTTTCGAATTCATGTAATTCTTCGCTGAGAAAATTCCCTTCTATAAATAAATCGATTCCGACCAGCTTGTCGTGATTTGTCATTGTCTTTTCCTTCTTTCGAACAAAATATCCATATCATGATGAGTTGCTTTTATCATCTTAACCTATCATCAGCTCTCGTTTGGATTTATTTATCTTAAAGTACTTCTTTGTTCTTTTTTTTATCAATAGAAACAGCAAAGAAGCTCAACTCCGG